CCACCCTTGCAGACTTGGCCCCTGGGTCATAACTTTGAAACGGTTGAGATCCCCACCCCAAAACTATATATACAAATGCTTGGCAAAAAGAGACAAATGCAGTCACGATATTAGAATCGATCCTGGGGTCTGGCCACAACTCTAGGGACCTAGTTTCTGAGTCAAAGCTTGGAAACAGTTGAGATCCCCACCCCATAACCATACATAAAATTTCTGGGCATGAAAAATCTAATATAGCTATGCTACAAAAATTGGCCTTAGAGTCTGGCATATTCCCTTGATCTCATTTGGAGAATAGTTTGCCATGATTGCTTAGGTATCCAGGTGAGCGATACAGGCCCTCTGGGCCTCTTGTATCTAGTCTGTACACATTGTATCAAGTCTGTACCCATTGTATCAAGTCCCCCTTGTATCAAGTCTGTACCCATTGTATCAAGTCTGTCCCCCTTGTATCTAGTCTGTACCCATTGTATCAAGTCTGTACCCATTGTTTCTAGTCTGTACCCCTTGTATCTAATCTGTCCCCCTTGTATCAAGTCTGTACCCATTGTATATAATATCAGCATATAATGTCATTTATAACTTGTACTATCATCTCTGTTTGTCACAAGTATGATTTATTCTTCATCAGTTTCTGTTTTTGTCAGGATTCAAGATAGATATCATTGAATTTTGTGACACTAAAGATCAGTTCCTTAACTTCAATATACTTGGTATGATTAAGTTATATATTAATTGTAGACTTTCTTCATATAAGTACATTGAAAACTACACATACATTTCATAACTAAATAAGTAATTATATATAATCATGGTGCTTTACATATTTATTAGGTGTCTTCATTTCCATATGTAAACCACAGGTGTTTAACTACTGAATTAAGGACATTTTAAGACCACTAATAGTATAACCAGCTACATTTTATGTTATTACAGGAAAGTCGGCGTTCCTATGGAGACTTAAGTACGCGTGGACGGACAGCCAGCTCAGACCAGCTGACAAGTCGACCCTATTGATGTTAATCGTTATTAAATAACACTTAAAAACAATGTACAGTGCATCCTCCATTTCATCATTGTCAGCAAATTGTCATCAAATGTCATTCTCATCGCACACACTGGTCTCAATAGTCATCGTGGCTTCAAGGCTTGCTGGTTTTGTCGCCGTCGCAGTTGTCTTCTCTTGCCGTGGTGTTTTTGTACAGATTTACTATATCTGATGTATACTGCTCCATCTGTGCACAGGTTTTACAATGTATAACTTTCCTATGTGGTATTGATCACAATACATATATAAAACAATGTATAACAAAAGTACTACAACTACAGTAAAAAGGATGCATTGTAAAACAATGTTTTTATTATAATCAAGTGTATATTAACCTTTATGGAACTGATCACAACAAAATGGTTATGTTGTATTACAATACTATTGCGTCTCTTTACAATATAGCTGTGGATTGCTACTACAGAATACAATGTATTGCTGGACACATTGTTGTCCCTGGTATTATATATCGGTTTTCTAAATCCTTATAATCTGTGTAACTTCATATCGCAACTTGATAGACAAGTATCATATGTAACTCTATAGCAGGGTAGGGGATGTTTAAACTGACTAACCAATAACATGTCAAGTGTGATACTGTCCACACTGTAGTAGTAAAATACCTGTATCTAGTATACTTCATACTGATAAATACAAATATATAGTAGTTGTCTTTCACTATTTAAAGATTAAAGTCATGTTTCTGATGGGGCAGTATCTACATGATTGTGTGGCGGTGAAGGTCCAAGTCAGAATGTACTGTTTATACTACACAAGTGCTAGACTGGTATTAACACCTTGTAAGCTTCAAGGGACGAGATATTTCTTGAAATGCTGTACATGGCCTTTCATAGATGGTAATGCATTTTAAAAAAACCTTAACCAGAACATTCCGAACTGTCAGTTTTAAACTTTGGAATGCATGTTCAAGGTTCAGCATTAATCAGAGTGAACCTGTTTCAGAAATTCTTCTGTGGTTTTTAAAGACAATGATTTCCAAGTTCATTTATGCTTTGGTTCTGGTCAATTATTTCAAGCCATCTTGTTGAACTTGAGTACGTAGGTACTTCATTATGGTGAAAAACTTTTTATTTGATTTTTCACCAAATAGAACAGTGACCTTTTCTCAGTACTTACATAAAGTTGTCCTGACTAATCTTTGAAATTGTTTCAGTATTTACTTATTGTTGATTTTTTTTTTGTCAACTGGTTAATTTCTTGATATTGGTGCTGCTTATTATGAAACAAATATTTGAAAAATTTGCCATGTATATTTTAATTTACATCGGGGTCTTTTGAGTTAGAAATAGATACTTCGATAATAAACCATATTGTAGTTTCGTTCTAAACTAAGACAAGTGGAATCTACTTTCGGACAGGTATGAGTAAATTAAGAACAGGCTGGTAGTTACCACCTTGCCGTACAATTTGAAGAATAAATAAGTTGACACAGAGTCCGGACACAGGTGAAATGTGGAGAGGAGGTCACTGGGACACCATTACGACAATGAATTGCTCACAAAATAGGAAGACACTGCAGGAAATTTTAATTGTATAAAGAACAGTAATGATTATGTCTTTTAATCCCTTCAGTGTTGGCATGCTCTTACAGGCTACATGTTTGTTCTGCTGTAGATTTGTGATGACTGTGATGCTACAATTCATCTTTAGTGCAATACGAGTGTGGCATTAAGTAAGCCTGTTGCAGGGCTGTTTTATCTGTATAAAACTTGACAAGTTGGTCATGGAGTAGCTAGGGCTTCTGTAGTGTAGACTTGTCAAACTCTTATGGTTAAAGGGTGCTCCTTGAGCTGTCTGGTCGACCAAGCTCCAGTCGAGCTTTGAACTTTATGTATTTTACCGACAACCTGTACAGAAGTTATGAGGAGGTGTTAAATAGCGATCCAGTACTGTATTATTATCTTTTACTTAAAGTATTCAGTCTTGCTTCCATCACAAATCAAGGCTAATAAATATTGTCATGCAGAATTCTTCTATTTATTATGAATTGTTAATCTCCATAATATATTAGTTAAAAGTTTTGTATGGCTTTTTGAAAAATGATGTCAGGAATTCTTCTTTTTTTTAAGTGTTTAAGGCTGCTTAGATTATTCATCAGGAATTGCTACCTCTTATGTCTTAATAGAGACTCCAAGCAGTCTCTAGGCTTCTATCATATTCATCACATCATCTAGAGCCAAATTGGCCACTCCACTCTCCATTCATCTTGTTTAAATAACAATAGTACAAAAAACTGAGGAACAACAAACTTTGGGGAACTTGTAGATTGTTTTCATGGAAAATTTAGGAAACAGTTAACATGTTGTCATGGAAACTTGCAGTGTTGCTATTTAAAGATGAATAGATTATGGAGAGGAGTACACTTCAGCTTTAAGTATAAATAACTTATAAATGAATGTGCCCATGGCATGATTATATAAACACTTGCCTCTGTGGTTAACACAGGAGATATATGTCCATCCACTAAAGCTGTTGTAAATGATCTTTGTATTATGGCCCTGTCATTAGAATATTGTTGGCAGAATCTGTTTTAAGGATCAACAAAGCAAAATATTGATTGAAAGATGATATAAAACTTGCAGGTTATGAATGAGTGTATGCCTGGTTACAGAATATATCGATCTGTGGGGTCTCGTTGAAGGGAGAAGTTGTCCACCCTTGTTACCTAGCAACACAGTCATGGAGTAGATAAGTGTAGAAATGAGACATGCATATTGAGGGTCACAACACTTTCCTTCCATATTTCATTATGACACATTCAGTAGTTCACGCTCAGGCTTAAGATTAGCTGTATAATTATAAGTGTGTGTGTGTCTGTGGGTGTGAGATCACAAGAGCATGTGAACGGGAGGATATCTATACAATTTAATGCAAATACAAACTTATGTATGTTTTGTTATGAAATGAAAGTTGTAAAATATTTAAGTGCTGGTGATTTTTGTTATGTCATTGTGATAATTATAGTATTCCTTCCCAAGGAATTTTGACAGAACAAATAATAGAAACCATTTAGAATTCCTTGACGAAGAGAAACAAAATATTGATCATTGCTTTGGTGTCAAATCTTGTTACTTTGTGCAGTATATTATTAAAACAGTCTAATTTAAATGATGTGCTTTGGAAATCTAAAGCAGTTGTAAGAGCTTCATAATAAAAACTAGTGTGTATTTCACCTCGCGTTTTATTCATTATTTTGTTGTGGGATTTTCTTTAATCCTGAATTATGTTGTTCGGATTTGATCTCAGCTTTAAATTATGCCTTGGTTTATCACTAGTTTGTTACACCTCCTAGCTGGAGCTTGTAAACATCAAAACAAGTTACAGTTCAACCGAAAAAAAAATATGACTGGAAAAATTTAAGTTCAGATTTCAGGTTTTAAAAGGTCCTGCATATTTGCAGAGTTAACAGGTATCGGATATCTACGACATCCAAACTCAGTAGTCTCTAAATGTTTGACATGAAATTTAGTAAATATGACTACTACACAGTATGGTTATGTGTATATAGTTGTACACTGCATCTAATGCAATATATGTCAGTAGTCTGTATCACAGGAGGTGGTGAGTAATGTATGCAATATCACATATCTTCATGTATAAATATATATATTACTTGTAAGACAAACACGCACCTGTAGGTTTTAATCACATCAATACAAAATAATACTTCCCAATATATCGGGTTTAGAAAAACATCATGCATTTAGATTGTTACAACTGAAGCCATTTTAAAAGGTATGCATATATCTTGTTGTAAAAAAATAAATATTAAAAAGAGGCAAAATAAAAATGGCATACATTCACTGTCATTTTTGTGTGTTCTTCAGCCTGAACTTGAACCATACGCTATACACTGCATGTTCACTTATCTAGTTGAGCTTCCCATAGGACTTCTGTTTTTATTTTTTATGATAACCGATTTGATTGGTTGTACGCTTGTAAATACTACCACTATTTTAATGGGTTGCTATTTTTGTTGATGGTATGATTGAGTTGTTTGTAAGTTTCAGTTGCTGGCTTTCTACCTCCGTGTATTAATGAATGGAATATAAGCAAATAATTCTTTTCTAGCCAGTCTTTTTGTCACCAACTGCCAATCATAGCTGTGTGTATGGTTGAATGGAAAACACACAATTCCATTGATTAATTTATTAAACTACATTTGGTCATACACATGTCTTTGTTGTTATTCTTGGGTGTAGCTAATTATATAAAGGAACACTTAAATCTGAGAACGTAACTAGCCTGAAATATATGTAGTACTTAAGGTAGGAAAATTTAGGCATATTTCTTTAAAGTTGTATTACAAACAAGTTTTATGAAATATACATGTATACAAACAAAAGCAATTTTATGATATCTATTTAAAACTTATCAACACAATATTAAGTAAAACCTGACTTTACAGACCCCTGACTTTATGACTTGTTTCCCAGTATATTAAGTAAAACCTGACTTTTAAGACTTGTTTCCCAGTATATTAAGTAAAACCTGACTTTACAGACACCTGACTTTTAAGACTTGTTTCCCAGTATATTAAATAAAACCTGACTTTACAGACCCCTGACATTAAGACATGTTTCCCAGTACATTAAGTAAAACCTGACTTTCAAGACTTGTTTCCCAGTATATTAAATAAAACCAGAATCTCGCCCATGGAAGTTTCAAAAAGTTGGCAAGTATGACATATATATAAATTATGTAGTTCATTCCCACGTCCAATAAACATCTAGCTGTTACAACTAGTCTTACTTAAAAGTGAATAATTAATAGCATTCCTATGAATGCTGGTCGTTTCGGGACATGACACAAGATTTGTCGGGACTTAATCAAGTCGTTTCGGGACATATACAATTAGCATTTATAAATTACATTTCGCTCCCGTTTCATAAAAAAATCCTGTAAGTACACAAGTATGGTTTTAGACTGACCTGTGTCAAGAATTACCCGTGCCTAGAATCATTAGTGTTAACAGATTGCTATATAGCTAGAGCCTGAGGGGATACCTACCAACCAATTGACAGTGTGCTGGTGAAACTAATCTCATTATCAAATACAGATCTAGAGGAACTAGAACATTCAACATTCAATTTCTTTCGTTATTGATCCGTTGATTCCTTGTTTGATATTGTTATACATGTAATATGTTTCAATTCACTATATTCTCCATTATTGACATTAAGAGACGAAGAAGTTAACATTGATTCTAACAATGTTTTAAGCATTTTATTTGTGCTAGACTATATTGAAATTAAATTTCACGAAAGTAAACCCGTGAAACACGTAGACTGTATTTTAGACATGTGAATCAATTCATCAAATCCAGCAATATATTTTGAATGATGTTTTTATGTTGTGTATTTATGTCAGTGAGAATACATTACATCACGGAATTGTTATCTAAGTCCGTGATAACATATATTTATTCATGTTTTATTAAAATCATGTAATGGTAAATGTATAATGTATGACGGGAGAAAGCTATGATAAGTTGTAATAACTTTTATCCAATCGATTGTTTAAACTTTAAAAAAGTCAAAAAAATCCCGAAACGACTTTTGACATGTCCCAAAACGGAGGGAGAAAAAATACAATCCCGAAAAGACTTTCGTCTTGTTACCGAAACGACCTCACAAGCTGACATCGAAATAAGATATGTTAATGTGCCTTCCAACCCCTCTGCACTTAGTCCCCAACCCCAAACGAATGGGGGATTTATACACAGTATGTCACTATGTGTTGCCATAGTTTTATCTACCCTACGCGCCGAGCAGACCAGCCAGCAGCCGGCCAACTGTATTTTAGTTTTGCTTGGCCTTACGTACGCAAGAGGAGATAACTTTATACCGGAAGTGATTTGTTCAGAAAAATGGCGGGAGAGGAAGAAAATATTGAGATGGATAACACAGAAGAAAATGCAGAAGACACGCCAAATCAAGACCCTGATGTTGGTGATTCTTCAGCACAAGAACCCAGTTCAAATGAGCGAATCACCAAACTCCCAATTACAAGAGTAAAGGCCATAATGAAGAGTGACCCCGACGTTTCCTTGGCCAGCTCCGAGGCGGTAGTGGCTTTGGCAAAAGCAGCCGAAATGTTTATACAAATGCTGTCCAAGGATGCGATCAACAGTACAATGCAGAGCAAAAGAAAAACATTGCAGCGTAAAGACTTAGATACTGTGATTGATACAAGAGATTCCTATGCGTTTTTAGAAGGAACGTTAGACGGCCCTTGACAGGCTTGAGGAATATTGTCTAAGAAGGAACTCTCCCAAAACATTGTGTCCAAAACCATATCCTTGTTTCCGGCCCCTTGTTTCTGCTACACTGCGACGCTGAGAGTATCTACTGGTCGCAAGCAGACGGCGTATACTGACCAGGAACGCGTCTTAGACAGACCTAGTGTATACAAAGATTGAATGGGAACAAATTCTACCCTCACCAATCCAGGTTCCTGTGTAGTTTAATTTGACCCATGTGATGTTTGTAAATTTAAATGAGAAATGCATGCCCCGCATATTCAAGACAACTGGTTGCAGATATAGTTTTACTCTTGTGATATGGAGACTGTTGAATACAATACATGAGAATAGTTGATGGAAATTAAATCTATATTAACTTTATACATGTAACTTGCATTAGGTTTATATGTTCTACAAATGGCCACAAGTGTAAACCTTATGCACAGGGGTTTGTTACAAATATCTTACAACATAACCACAGGGGTTTGTAAAATTTTACAATTGCAAATGTCTAATACATATCTTATATGCTATACACGAACCCCCTGTCAGACAGCCAAAGTGACTGATAATCCATATCAGTACAGCATATATATTATGGTTTAGACATTTTAAACAATCCCCTGTGTCTAATATGACTACTAACTACAAAAGTAGAAATAAAATTCTATACATGTAATTGAGTGGGATCTGGTTACTTTGCAATTTCGGTTGAGGGCTAAATTTCTATTATATAATCCCAACTGTGATGCAAGCTAATGCTTGAATATTACAGATTTTTCGCCCAAGGCAGAATTAACACAATCTCACACTTTTATAGATAATTAATTGTTATTTTCGCAATAAAAGTGAGTTGCCGACAAAATCAGTATTTATTCATCAACTTTGAACTGGGTATTTTTTCAGTGAATAGGTCAACATCAAGCAACTTTGGAACAGGTATTTTTCGGTGTATAGGTCAACAGATAGCATGCGAGTGTATATCCATTGCATGCCAGCTACAGTGTACTATTTCAATTCAACCACCCATTTCAAAATTCGGTGAGAACAATGGGACTTCATAGTGCAAAAAACATAATTTTATCATAGATGTATAGTTTACAAGACTGCATCTTGTCCAAGACCCAAGTTTATACTGCCTCTGAATTATTAAAGCTTCTTAATTATTTTTTTTACTGGACCATGCTAATGAAAGAAGAAAAGCATATTTCATGGTGTATACCAGTATAACATGTACTAAATTATATGCCAATGCACATCCAAGTCTAAGGTGTCGAGAATTAGTTTTCTGTAAATATTCCTTAATTTCCCCCAAATCATGCTTGTTTGTGGGTGACATTTTCCCATATCTGTGGAAAAAAGAGGTAGAATGATCTACGTGTTGTGATCAATTGCTATTCCCTACAGTATCCAAACACCTTTTTAGGTCACCTGAGCTTTAGCTTAAGTGACCTATTGCTATCTGTCTTCTTCCGCTGTCTGTTAACATTTTACATTTTCAACTTAAGCTGAAATACTGTCTAAGGGATTTTATTGATACTTCATGGGAATGTTACTGACATTTTTCTGACCAAGTGTTGTTATATTTCGGGTCAATCAGAAATCCAATACGGCCGCCATTTTGAAAATACTAATTCAAACTTAAAGTCAAGTTCTAAGGGTCTGATTTAACTGAAACTTGAAAATCAACTCATGGTCCTGATAAAGTGTTGTTATTTTACAGGTTGATCAGAAATCCAATATGGCCACCATTTTGAAAAACTATTTCAAACTTAAAGTCAAGTTCTACTTGGCCGATTTAACTGAAACTTGGTAGGAATGATCGACTCATGGTCCTGACAAACTTAACTTTAACCTTATACTTAACTATTTTTCCCCAAATTGGTAGGGATGATTAACATCATTATCCCCACTTCATATTTCAACAACAAAAATAAATAGTGTAGGACTCGGGTGACCGTTTAAGGCCCATGGGCCTCTTGTTTCTTATTAACTATTGAAGAGATTACAACCAAATGATAGGAATTTGAAGTATTCCAATGTGACAGGAGGCAGGTCTGTGAAGTAAAAGGGACTGGTTCCAGGGGCACCCCTCACTAATGGCAAAAAGGGGATCAACATTTTTGGTATCTAAAAAAATCATACTTACTGCCAGGCAGTCTTATAATCTTAATACATAATGTACCATAACCTTTGTATGTGTTCAACAAAACTTGTATAGCAAAAAAACAATCTGCCTAATGGACCCACTATGAAAGGGGTGTTTGACAACACATGCACATACTGCAATATTTGCAATTTCTTTTAAAGAACGGAAAAGTCTAGTCACACTGTTTGGCTGGTAACTTGCTGGTATGTTCTGCTACAAAGTTTTGCAAAGAGAAATGACTTTACCTTTATTTTAAAATATTAAGAATCACTGGTCAAAGTTGAAAAAAATCTTACAAGTTCTTCTGAAGAACCAAAAAACTAGTCAAGATATTTTACTAGTAGGTTTCTGGTAATGCCACGTGAAGTAGAAAGCTAGCAAAAAGAAATTGCCTTCACTTAAATCCTGGGTCACAGGGTCAAATTTGTTGATGCAATGACTTCTGAATGATCAAAATATCTATAGTTTTGATGATTAAAAGTTTATGCCATCGAAACATCAGACATAAACATTTCGCTGGTTGTGCTATATAAAACCTGTATACAATTTATACTAACCAACCTGAAGAAATTATTTGGAAATATCCTCATACTTGACTACTGCCTAAGTTTTATGAAAATTCGTTAAAAAACGAAGTTGTTTTTCCATACTTGACCATTGCATAAAGTTTGTTCAAATCCGTTAGGAAATTTTAGAGTGATGACAATTTGTTTTATATAGAGTTATGGTGACACTGACTTGTGATACGAAGACGTAAGTCGCTAGAGTGAAGCAGAAAATGGGAACACCTGCATAATTATGGACCACCATATCCCATCGACAAATTTGTCATGAGAGAAAACAATGGGATCATGACACCATTGTATAACGTCTTCACAAGTTCTATGTAAGTTTGATTTTTTATCGGTTAGATTGATCAGCATATCAACAGTAAAATCAAATTGTCATAGCTTTTAATCAAAACTCGTCCTTCAAGTGAGGTTGTTCTTTGACCTATTTACTAGAATAGTTGAAAGTTGTATACAGGTTCATAAAGCACAACTGGTGATATGTTCTTGCTGACATTTTTATCATTTTTACAATTTGTACTACTCGATTACCGTATTTGACTGCAAATAAGACCCTACTCTCAAATGTACTGGGAACAGGGTGGGTGCCTGCAATTAAGCCCTCTTTCTAATTTTGGCTCTCTCTTAAAATAAAGCATGTTAATATAAGTTGTATCTGAACAAAAACAAATTAGCTAACTGGATACAAATAAAACTTTAATCCAAGTTTACATTCTCCATCAGTCAAAGAGAGATTTCTGATAGCCAAATAAAATAAGGCACAAAAATAGCCCACTTGAGATTTGAAAAAGATCTATACTTTCCAAAAAATGAACAGTCAAATTCAAGATGTCTGTCTGGAGGCAATAGTTTTAGGGTGTAGCGATCACAATTTTATTATAGCAGGTAGTTATTTCAGAATAGATTAAGGCCAAAGAGGAACCTACATTTGAAACTGAGCAAGATCTGTCACATTGAGAAATAGTGGTAACAAATATTTTTTGCGTCAAAATCACTGCCATCTTGTTCTTCTGATTAGTCAGAAAATGAAACATGGGGAAACTACAAGTACATATGAAATTTGAGAAAGATCTGTTTAGTACTTGAGAAATAATACTAACAAGATTTTTATAAAGAGACTGATGACCGGTAATTTAAACAGCCCACAATCTGATGCTATTGGTCTGAAAACACAGTTTATATGAATACAAAAACCAATACACATGGACTATGAAACATGGTTTATTCTACAAATACATACCCAATGATTTAATACCATTTCTGTCATTTTAAAATCAAAGACACTTTCACACCTGTTTACAGAGCATATTTGTTTTTTTAAATCTCTGAGTGAGATCCAGTTTCTAGTGTTCCTGTGTTTGTTGACATCTGTACTGAGTGACACATGGCCACAATATCAAGAACAATATACGTCCATCTCAAGCTGAGTTTGAACTGAAGTCTTAATGACTAGTGTATGGGAGGTGAAGTTTGAGCTCTGCTTGAGGTAGACCCAAACTTTCGATGACATCAGGACCTCCTTGGTTGTTAGTTGATGTACTGTATCAAGTGATGACCGAGTCATTAATTGTTGTCCTGCATCAAGTGACATCTGGATTGTTAGTTGATGTCATGTGCTGAGTGACACCTGCGACGTTTAGTTGATATTGTGCACTGAGTGACACCTGCGACCTTTAGTTGATATTGTGCACCGAGTGACACCTGCGACCTTTAGTTGATATCGTGTGCTGAGTGACACCTGGGCTGTTAGTTGTTGTCCTGTATGAATTGTCCAATAGACAAAACAGTATTTGCTGTGAGAACACCTGATGTCAGTGCTGCCACACACGGGGCCGACAAATCTAAAATCACATCCAAATCTTTTTGTTTAATGTCAAGTCTGGAATGCCCATTTGGGTCTTCTTTTGTACCTGTCTTTACAACAATACCAGGTGATCCAATCAGATCATTCAATTTTGACATATTTTGCTGGAAGACTCCACATGCACACTTAAGGACAACCTCAGGATCTGGATTACTTCCCCTTGGTAGGCGCCAGAGGTGTCCATATTCAATATCAGACATATGATCCTGTCCATCATGTCCTGTTCCCACGGCAATCTTTTCCAGGGTGTTGGTGAAGACCTTACAAGCTTGTGTCAAGGACAGAATTGTACACCCTGTCTTCCTTACGATGTCAGCACGGTTAGCCTTGACCTGAAACCGCAAGTGAAGTTATTCATTTAGACTCTTGGAAGCACATGTTTTCCTTTAAAATAACAAGGGATCTTGGTGCCCACCATGAAAGGATCTTTATCAGATCAACATAATGCTAAAAATTTGTAATTCTTACTTTGTTAGAAGTACTGTCATAAGAAGGTTGAATTCTCATTAGAACCATGAGTGTTTTTATCAAGGGGAACCTATATATAAAACAAGAGGCCCATGGGCCTTAACGGTCACCTGAGTCCTACAATATTTATTTTTGTTGTTGAAATATGTACCAATTTGAGTAAAAAATAGTATAATGTTAACTTAACTTTGTCAGGACCATGAGCTGATCATTCCTAGACCAATTTTAAGTGAGATCGGCCTATTAGAACTTAGTAGCAAAATAGCGGCCATGGCAGCCAAATTGTATTTCTGATTGACCCGAAAAATAACAACACTTTGTCAGGACCATGAGGCGATCATTCCTACCAACTTTCAGTTCAATCGGTCCAGCAGAACTTGACTTTAAGTTTGAAATAGGTTTTCAAAATGGCGGCCGTGGCGGCCATATTGGATTTCTGATCGACCCGAAAAATAACAACACTTTGTCAGGACCATGAGGCGATCATTCCTACCAACTTTCAGTTCAATCGGTCCAGCAGAACTTGACTTTAAGTTTGAAATAGGTTTTCAAAATGGCGGCCGTGGCGGCCATATTGGATTTCTGATCGACCCGAAAAATAACAACACTTTGTCAGGACCATGAGGCGATCATTCCTACCAACTTTCAGTTCAATCGGCCCAGCAGAACTTGACTTTAAGTTTGAAATGTAAAATGTTAACGGACGACGGACGACGACGGACGAAAACAGATAGCAATAGGTCACTTGAGCTAAAGCTCAGGTGACCTAAAAAGAGAGAAAGATCCCTGGAGTACTTTCTGAGAAATAGAGATAATAAACCTTAACTTTTAACTATGGACCAAGGGGAGCTTACATATGAAATTAGAGAAAGATCCCTCCAGAACCTGGACTGTGAAACAACACAAAAAATGGAGTCCAGATATAAACAAATATTATTGTCAGATATGTTTGGACAATGGTACCTTATTTTTCAGTACAGCAGCAAGGTGCTTCTGCCAGCAGCCAGCTCCTAGCAGGGCTCGGGGGGACTGGACCAGGTGACGGAGGGACAATAAACAGGAAGAGCACAGGATCTGTAGGCATTCATGTATAAAACTTCAATAACAGCAGTTCCCATCAATGCATTGAATATTAATATTCAAAGCAAATGGCACAACTTTTAAGTTTAAAAATTATCCACCACTGTTATCCAATTATGTGGTTTAAGCCAAAAGTATGAACTTTATCAAACATTATGGAATCAAAATGTTATTGATTCAAGCTCCTGTATCTGCAAGAATAGTTTAATAACTTTTACCTAACAATATTTATTAATATGAGAATATCATTCGGAGGTGTTTTCAAGTTCCACTGATGAAGACCACAAGTTGTATTTTTTCCTTCAAAATATTGACGAGAACACAAAGTTTTAATACTTGTGTCAGATTCCTGATAACATCCACAACTTGATTGGTTCGAGCAGAACTTACTACCTTCAGTTCAGACAGCTGTTCCTCCTCTGGACTATAAAGGATCAAGGTCACAACACACTTGTCTGCCAATGGTGACAGGAGCAGGTAACTTTTGTCTTGAAAAATCTTATGTTCAACACCAGCCACTTTCCCCATCATTTGCACATCAAGATTGTGGAAAGATCTAATAGGAACAGCTCCTGTAACAGATGCCAGATTTTATAGACACAGTCTTGTATAAGTTTTGATTCCCATGGGGAAAGGACACTAGCAACTAAATTTTGGTTGAATTCAGCTCTGAGAGTAGTTTGAGAGATGTCGTTTAATACAAAAGTTGACTCAGCTCTGACAGTAGTTTGAGAGATGTCATTTAATACAAAACAGTGGACTGATTTTATTAACAGCTACAATTGGAACATCTTTTCCACTGCAACTGAATTAAAATTGGTACTGGTAGATCCAGCTGATCCAGCTAAAAGCCCAAGTTTCCTCTGGTCCTGACACCAGACTTAAGACATTTTGACAGATTATTGTTTCACCAGACATCTATCTGTCCAAATGTCAAAGTCTGGTGTCGGGGACAGAGAAAACTCAGGCTAATCCAGCTCAGTGCTAAACATTTTTTTTTTAAACTAAATGTATTTTAGTAAACACACATATATATATACATGTAGCCTACATTGTAAAAGTGTTTTCTTTTGCTACAGAACATTGTAGGGGTATTGCTACAATGTATGAGTATTTCCTTAAACTGTACCTGATTGGATAGGTATTTACCCTGCTACAATATGTTGTTATTTTAACTTTTCCCCTGTTATGAGTATCTCCTCCTGCCAATACGTATTGTAAAGGTAATTTACCGTTGCTATATATTGTACTGTTTTACCCTGCTACAACGTAAGGGTTGATCGTACCTGACACATCCTGTATGTAAGCTACAACGTAAGGGTTGATCGTACCTGACACATCCTGTATGTAAGCTACAACGTAAGGGTTGATCGTACCTGACACATCCTGTATGTAAGCTGTCATGGTAACACCCAGTCTATCCACTACCACAATGGACTGTTGCCGGAGTCGCTGTTTCAGTCGGGGATGAACCACTCGCTGGCAAAGTAGCAGCCCCACATTCTCAGCTGTCAGTTTGTCACAGAATTCCTCTAAAATGTCAAGGAAACAGTGATCTGTATCCACACACATATCTGACTCGAACTGCATGCTTCCTACCTCTTCCGTGTCTCCAGACATTGAGACTGTTACAAAAGCTACAAGGGTATAACTGCCATCCTGTTCAGATTTCAAAGTACGCATTTGCATGATTTGTTTGGAATGGGACACTATTTCTGGGCATTGAAGAAGGAGTCCATGAAGAATGGTGGATTTATCCACTGTGTCCCCATCGAAGGCCACTACGTTCACACCGTCCGACACGTTCTGTACAGTGTTGTTGTTGGGCAGAGATGATAGGAATGTCTCCAGTAATAGATCACCACACACCTTTAAGTTTTTTGTTGAAAACCTACAGAGAGGTTTTGAAATCAGTATGCTTTTTACAATAGATGACATTTGTTTCAAATCTGAAAATACAACATCTGTCTGAATCTCATTATCTTTGTCGCCAAGATATTCTAAGCACATACCTAAGAATATTTCGAACAAATCCATTAGAATCTTCCGACTGATGACTAATTTCAAAGATTCTAATATCAAATTTAGGCTTATTGACATCAATAAATGTCCGCTGTCATTAAATCTTTTTAGATGTCCCTGTGCAGAGTTAACCACCAATTTTACAATTGGGTTTGAGAAAGACATAGCACTCAGTAACCTTGCTGAAGTAGAGGTCATAGTTAAATGACCGCCGACAGAGTTTTGCACCATTTTGATTTTGCCGAAAGGTCCTCTAGAAGAAGAGGTGATCTGTTCCATTAGTACCAACGCTCTCACTACCTGGTCACTCTCCAGTGTAAGGTAGCTAATGTGAGACTCTGTTTTTGCATCCAAACGAGACCCTGTCTTGGCATCCGAGTGTGACTGCATCTCTGATCTAATTAATGGTCCTGATAATGGATTTAAGATGATCTATGGGATGTATGATCAGAAACAGAAGTAGATGTATGTGATTTTCACTCATTTATAACCACATTCATCCATGGAACCTGCCAAAAGAAAAGAAAAATCTATTTTTTAGAGTCAAAAGATATAATATCATTACCAAAGTCAAAATAACAGATTTTATTAAGAGATTGTCGGACAACAAAATACTGGACTGAGTGTAACACGACTTATACATTATTCTTTAAATTTCCCTTAACTATGACATATGACAGTATAACTAAAACAGAACCCCATCACCTGGATAACTCAAACAAAACTCTTACACATGATAACTCAATCATAACTCCAACACCTGGATACCTCAAACGTAACCCCAACACCTGGATACCTCAAACGTAACTCCAACACCTGGATACCTCAAACATAACTCCAACACCTGGATACCTCAAAGTAACTCCAACACCTGGATACCTCAAATATAACTCCAATACCTGGATACCTCAAACATAACTCCAATACCTGGATACCTCAAACACAACCCCAACACCTGGATACCTCAAACGTAACTCCAACACCTGGATCCCTCAAACATAACTCCAACACCTGGATACCTCAAAGTAACTCCAACACCTGGATACCTCAAATATAACTCCAACACCTAGATACCTCAAACATAACTCCAACACATGGATACATCAAACACAACCCCAACACCTGGATACATCAAACATAACTCCAACACCTGGATAACTCAAACGTAACTCCAACACCTTGATAACTCAAACGTAACTCCAACACCTGGATAACTCAAACGTAACTCCAACACCTGGATAACTCAAACGTAACTCCAACACCTGGATACCTCAAACGTAACTCCAACACCTGGATAACTCAAACGTAACTCCAACACCTGGATACCTCAAACATAACCCCAACACCTGGATACCTCAAACACAACCCCAACACCTGGATACCTCAAACGTAACTCCAACACCTGGAAACCTCAAACATAACTCCAACACCTGGAAACCTCAAACATAACCCCAACACCTGGATACCTCAAACGTAACTCCAACACCTGGATAACTCAAACATAACTCCAACACCTGGATACCTCAAACACAACCCCAACACCTGGATAACTCAAACGTAACTCCAACACCTGGATACCTCAAACATAACCCCAACACCTGGATACCTCAAACATAACTCCAACACCTAAATAACTCAAATGTAACTCCAACACCTAGATAACTCAAACATAACTCCAACACCTGGATACCTCAAACATAACTCCAACACCTGAATAACCCAAATGTAACTCCAACACCTGAATAACTCAAACGTAACTCCAACACCTGGATACCTCAAGAGTAGTTCCATCACCTGGATAACTCAAACATAAATTGAACACCCATTGTTTACTTACAACTGTGAAGACATTATCTGTTGTCATCCCTTGACATTGTCCGTTCTAGTTCCTCTCGACGTTCTCGTCTTCTTTTTTCATCAACTCTCTTTTGTAATTCAACCACTTCTTGGAATTCCTTCGGGGTTCCAAACCAATCATCAGAGTTTTTGTACATAATAAAAGCACAAACACCAAGAAATCCAAAATAACGCAAAACTGAACCAGCACCCCCAGGGTTATTTCTCAGCTTCCAAAATGATGGCTCAACCTCTTTCATACTGAATGGACTACTGAACCTCTCAGTTCTGGAAAATAATCAAAAAGGAATAATAAGCAATATAAAACAAAAGGCCAAACGGGCTTATATATTTCATCCGTCATGAATTATACCTATACATTGCACAATTTTTAAACTATACTGAATCCAAATTTAAAGAAGAAGCAATGTCATTTATGTCGCCCCATTCAGTAGACGGGTCAGGATGAGATGCCAAAGATACCATATACAGTGTAGGGAATCACAGGACTTAGGTTAAGAATCCAAGAATTTTGAAAATGGCGGCCAGCAGTAACTTTGAAGCAGCAGGAGAGGGAGAAGACAGTAAGACAGTAAGATGGGAGAAGACGGTAAGACAGTAAGATGGGAGAAGACGGTAAGACAGTAAGATGAAAGAACCACGTGAAACGAGACATAGCCCATATCACTCCGACAATAATTCGTCATATGTTCATATTTAAACGACCTGTCATTTTTTTGTAGTTTTTTCAAATATTCAGAGAAACTGTCGCCAAATGTCAATTTATGTCGGCGATTTGTTGTGATGTTTCCCATGAATAAAACTAGTTTTTTACACTACCGTCCAATAGCTCCGTAGTTATAATCCTATACGCATATAATTTGCCAAATTTACGAATTTTGATAATATTTCGGTTACAAAACTTGCACAACGACTTCGCAAATTCCATTTCCAGTATGATTTTTGAGATGATGAGTTCCCACACCAGTTTTAAAGTGAACAGAATGTGATGAGTGACCAGGACAGCAATGTTCTTATATGCTATTTTGTAAATGTTTTATTCGTTCCAGATGAGCCATAATGAGATAAAATTAACTAAATCGATGTTCATATATGCCTTGCCCATTTGATAATGTAGTAGGCTAACAAATTTGGCAATTTATTAGTCAGCATTTGTTTCAAAACAATTAATTGGGCAACACAGTAAAAGGGAACAGAGTATTAATTATATAATCTTGTCCATTTTATGTTTTCAAAAATAATTTTTCCTATTTTTTATTTTATACCAATTATAAAACAAGTTATTTCAACTCATATCAATCACTCTTATTGACCCGTATGTGGGCATGCAGGGGTCTTAATGTGACGTGGTCAGGCAAGTGACACCATACACTTTTAAGTCCGTTTGGGGAATCAAACCCTGGCAACCTTGGTGAAAGGCAAGTGTGCTATCCACTGCCCAGCTGACCACTCAAAAATAGGTATTGATATTATTAACACTTTGCAAAGACTCGTTCATGCATACCAAGAGGAAGTTGTTTGACTTTTTATATATATATATGTACATTTTGTACATTGTATTCCCATTAGACCAATATGACCTACCAAAATAGGCCAAGATTATTATTTTTGCGAACAATGTCGGCTTCATCCAACCAAACTTCTGATCAAATACTGAAAATTTAGGTTTATAAGAATCGGAAAAAAGTTCGAAAGAAAAACAATATTTGATTAATATCTATTGATAGATCGAATCCTCCTGACACACATTTCGGATTGTTGAAACACAAAATTTATGGAAATACTGGAACTATCAGCTAATTGGCGATGAAATAAATACCTTGCAAAGCTCGTCAAAATTTATCATTTCTCACATTGACAGTACTTAATTTTTGGGTAACAGGTTGTATTCATGATGTGTGACAATCGTATTCAACTGTGACGGACAGTTTGTTCATAAATATGCCACATATTAACGTTAATTGAGATTGGTTGCTTGAAAACATGTACACGCCAGCTATAAAACTTTAAGCCTCGACCACGCATAACATCCTATCAGAACAGAGTGCGGAATATTGACGTTGCATTACAGACAAACAGAAATGTGTGTATTGTCATTCTGTGGTATATTTTATTAAATATGAGATTGAAGCGTATAAGTACAGAAACTGGGCATCCTTGATGTTTTTACACCTCCCAGAACACCTTTAATCATGTACCTGAGCTGAGTTCTGAACAGTTACCGTGTGCAGCCATTGGTGAATTTGAGTCGTTTGTCGTAGCACCAGTAAATCAGGACGACATATTACACATACCTCATGTACAATCTGATTACATAATCACGACAAGGCCACCGATTCCTAATTAATTACTTAATTTATGTGCTATCTGCATTTATGCCAAAGCAAACAGGTTGATCAGGTGGTATATGGTATAGATATGATTCCAATTAAACCTATGCCGCATTACCTGTGCCTTTGTAAGTTGGCCTTGCTAAAGTAAAGCTTATCGCAGCATTTATATGGGGCTTGCTTTTGATGTCTTTTTTTCGTGACTATACATGCCGGAAGCGCTCTTCACATTTTCCCCACATAATGAGCAGATATGTATTTTTGCATAGATGGAAAAAATAATGCATACTAGATGTATATATGCTACCTGTAAATCTTTTTCAATTGATTGAAACTTTATTTTTTAAATAATGTTAAATTATAAATTTACGCCGGGTGAATTCCTACAATTACCTTTGCAACTACAATTGGATACCATATTGTATTCCGACTTTGAAAAAATACATGTTTCTGTTAAATAACGTGGCACTTTTGGAGAGTTAGATCTATTGAAATTATTCCAGACAACATAACAGATAGCACACATTAGCTGAGGTCCGGAGATTGAATCCACGTGTAAGAGATGTTTTGTTCAAGAGAAACGCCTTACTGACATTCTTCATATATTTCTCTTTATTATAGTAAATAGGCAAGTAACTCCGTTAGAAAAACAACTTAAAGTTGGAACTCTTCTTCGAGGGAGATAAAACACAGAACAAAGGACTTACTGTCTTGATGTGAATTACTCTAATTAATATTGTGTTTTGTTCATGAACCACACAGAAATAAAGGGTGATATGTGTTTTTGAATAGATAATGACCGAGTAAAATACTGATATTACACATCATTAGTGGTCTCTCATCACATTCTGTTCACTTTAAAACTTGTGTGGGAACTCATCATCTCAAAAATCACACTGGAAATGGAATTTGCGAAGTCGTTGTACAAGTTTTGTAACCGAATATTATCTAAAATCGTAAATTTGGCAAATTATATGCTTATGGGATCATAACTACGGGGCTATTGGACGGTAGTATCAAGAACTAGTTTTATTCGTGGGAAACATCAGAACAAATCACCAACATAAATTTCTCTGAATGTTTGAAAAATTTACGATGAAATGACAGGTTGTTTAAATATGAACAAATGAGGAATTGTTGTCGGAGTGATATGGGCTGTCTCGTTTCACGTGGTTCTTTAATCTTACTGTCTTTCTGTTTTTTACCTCTCCTGCCACTTCAAAGTTACTGCTGGCCGCCATTTATAAAATTTGTTGATTCACCAACTTAAGTCATGTGATTCCCTACACTGATATAGTTATACTATACAATTGTAAATGATATATATAGAGAGTGCTGCAGAGTAAAATGTAGAAGACTGAGATTGGGAAAACACAGGTTCATTTTTCAATTGGAAATGGGTCCCCGTACGTACCAGACCCTATACTACCTTGTAGATACATTGTACCATCTGTCGAGCCATGATTTACAGTGGAATACACACACTGTCATCAAAGGAACATATCGGTATAAGCGCCTCTAAACCATCAGTAAAGAAGACTGCATACAAAGTCAATGGCCTTATTGAACCAGGAGTATCGGTCTGAAGTTATAGGCTTGCACAGACCCATACACACTGAAACCGCTGGAGTTTGACGTTATAGTCGGTGTATATATCATGTCCACTAGGCCTATTAGATAGTGCTCATCTTTTAATATGTTTTGCTAAATATTTATTGTGTAACTGTTAATGTCTTTTATGTTTCGGTTTTAATAGCTCATTAGAGCTTATGTTGTATTGGCTTTAACCATACCGACGTTAAATAAAACTTTTGATTTGATTTGATTTTGATATGATCTGCACCCCCATTACCACAGGTACTACCAGTCTGTCAATACACCCAAGATTATATTATGGGTACATTGACAGACGAGGCTAGTACCTGTAGCCTTTACTGTGCTTGAAAGAATAGTATGATATTGCAATAGAAACTTACAGTAAGCAAAGCGATGCCCAAAAGTCAGGGCACAGAAATGTAACAGACGAGCGATCAGAATGTTAGCGGACTAAGAAACAAGTAGCCCGGATTTGCTCTGGCCCTGACAACAGACTTAGACATATAGGTTCCTGTGTCAAAATGTCTTAGTCTGGTGTCAGGGCCTGAGGAAACTCGGGCAAAGAAACAGGTAAGGATACACAATCGTTGTTAATCGGAACCCTCCCCCTCTCGACATGTTTTACTGCAGCTACTGCGACTGACCCACTCGGACCATAGGGGCAGAATTTTTGAACTGTTGATATTTCTTCATTCACGTAGCGATACGACTGAGGTTGTATCGAGGCGATAACAACCTTCTTTTCCTATGTATGTTCTCACCGCCACTCTCACCTTGAGCCTTGTAATCGTTGTAATCTGTGTCGCTGGAAAGCTTTCTACTAGCCACCTGCCGATAGAGCGTTTAATTGCTTATGATTTGTATTCGGACTCCTCTCTTACATCGGAAAACCAACATGTTGCCGCCTTACGGTGCCTATTTCCTATTTCACCGAAATTAATCAGTTATGGTTTTAAACAGAATTGATACAAGGTTCTTTAAGGTATTTTATCTCTAAGAATGCCTCATAGAATATTTTCAAATATGTAGCTTTATGCCTTACGGTAACTATGCTGGTTCACGCTTGATGGTAAACAAGATCTGGACAGGTTGGGCACAACATTTGGGTAACATTTGAGTAGCAACTGTATTACTGAAATGGGGAATAAAGTGAAACGAAAACACAAAGTTATTTCAAATATCATGAACAAAAAAGGGCGTCACTCTTTCAATATCCAATAAAAATACAATTGTGCAAAAATATGTTAATTCGGTTGTATAAATGTATCGCCTCAATTGCTTACAGTGTATTGTTTAGTAGCTGTAAATAGTACACAGAAATAAATCATGCTCACATGGCACATATGCACTAGATGATCCCATTTACTACACACTGAAGTCAATAGGGTGATCGGACGGTGCAGTGGATAGCGCACTTGCCTTTCAACAAGGCGGCTGGGGTTCGATTCCCCGATCAGACGTGAAAAGGTTGGGGTCACCAGCCCGGCCACGTGGGTTTTCTCCAGGTACTCCGGTTTCCTCCCACACCAAGACACCCCACACGCAAACATCCGGGCCAACAAGAGTGATTGATATAAGTTGAAAAATAACTTGTTTCATAATTGTTGTAAAAATAAAGTTTATATTATATAATGGAGAACAAAGTCCGTGATATGGTTCATCATTTTCACAAAAAGTTAGACATTGTGACATCATTTATTGAATTTAGATGAAATAATAACACCTTTTTGCTCGGAGTGTTAATTTAAAAGAACTTTGTGTGATTTCATTTCACTTTATTCCCCATTTCAGTTGAATTGTTACTCAAATGGGTAACTGTTACCCAAATGCAGGATTATTACCCATATGCGCCTTTGTGCCCAACCTGCTGAAGATAACATTGATATGTTATGTAATTAACAAACTGAATAACTTATTCTCATCTCCTATATGTACCCCTAAAATATGTTTGAGTAAACTCTTAATGTGACAGTGACACCGCATAACAAAACATAAGAATCAGTAAACTCTAGTAAAAACAAAGGACTTGGGAGTCTCACATAATCATCCTCCCCAGTACTGCAAATAAGTCTTCCAAAAAAATAGCCAAGAACAGAGATATAAATCCCTCATCCGATGTCTTGTCAATTTCTTAAGTACTTGTCATCTGTTTGGGACCCCTATCAAAAATGTGATATTAATAATGGGCTGCACAATATGTCGCCAATATATTTCGTAATACCATGGACTTTGATCAAATCTAATTCCTGATAATACCTTTTAAAATGCTGGTGACATATGTAACAGGAAAGAGAATAGTGTGCTTCCACCGAGGATCGAACCGGCGATCCATAGGGTCCCAGTTGGATGCTCTACCACTGAGCTAAAGGGAAATTCCCTCTAGCTCGAAGCTAGAAGGCGACCATAATCCTATGTACAATTAAAATCTGCCACACATAGATGCTACAAGACTTAGGCTAGTCTGAATAACTGACATAGACCAGGTCCCTTTAAAATGTTTTGATCAGGTGGAGAAAGTTATCTCTGCCAATCAAAAAAAATCAAAAAGGAGATGGTCAGTTATATTGAACTTGGCCCAAACAACACCATTTCAATCTAATAGAACATACTCAAACCAAAACATGACAGACACAATTTTCTCATTCATTCTCCTAGCAAACACTGCTTTCCAAAACTAATTGTGGACAACAATCCTTCTTTTCAAGAACCATCATCAATTGGGTAAAAAACTACCCTATGTTGTGAACTGTCAGACTGAGACAATGGACCAGCCCCTCCCAAGCTGTCCTCTCATCCTTTGAGCATTTAATACTCTTATATGCCTATCACCCTTTCCTATCATATGCAGAATGTTGACATGATCTTCAACTTGATGAATTAAGTCAATATACGGTAGCAGTATGTAAATGTCTTTTAAGGGGAAGTAACTTATAATTGACAAGATACGCCACAGCATTTAGCAAGACATATTTTTGTACCCAAAGTATTAATTTTTGTGTTTTCTTTTTACATTTATTATTAGAACATTATTTGCGATCAAACAGTATTCTTTATTATATTTTCAAGAAAATCAATTGACTTAGTATCAGCAAATAAATGCTGGGTAAAGGGTATAACCCTTATGTTAGGCTACTTTTGATAGCAACTACTTGGGGCCAGATGACTCATATCATCACTGCTCACATTTGTTTTTCAGCTAGATGAGAAAAGAGCCCTTCAGGTAGAGTTTCATCGAATTGGTTCAAACTCCAAACCAGGTCCAAAGAAGTGGCTCAAGGACGATCAGTTGTCGGTAAGCAGGGTTATGAAAGTGAACACATCAAAGCATTAGGCTAATGAAAAAATCTGGGCTTAAATTAAAAAAAACTGAACATTATTTAACTTTTCATTTTAATGTGGGAGGGGACTTGTATGTATCATCAAAACTCCACTGTTAAATCAGTTCCAGTTTCGGTGCTTTAATCGTAGCAGGTAGGTTTTTTAACTGATCACCTTTTCATTAGATTGCCATGAAATATTAAAAAAAAAATGGAAATCATTTCCTTATTAATACATTTATGAAGCACATTGCTTTTTAAGTCACCTGTGATGAAATCTCGTGTGACCTATTACATTTGTGTTTTGTCTGTCGTTGTGCATCCTGTCTGCCTTGCATAGTTGATCGTACCTCCATAAACAATTCAAGTTTTCAAATTCTTCTCATTCACCAAACCTGTTTAAATTTTTAAAAATGCAGGAATCATAATATGATATATGAATATTCAAAAAGACAAGCAATATAATGAAACCCCAAATTTTTACATTTTGCATTTTTTTTTTTTTTCATTTGGTGATCCCATTTGGTGATCCCATGGGAGCCTCGTTTTAAAGTCACTTGAAGCCCTGATAGTTTAATATAACCAGTTCTTATTGGCACTGTTATTGACGTAGTGTCTTGTTGTATTAACATGAAAAAAACACTGAATTATCAAAAGTGTTTTTACGTTCATCTGTATTTTAATTAGTCTAATTTCTCCATATATAGGTGTTAAGGATTCAGTCATAATGGATGTCACAGAGAAAACTTCCAGTAAGGTGCGTTTTCAGTGTAACATTTGTTTGAAAGTGTGCACTCAAAATGCTGACCTGGTGAAACATGTAAGGGTTCACACAGGGGAGAGACCCTTTAGCTGTGATGTCTGTCACAAGGCCTTTTCTTCCTCCAGCGGCTTGTTGCGCCACACCAAGACAGTGCACTCTGACAATAGGCCCCACAAGTGTTACTTCTGTCATAAGGGGTTCAAAACCAAGGAGAGTGTCCAAGCTCACCTTGCCACGCATGGTGCAGTCACTAAATCATATAAATGCCACATCTGCGGCAGTTCTTACTCCGCAGACAGAAGCCTAAAATCACATATGAAGTTGCACACAGAAGAAAGGAAGTATTTTAAATGTGATATCTGTGAGAAGAAATACAAGTCCAAACCTAGCTTGATAATACACATGAGGACCCATACTGGAGAAAAGCCTTACAAGTGTGAAGTGTGTGGAGAGAAGAAGGCATGCTCGTCCACCTTGGCCGCACACATGTTCAAACACTCGGAGGAGCGACAGCATAAATGTGACAAATGTGGATTTGAATTCAAACGGCTTGCCCACCTACAACGGCACGTCAGGGCCCATGAAGGATTTAAACCTAACATGTGTACAATATGTGGGAAAAAATTCACTCAGTCTAGTAACCTGAAGAAACACCTGAAGGTTCATACTGGAGAGAAACTGTACAACTGTACTTTCTGTAGCAAGGCATTTACATGGAAAAGTGACAGAGACAGACACAGCAGAATTCATACAGGAGAAAGACCATTCAAGTGTGATATATGCAATAAGTCATATGCCCAGTCCTGTGCTCTTACCAGTCATAAACGCATGCACTCCGGAGAGCGGCCATTCAAGTGTAAACTGTGTGATAAAACATTTTTTCATTCCAGTAATCTATCGGCACATCACAAGATACATTTAGAAGAAAAGCAACACAAATGTGAGTTGTGTCACAGACAATTTGTAATGAAAGCACATTTGACGAGGCACATACGAGTACACTCCGGGGAGAGGCCATACCATTGCCATGTCTGTCAGAAAGGGTTCTTGGAAAAAGCACACATGACAGAACATATCAAGACACATTTAAAACAAGACCTTTCCAACAAGGAAGATCAACATGGTCATGAGGTGTCACCAGGGCGAGTGAGAAAGCGAAAACAGAGCAGGTCAAGTGCTTCCAAGTTCAGTGTTGATTCTGAGGAATTGGCTCCAATAAGTGAATCTGATGTACTGAAAACATGTAGTGATGAAAACAACAGACTGAGACAATCTAAATCTAAGGACTTGTGTAGGGATAAAAAGTTCAATAGTGCCAAAACTCTACGGAGACCCAATAGTGCCAAAACTCAACGGAAACCCAATAGTGCCAAAACTCAGCGGAAATCCAATAGTGCCAAAACTCAACGGAAACCCAATAGTGCCAAAACTCAGCAGAAACCCAATAGTGCCAAAACTCAGCGGAAACCCAATAGTGCCAAAACTCAGCGGAAACGCAATAGTGCCAAAACTTAACAGAAATCCAATAGTACCAAAACTCAACAGAGGCAGGGACATTTAAAAGCAAAGAAGTTGCATTGTGTTTGGAGTTAGCCAAGTGAAAGATGGAATGAGTTATAGGTCAATAACGGGTAGTCTCCAGGACATTGTAAGGTGAGAGTCTGCAGGTGCTTTTAGTAATCCTTAACAAATAAGGTTTTATATTTCATAAAGTAAGAGTCTGTGACAAGCAGGTGTGTGTAATATTAGTCGGGAGACTGTCCTGTAACAGGTAGGCTTGTGGATCGCCGTTCAAACAAGTACCAGGTATTTGTAATTATCGTGGGCTGCTAATAAGTACTTAATGTGTTCGGATTATATAAGGCCAAAAAATTAATACTGGGTTATGTGTGTTTCAGGTATCCAGACCTACCTTAGATTTTACTGCCTCCCTAGATATTTTATCACCTAGTTGTACCTATGATTAAGTTATTAGCCGTGTAAAGTCCACATGCAGCCACTCATTAAAATGTACTTCTTTTTGACAAACTAATAGCTATGTAATGTGTGGAAATGCATTGTAAAATTTGAAATATAAAAGCATAAAATTAATTCACAAAAATAGAATAAACATTAAAATAAAACTATTTGCCTGCTGACCTACCGTATTTCTTTCAGGCATGTTACCTGAAGCAATGAATGTTTTTGGGGCCTTACCAAAGATTTTAGATAATGCTCTGCACCTTTTTATTACTGTGCATTCAGACGTTAATGATGAGGCATGCTTGTTTCATTTCTGTTATTATATATATATATATGTAATATTATTTGAATAGCATGTCATGGTATAGATCAGGTCTAGAAACCAATGGTGGCCTACATATAAATCATATGTGCACAAATTATAAATCATTTGTATATTTTGTCTGTAGATATATATTGGTCTGTTATAAGCTAATAACATCAAATACATTTCTGTTGAATTGCTAACATCAGTCATTATTCAGTTTTTGTTATTTTTTTCTCAAGAACTCCTAGACAAATCTTCCTCAAATTCATATGTAGGGTTATCTTGGTGTTAAGTGGTGCATGACTGATCTCAGAAAATGCAAGATGGCCACCAAATTTCATATGTATGCTCCTCTTGGCTTTCGGTTTTGCCTGTTTTATTTTGAGACTGAATGGAAGAACAAGATGGTCACCGGGCAGCCATGTTGGATTTTAACAGTTTAAATCCGTTCTTGCTATTTCTGAAGATTGACAGACCTTTCTCAAATTTCATTTCCTCTTATTCATAGATCTCTATTTTAGTAAAAAGGGCAAGCAGCAATATGCATTTTCTGTTGACAAGACTGTTATCCCAACATATAATCGAAATGATCTAACTGACATGGAACCTTATGGAGATCTTTCCAATGGTGGGCGCCAAGGTCCATCTGGGATCTGTGGTTTTGTTTGGTGTTTGACAAACTTCAAGTAAGGTCATATGATGACAGCAGCATTAAGATTGTAGATATTATATACATCACGACAAGATGGTTTGTCACATCTATAGCACTCCGGTTCATGCCCCTCAAGGTCAAGATCACAGCAAGGGCTTAAAGGTCAAACCACTACACCATTTATAATTTGCCAAACATTGCATGTGAACTGCCAAACATTTCATGTGAACTGCCAAACATTGCTTGATCTAACCATATAAATTATGGTACGAGTTGTTAAAGATCGGGTATCACATGCATGTACCATACAGGTCACAGGTCGATTTCCCTAAAGTGGAAGTCACAGGTAGAGGTCACTAAAAAGGTTTTCAAATCTCTGATGCTTGTCAGGACCATTACTTGATTTCAACAGTTTGCTCTGGTTGCTTGTAATGTTTTGCTTTCCTTCTTTTTCAGGAAATCAAAAATTTATTGCATGATATAATTAAGCAGTGTGTGAATGACACAGAGAAGACAGAGAAGAAGACTGAACGATCCAGTCAGATTATCACAGGTAAGTAACTAGGGTGAGAGACATGTTTGTTAGAGACAAGTGGAAGTCTGAGGAAGGATGAATGATCCAGTCAGATTATCACAGGCTAGTAACTAGGGTAAGAGCCATGTTTGTTAGAGACAAGTGGAAGGCTGGGGAAGGCTGAATGATCCAATCAGATTATCACAGGTTAGTAACTAGGGTGAGAGACATGTTTGTTAGAGACAAGTGGAAGTCTGAGGAAGGCTGTGTGATCCAGTCAGATTATCACAGGTAAGTAACTAGGGTGAGAGACATGTTTTTTAGAGACAAGTGGAAGTCTGGGGAAGGCTGAATGATCCAATCAGATTATCACAGGCTAGTAACTAGGGTAAGAGACATGTTTGTTAGAGACAAGTGGAAGTCTGGGGAAGGCTGAATGATCCAGTCAGATTATCACAGGTAAGTAACTAGAGTGAGAGACATGTTTGTTAGAGACAAGGGGAAGTCTGGGGAAAGCTGAATGAATCAGTCAGATTATCACAGGTTAGTAACTAGGGTGAGAGTCATGTTTGTTAGAGACCAGGGGAAGTCTGGGGAAAGCTGAATGATCCAGTCAGATTATCACAGGTTAGTAACTAGGGTGAGAGACATGTTTGTTAGGGACAAGGGGAAGTCTGGGGAAGGCTGAATGATCCAGTCAGATTATCACAGGTTAGTAACTAGGGTGAGAGACATGTTTGTTAGAGACAAGGGGAAGGCTGAATGATCCAGTCAGATTATCACAGGTAAGTAACTAGGGTGAGAGACATGTTTGTTAGGGACAAGGGGAAGTCTTGGGAAGGCTGAATGATCCAGTCAGATTATCACAGGTTAGTAACTAGGGTGAGAGACATGTTTGTTAGAGACAAGGGAAGCCTGGGGAAGGCTGAGTGATCCAGTCAGATTATCACAGGTTAGGAACTAGGGTAAGAGACATGCTAGTCAGTACAGTCAAAAAGGCTGCATGATCCAGTCAGGTAGAAATAGGTCAGAAACTAGATAGCACTTGGCCAGAGACTTACTCAGTAAAACTATTGTATGGAAATTTACGGTAAATATAAGAATGTCCAAACTTGACTGGCTTTTTGATCATAGTGGGGTTTTTTTTGGGGGGGGCGGGGGGGCCACCATTTGTACAAAGAGATGAAGGTTCTAAATGATTCTGTATATTAGTTATTTATAAACAACTATGTAATTGATTGCAAAATATCTCTGACAGGTTGAGGATATTGGGTCAAACATCCAAACATTTATAGTGTAATGCATCTTATTGTGACAAAAGCTGATTCGCAGACTGAAAAATCTGTAAATTTTCCCGTTCTGACAGAATTCTTATTGACTAACAAATCTTTTAATTTGCAGATATATGTACATGTATATTGGTTAATGGGCCATTAACTGTATTTTTTTTGTACACTGCACTAACATTGATTGGAAGACCATTAATTGTACTGATTTAATTTGTTTCCATTGCTAGGTAACACAGTGAAATTAGGCTGTGTGTTCAAGAAGTCCCCTTCACATGATGTGCTGCTTGGGGAAGCTAGTGATGATGGTAGGTAATGGTTGGGCATATCAGCATAATATAACAAATCTTTTGTGACATGAAAGTTTATAGTTCATTATGTAAGTTCATAAATGTTCCTTGATCTAACTTTTCTAATGAAAGTTTAATTCTTAAAAGTGTTGGGTTTTTTTCAGTGAAGCTTTTATATAAAATGTTATGTCTTTCAGAATCTCCGTACCGGTCATTGTATGGACAGAAGTTGATTGTGTATGTATGTCCTATAGAGACAGGAAGTCCAAACAACGGATCAGAGGTGGGTTGCTTACTGGGATACAGACATTTCAGTACTCAGTCGTTTCAGTGCTGAGATTTTCAGTACTTGTTTAAGATGTTTCATTATTTTCCAAAAGTTGCTTCGATATATTATATGATTTCAGTACTTTAACCAACTTTTCTACTTTTTTAAGGTTTTTCAGTATTTTTCATCAAACAAGTACTAAAACATCCTATTGTTACTTACCGAAACAACAAAGTACTAAAATAACTAGAACTCGCTTAGTTGACAAGAGAATTCTATGATCACCTTTTTCACCGCTGAAATAAAGCGCAAATTAAAATATGGGGCAAAAATATTACAGAATGCTGGCTGGTAGTCTTGCAATTCAAAGGAAATAAGGTTCTTGTTGAAAAAAGATACATAACAACGACCCTACTTCCGTAATCGTCGGTATCGACGGAGGAAGTCTAACAGATGAAGATGAAGATGTTTATGCCCTACAATTTTTCAAACTTTGTTGGTTTGACTTAAGAAGTCTTATATGTACACTGTTATTTGCCTGGTATATTCGGTTTTATTAACCGGTATTTTCTCCTACAGCTGTACAGGGCGATGGTGCGGGCTGAGATTGGAAGTACCGGTAAGATGATGAAGATCAGTACTTACTTCAGTAAGGCTGGGGGGAGTGGCACTCAGGGTAGTGGTACAGGTACAGCTCAGACTACCTCCTCCTCCTCCTCCTCCCAGGACCAGAAACAAGTCATCAGAAACATGTAAGTTCATAGAAAAGAAGCTTCTTGCATTTGTTATTTTAAAAATTTATATCTTATTATTTATTAAACCCCCAGCAGCGACGGGGTATACTGGAATCAGCTGGTCTGTCCGTAGAAAAAGTTTGTCCAGAAAACTCCGTCTAAATTAATAGACCAATTTCAACAAAACTTTCCAGATATGATAACTACAACCTGAAGTTATGCATCCAGGTATTATTTTTTTATTCTGACCCTTTTTTACGAAGTTATGGCCCTTTGTTGAAAAAGTCCTGAATCTTGTTGTCCGGACAACTCCTTCTAAAGTTATGGATCGATTTCAACGAAACTTTCCAGATATGATAACTACCACCTAAAGTTGCGCATCCTTATATTATTTTTTCATTCTGACCCTTTTCACGGAGTAATGGCCCTTTGTTGAAAAATACTTGTCCAGAGAACTCCTCCAAGACTACGCGGTTAATTTCAACGGAAGTTTTCAGATATGATAACTACCTCCTGATGTTATGCATCCAGGTATTTTCTTTTCAACCCATGTTTATGGAGTTATGACCCTTTGTTGAAAAATCTTTGTCCTGATAACTTCTCCTTGTCTACTGGGCCAATTTCAAAGAAAGTTTACAGATATGATAACTGCCCCCTGACTTATGTCATGGTGCGTCGTCCGTCCGTCAACTTTTCCTTTAAACAACTTCTTCTGAAGAACACACAGGCATAGAGCCATGATATTTGACTGAAAGCTTCGTTGGTAGGAGCCCAACAAAGTTTGAGAATGAAAATGACCTTGACCTACTTTCAAGGTGACAGGGGTCAAATGTGTCTAACACTTCAAATGACTTCTTCTGAAGAACTGAATGGTATAGAATCTTCAAATTTGGCTGGTGGTTTCCTGGGATAGAGCCCATCAAAGTTTGAGAATGAAAATGACCTTGACCTACTTTCAAGGTAACAGGGTTCAAATATGTCAAACACTTCAAACGACTTCTGAAGAACTGAAAGGTATAGAATCTTCAAATTTGGCTGGTGGCTTCGATTTTCCTGGAATAAAACCCAACAAAGTTTGAGAATGAAAATGACCTTGACCTACTTTCAAGGTCACATGGGTCAAATGTGTCAAAATCTCCGAACGACTTCTGAAGAACTAAAAGGTATAGAATCTTTATATTTGGCTGATGGCTTCCTGGGATGGAGCCCGACAAAGCTTGAGAATGAAAATGACCTTGAACTACTTTCAAGGTCACAAGGGTCAAATATGTCAAACACTTCAAACGACTTCTGAAGAAGAACTGAAAGGTATAGAATCTTCATAATCGGCTGGTGGATTCCTGAGATAGAGAAGTGAGAGCTAACAAAATTTGAGAAGGAAAATGACATTGACCTACTTACAAGGTCACAGGGGAAAATATGTCAAACAACGTTAACTTCTGAAGAAGAACCAAAAAGCATAGAATCTTATAATAGTATTTGGCTGGTGATTTCAACAGATGGAGCCGACAAAGTTTGCGAGGGAAATATTTGTAGTGCAATATAATATTTAATGAGAATATTTTGCTATGACTGCTGAAATATTCAGGTGAGCGATACAGGCCCTCTGGGCCTCTTGTTTTCATAAATAACTTGGAGATTTTTACTAATGAATAAATATTAGTCATTAACTTGTACTTTATAGAAATGTAAATTATGTTTTAAAAATAATTTGTACATATCTAAATTTTCACAGAATGAAACGAGGTAAAATGGCGAAGCAAAGCAAGAAAGTCGAGTCATCAGCTAGAAAGAGAGAGGAACAAATTAAACCCAAACAACAAGAGAACACGTCACAGAACACAAGCGACCACAAACAACAGGACGACACAACACCAGATGCAAACATTGCTGGTCACAAGGAAAAAATGACTTCCACAGATGACAACATCACGCAAAGTATAAACAACCCCCCTACAAGTACTGAATTTTCTCTAACTTCAGATGTTATTGATATTACAAGTTATAAAGGTGACGATATGGAATTTATGCCAGATGCAACTGTCAGTAAATGTAGACATAAAAATCAGACAGGCAACTTCGATGAAAAACAAGATTCCATGGCCTCAGAAAACATCGGAGTTACTCGTGGTGTTAGTTCTCTTGGTACCATTACTCTTTGTGGTGTTTCTTCGTCTGTTGCTCAGGATTTCCAACCTTCCGATGAACATACAATTACTGTGTACAGTGCAGAACAGATACAGGATCTCAAATTAGAAGTTATACCTCCTGCTTGCCACCCAGACCCCTCTGTCAAAGTGAACAGGACTACACCTGTACCTTCTACTTTTAACCCCAGTCCCTCAGAGGAGGGCTTGGAGCTGGGTGACGACTCCAATGATAGCATATTACCCTCCTACAGTTTTATAGACCAGAAAACTGAGAGTAGGCCTGATGACAATAGTGATTTAGAGAACAAGAATTCAGATGTGGATAGTGACACACTTTTTGATCAATTTAGTGATACACATGTTGATGATGATAGCATTAGAGCAGTTACCAGTGATTCTGATTCCTCCAGTGATGACAATTTTCCTGTTTTATCTACGACACAGAGACGGAAATCTCCCTTTAAAGTGTTGGAAGGGCGAACTAATGGATCAACACTAGACGACTCCGTAACCGATTCAGATGGTGGTGCTTGTCTGAAGGCTTTGAAGCGTCGAATGACCAAGAAAAGGATTTTACCCAACTTTCCATCTGAAACGAAATCTGATGAAGAAATTCCAAATAAAAGACTGAAGTACGATTCAGAAATAAAATCTTCAAAAACAAATAATGAAACTTTTGATTCTGATGTGCAAACACCAGATACTTTAAAATCCACATCAGTTGTTGAATTGCCGTCATTGATGAGAAGTAGGAATAGCAAAATGTCTCGTGCACCAAAGGAGTTGAAGCAGGCTACACTGTCATTTAAGGGTGGGAATCTAGCCGTCACAAAGACACAAGATACCCAACCATGTGTTTCTGAAAATGATAGACTTGACTGTATAATTATGGAGGACCAGGCATCACAGAGGCTCCGATCAGACCTCCGTCGGGAAGTAATACATGCAGAGTAAGTATACAGTGACTTATTACATACCTGATAAATAATACTATAGTGATACAGCCAGAGTTTGTCATGCAGTAAAAAAAAGCTTCTTACACAGTTTCTATACAAGAATGGTATATTATTCCAGTAGAATGTTGCATTTCTCTTTTAAAATGTTGTGTAATTACCATCAAAGATATTGTATTACCTTCGTAGAATGTTGTATTACCATCAGTGAATTTGTTTTACCTGCGTAGAATGTTGTGTTGCCATCAAAGATTTTGTTTTACCTTCGTAGAATGTTGTTTTACCTTCGTAGAATGTTGTGTTACCATCAGTGAATTTGTTTTACCTTCGTAGAATGTTGTGTTACCATTTCAGATTTTGTTTTACCTTCGTGGAAAGTTGTATTACCATCAGTGATTTTGTTTTACCTTCGTGGAAAGTTGTATAACTATCAGTGAATTTGTATTACCCTCCTAAAAAGTCGTATAGCCTAGTAGAATAATCATGGTAAGAATTATTCTATAAATAGTATTGAGGACATTGGTTTGCTGTATTAGATATACATACAGGGTACAGAGCGTCATCGGATACAGACAAGGACTCTGTATTTGATATATTACAGACCAAGCTTATGCTGCAGGAAATACATAATTCGGTGTGATGGAAATTTAATTGTGGTTTGACCTAGTGAAGTTTAGGTCACTATGGAATAGGAAGGTTTAGATAAAACAGGGTCATCAAACAAAGCTAAGTAAACTGATGGTGGCCAGGCTTGCACAATAGTTACTAAGTAAGAAGTTTTGTACAGATCAATATCCTTGCATATGTAAAATATACAGGAAACAATCAAAGTATAATACACGTTTGCTGTGCTCTTAATCATCATGTGTCTTCATTCTTCAGAAGTGTGAAGGATCTAAATGAACAGCATGTGCGGTTCCTTGTTCAGGAAAACAGACGGTACCTAAAAGACATATTTGAGGGCAAGGTGAGTCTCGGAATAAATCCACGTTGGATATCTATTTGTTTTCCCTTTTACATCATAATATGTTAATGTGTTGCTATGGTAACAGGTGATTAATATCTGCTGTTGAATAAATAATTGCTTTTCCTTACATACTGAAAACACAGACGAGTAGACTGTAAAATAGTTTGTTTTTTTGGTCGGATATTGAGTTGTTCTGCATAGCAAGGTACGGTGTATTAATCTTTCAGTTCTGCTCTGTAACTACACCTGAAGGTAGTATTTTTCATCTTAAATCTTTCTTGCATGCAACTTATAAGTGATACACTACTATAACTAGCTATAACTAGATAGCACCCTTAGTAAAGGGTTAATTTCATATTTCTGAACTCTTTCAAAACTGATCCTATATATGTTGGAAGGGTTAATTTATGCATATTATCTATAATTATTTGTACTTTAATAAATGTAGTGTTGTGTACATATATATGTTAGTAACTTATATACCTCCTTCATAGTTGAGGGGTGTATAGTAATCACGTTTACAGTTCTTCTGAAGGTCTACCTGTAGTTAATAGCTTGTGTACAAGATATCTCCTTGACCTTTTAAGAGGTTTATTTTTACTATCTTCTAGAGTATGGTAACATGGAGTTCTACATCTTGGAAGTTATTGATCTAGGGTAAAGGGTTTGAAGTGAAAAGCTTGTGTACAACATATCTCATGAAACCCTCAGCAGATTTAGTACTATGAGTTCTACAGCTGATAGGTTAATGGATCAAAGGTCATGCTTGGCTACTTTGGAAGCAAAAAAGTAGAGTGCAAGATAGTTCATGTACCCCCTCAACAGATTTAGTTTATATTTAAACAACAGTATGGTAACTTTGAGCTCTACACCAGAGTAAGCTTAAGGTGGTCATCAGTGAAGATTAAGTGATCAAAGATCACACTTCACCAGTGTTGAAAGGGTTAGTAGGGGGAGGGGGGGGGGGTATATCTATGTGAACTACCATTGTCTTTGTTAGCTGACCTGCCCAAAGGGCAAGTGATCAGCGTATGCCGTGGTGCATCTCCTGTTGTCTGTCCACTCATCATCAACTCTTTCTTTAAAACAATACTAGTCCAGTGCCACTGAGTAGAATTTGACCAACTCTGGAGGATTGTTGGATCAGATGGATTTAACATATAAAGGGGGGGGGGGTTAAATCTTTATAATCCTAATTCTTCAGTAAGGGTTAAGGAAATTTTACCCAAAGTTTGTGTGAAGCATCTTTGTATAAATGGATGGTTGTGGCCTCCGTGGGAGTGGGAACAGAAAGGCAGAAATAACAGTAAATCTATAGGTGACCTCTGCAGGCCCCTTGGCCTATTGTTTTTAACTTATAAGACAAGGACAGGATCTTCTGGATCTCTTTGATAAAGTACAGTTTGCCAAATTTGACTTGATATATAAGCTGTTTTCAGACAGTTTGACACAGCAGCGTATCTAGCAAGTAAAAACATGTAAACTATAAAATTTGTCAAAGATATTCAGAAGTTGTTGCCCTCATCTATATTTTTTCTAATACAATATAGTGACATTTTATGTAGAGGAGTATAAGTAACACTTGCCCTGGCAGTTTTCTAGAGAAACGCATTTCAATATTTCTGTAAGTCTATAGGTTACTAGAGCCTTGCTTATCTAAATTCTATAAAAGTTGAGGACAGCTATGTTCAGGGAACAGAAATATTTCAATTACTTAAACTTTTCATGCTACATACACAATTTACATGAGTTAATTTCTGTCTGAACAGATTCCGTGTGAAAGACATAAGCTGTACAAGCAAGGTGGCAGAACCAGAAGTAAGTAAACGTGTATACATTATATTTCACTGAATTTGAGCTGACCTGGTACAAAGTGCCTGGGAGCTTATGACATCTTACAGTGTCCATTGTGGACATTTTACTTCTTCAGAGCCATAAGGCTTAATAAAAAAAATGTTGGGTTTCCGCCAACTCTACCTAGTTAAATTTTTGTGCCTACCTTAAGTTTTTATTGGCATTTAGTGATATCTGTATGCACTGTTAAAGTCAGAACTCCTGCTCTATATATATTAGCATAGTAAAAATATTTTCCAAAATAAAAAACATTGCCACCAACCTACCTACCCTATTTATTCTGAGGATGATAGTGGAAACACAAGTAATGTTGGTGGGGTTTTTGGCCTGAGGATCAGTAGGCATAGTTGGCCTGTAGCAGCTGAGGTGAAAGTTAGAAATAAAATGACCTGACACATGTTCAAGGAGCAATTCTGTCAAAATCTTCATATGACTTCTTATAAACTATGAGGCCTAGAGTCATGATAATTCACCAGTATCTTGTTTAAGTGAAAGGCTGTTCAAAAACCTCATTGTGTAATTCGTTAGAAAAATCTGAGATGGCCTCCAAATTAGTAGAAATGTTTTCATTTTGTTTTCTAGTTCAGATAGAAACAAATGAATGATACAGGCCACATGAGCCTTTTGTCTATTTTTCCTATATTTATCCATTTCATTTTCCTGCTTGTAGATCGTTTGAACTACCAGGTATATCTGGGTCTTTTCACGGATGATAATGGCCATATTAGCCTTTTGTCTATTTTTTCCTATATTTATCCATTTTCCTGCTTGTAGATCGTTTGAACTACCAGGTATATCTGGGTCTTTTCACGGATGAGCAGCAGGACGTTGTCATGGAAGCACTTATGTCCATATTTTGTAAGAAGAATCACGGGGTAAGTCAGAGTGGTATGATGCTTCAATCTATCACTGTTTAGAATTTTTGCCTCCTCCCAACAAATGTCACATGACCTTCATGTCGATTGACAATAACCTCACTTAAAGGTCACCTGTGTCATCTAATTTAAACACAACATCCTCAAGTGTCACTGGTTAGTGGGTACTTGATTTGTTTGGCCGACTAGCTCATTAATACTGTATCTCTGTGGCTAACTTTAATACATACATTTACTTTTTGTGTCGCCTGCAACGCGAGGCGACATATAGGTATTACTTTGTCTGTTGCGTCTTCCGAAACAAGGTTTCCATGCGATTACTTGAGTTCCCTTGGGTTGATTAAGGTCAAACTTGGTACACATATTGCATACCAATATAGCTCGGAGGACTTTACATTTCAGAAGTTTACATGCATATTTGTTGGAGTTATGCCCCTTTTATTGCCAAATAAGGGTATTGTGTAGTAAATGCAAGAACTGTTTTATTTTTTAATCAGTTTCTTTCAAATTTTGTACAGTAATGCTAGAAGCAATAATGTTCAACATATATTACAGTTTTTAGCTCACCTGGCACGAAGTGCCAAGTGAGCTTATGCCGTGGCGCGGCGTCCGTCCGTCGTCCGTCAACTTTTCCTTTAAACAACTTCTTCTGAAGAACGGACAGGCCTAGAGTCATGATATTTGGCTGAAAGCTTCGTTGGTAGGAGCCCTACAAAGTTTGAGAACGAAAATGACCTTGACCTGTTTTCAAGGTCACAGGGGTCAAATATGTCAAAAACTTCAAACGACTTCTTCTAAAGAACTAAAAGGTATAGAATCTTCATATTTGGCTGATGGCTTCCTGGGATAGAGCCCAACAAAGTTTGAGAATGAAAATGACCTTGACCTACTTTCAAGGTCACAGGGGTCAAATGTGTCAAACACTTCAAACGACTTCTTCTGAAGAACTGAAAGGTATAGAATCTTTATATTTGGCTGGTGGCTTCCTGGGATAGAGACCAACAAAGTTTGAGAATGAAAATTAGTTTGACCTACTTTCAAGGTCACAGGGGTCAAATATGTCAAAAACTTCAAACGACTTCTTCTGAAGAATTAAAAGGTATAGAATCTTCATATTTGGCTGATGGCTTCCTTGGATGGAGCCCAACAAAGTTTGAGAATGAAAATTACCTTGACCTTCTTTCAAGGTCACAGGGGTCAAATGTGTCAAACACTTCAAACGACTTCTTCTGAAGAACTGAAAGGTATATAATCTTTATATTTGGCTGGTGGCTTCCTGGGATAGAGCCCAACAAAGTTTGAGAATGAAAACTAGTTTGACCTACTTTCAAGGTCACAGGGGTCATATATGTCAAAAGCTTCAAATGACTTCTTCTGAAGAACTGAAAGGTATAGAATCTTTATTTTTGATTGATGGCTTCCTTGGATAGAGCCCGACAAAGTTTGAGAATGAAAATGACCTTGACCTTCTTTCAAGGTCACAGGAGTCAAATGTGTCAGACACTTCAAACGACTTCTTCTGAAGAACTGAAAGGTATATAATCTCTATATTTGGCTTGTAGCTTCCTAGGAAAGAGCCGAACAAAGTTTGAGAATGAAAATGACCTTGACCTTCTTTTAAGGTCACATGAGGCAGATATGTCAAACACTTTAAACGACTTCTTCTGAAGAACTGGTAGTTATAAAATCTTAATATTTGGCAGGTGGCTTCCTGGGAAAGAGCCAAACAAAGTTTGCGAATGAAAATGACCTTGACCTACTTTCAAGGTCACAGCGTTCAAATATGTCAAACAGTTCAAACAGCTTCTTCTGAAGAATTAAAAGGCATAAAATTATAATATTTGGCTGGTGACTTCCCGGGATAGAGCTCACCAAAGTTTGCAAATGAAAATGACCTCAACCTACTTTAGAGGTCACAGAGGTCAACAACATTTTAATGGATTTGTTCTTGAGAACTAAAAGGAATGGATTCATAAGATTTGGCTGGTAGCTTTTTGGAATAGAGCTAACCAATTTGAGAAGGAAAATGACATTGACCTACTTACAAGATCACAGGGAAAAATATGTCAAGCAACTTCTGAAGAAGAATCAAAAAGCATAGAATCTTATAATAATATTTTGCTCGTAGTTTTAACAGATGGAGCCAACAAAGTTTGTGAGGGAAATATTTTTAGTGCAATATAATATTTAATGAGAATATTTTGCTATGACTGCTTAAATATTCAGGTGAGCGATACAGGCCCTCTTGGGCCTCTTGTTTCTGTCAAGTTTCAGCTTTCACTTGACATAGCAACGCTGTTCATTGTTTTTGCCATTAATTTTTGCTTGTTTACGCGATACCTCAAGCCAAAACACTTTTCTCACTAAAAGCGCTGAGCAGGCAATACATCCACTGCTGTGGAATTCTTGTTTTAATTAAATGTTTTCCTCTTGTGATGGGAATTGTCTTGACAATTTTTTCTCTTCTTTTATTGCAGTTTCTTGATTATGTGATGAAGGTCATATTGCCAGAGGTGCTCATCAAAATCTACATGGAGGTCACAGGGTTAAATCATGAGGAGGTTGATCACATCATGGCTAGTGGAGGAAGTTAGAGGATTATGTCATGAGGGTTTGGAGGACATCATGGCTAGAGGAGGAAGTTAGAGGATTATGTCACGAGGGTTTGGAGGACTTCATGGCCAGAGGAGGAGTTAAGAACTAAGTCCAAAGGATGTGGAGGTCTTCATGTCAACTAAAGTTAGAGGATTATGTCACAAGAGGATAATGTCACAAGAGGATAAGGATAATGTCACAAGGATGTGGAGTACTTCATGTCTACAAGAGTTAAATGACTAAGTCCAAAGGATGTGGAGGACTTAATGGGGAGAAGAGATTGTTAGAGGATTATGTCGATATAATATGGAGGAGTTCTTGGATAGAGGAGAAAGAGGATTATGTCTAAAGGATGTGAAGGATTTAGTGGCTAATGGATGTGCATAGAAAGAGCATCTGATATGTGTGTGTCATCAACACTGACAGACTTATTGATTTTGAAAGGCAGAATATAGACATACAATGTAGATATATATTTCAGCGAGTTATTTGAACCTAGTTGCTTCCAAAAATTTGTGATGGAAAACTTATATTATTTTCCTGGTAGAATTTAGTATTTTTGCAAATAATTTTAAATAGGTTTGAGATATAGTTTTTGACAAGCCACAGGTGGGTTTGGGTTACAGTATATATTTAGTTTTTAATATACGTGTTCCACCCCTGGGTTTAGGGTTTTTGCAATATTTTGACATGATGGAGAGGGTTTAAACTGTTTTTGACATAGTACATAGTTGTGTTTGCAGTTAAAAGACATGTTTTTGTTGTTTACTTGGACTAATGTGGTGACCTAATGTTTGAATTAAAAACCATCTGTGATGTAAATACATTGAACCATAAACAGATTCGATATAACTTTAGAAATTAGTGTACAGGTTACATACATCAGTGTTTATATGTGTTTTCAGGGATATCTTACTGTTCCTGGTTGTTGATGTTGTAGAATATGACATATGTATAACACCTGGTTTGTGTACTTGAGTCTTTGTTTATCCGATATCCGAGGAGTGTTTTGTGTTTAGTTTTGTTTTCTTTCTTTTTAAACTTTGATACATGTACAAATGATAACAAATTACTGTTTATGGGGAAATATTCGCCGCAGGTTAACTAAAGCCTTTTTTCGCCCTCGGTAATGAGGGCAAATTTATCATTAGAGCGAACATTGAAAAACATAATAATAAACATAGCCTTAAAAATGTGAAGGGTGAATTTAACACTGGGGGTCAAAATGGATCGGGCGAAAGTTTGACTGGGCGAAAGTTTGACTAGGCGAAAGTTTACCGGTAAACATTGTACATTGTTAAGGGCCTATCGCACGCTACTGATGTACCTCGCCGGGACTAAACCGGAGTAAAATATTAACAAAGGCAGAGCCCCGTCGAGAAAGCACTTGAAACATATTTAATTTAAGACAGGTTTAAGAAAATACTACATGCGTCGGTCAAATTTTGGGGTACAAATCATGTTTTTTGTAAAATCTGGGGAAATCACTTTTTGAAAAAAAAATCATTCTTCTAAAAGAAACCTGTTCAAAATGTAGTTTATAAATATATATATATATATGTAGGTGTGTTGTGCAGGATGAATCTGCTATCCATGTTTATCGGAGACGTGCCCTTTATTTTTAGGATCAAGCCATTTCTACTGTACTCTGCTCGTTGTTGTCCCGTTGCTCGCTCCGGCAGCGCTCCAGCAGAATGTTTGAACATGTTCAAAAATTTCAACCATCACCTGCCATTGCTAAATTTCCCGCCGATGTTCTGACGTTGTCCTGAGGATGTATTACCGTTCTTAGCGATGTGACACTGTTGCACTGCTGTTCTAGTACGGTCCCCGAAAATCGCCAAATTTGTGCTCAGGTATAGCTCCGGCAACCCAAATTGGCTAGGTGTGACACGGCCTTAAATGAGAGACAAATTACTGGTATTCTGTATGCTTTCCTCATCGTTGTTACATAGCATTATTCCTATCAGTTAATATGTGTTCCTTGCAATGTGTGGAGCTCTATGATTGTTATTGTTTCGCCGCCACCAAGTAGCGGAAGCGACAATAAGGTGTTGCTTTTCTAACGGTGGCGACGGCAACAACATTAAGTTTTTTGCGTTGAAGTTAGTTTCTCTGAAACCATTAGTGCTAGACCAACCAAACTTGGACCATAAATGCATCTTAGGAAGTACATCTCAACCCATGCATCAAATGCTTGATGAGGCCTATCTTTCATGGTCCATTGACTTCGTCAGCATCTCCATCAACGTTAAGTTTTTGCATTTTAGTTAGTTTCTCTGATATGTGCATATAAGGTCAAAGCGTGGCAAAGGCGAGACATTACAATCCGAATGGCTTGTATAAAATGCACAACAAGATAAAATAAATATTTACATATGTATTTTAGTTAACTGTATACGATAATGCTCAGTTGTGCTAAATAATACCTGACAGTGTCTTACGGTTGATGCATGTTTATTTGAAATATAAAGATTAATTCTGTAATTTTTCAAAAGTTGTTGATTTTTATTCCTCTGTGTAATGTGAACCTTCCATGGTAAACTCAACCAACCTGACTTGGCTTACTGATGTACAGATGTAACTATATTCTACTGAATGCAAATTTTTCGAATGGACCCTGTCAGATAGATCTAACGTATAAGTGGCCATATACCTTCCAATACTTGAATGTGAATTCCTAAAAATGTGAATTCAGAACAAATTTCATAATTAAGTTAGTTGCACATCAAATTCAAACAGTCTTTATGAAACATCACTAAGTTAGTTGCACATCAATTTTAAACAGTCTTTATTAAACATCACTAAGTTAGTTGCACATCAAATTTAAACAGTCTTTATTAAAAACATGTGTACAATGTCACACTGGTTATATCAGTCCATTATGTGTTCCAGCTATCACCATCTTCTCTGTCTGTCCATCTGTGTGTAGACATCACTTTGTTACTGATACTACTCCTTAAGGACTGTTCCGGTTTGAATGATACTTGGTACTCAGAACCCTTACTTCAGGTATACCAAATGGAGTTACCTCCCTCTACTTATGTATATACTGTTTGCGCTACTCATCTCCAAGTACTACACCAATTTGAATGATACTTTAATATGCCTTTGTTCAAAGATAAATTACTACAAATATATAAACACAACTGTTTATTAAATATTTCCTAAAACATATGTATTAAAAGAGGATTACCATTCATGGAAAGCTTTGATTTGAAGCATCCTTACAGCCAGAGCCTGGATTTTTTCAAAAAAAGAGCTGAAGGGTTGTGCTACAATGAGGTAATTATTAATCACTGGTTCAGACAGAGAGGACCTTAGACTTGCCTTCCCTTCACCAGTCAATCTGTCATCTGTGTGTCACTTTGTCGGGGGCATATTTTCACCAATATTTGCTAAATTTTGTTTGTGAGTACCTCTTGGGATGGTGGATTGTGTGTTGTGCACTGAAAATTAGAACACACCCCCAACTGTATACAGAGTTATGGCTCTTTGTTTAATGTGACAACAATGTGTTACTTTGTCCAAGCATGTCTCATTTAATAACAACCTGTCGCACTGCCAAATTTAGTGTGTGAAGATCTCTCTGGATGCCCGAGTGTCGTGTCCTGAAATACTTGTTGAAATACAGAACAAGCGAGTATTCACTTTTTATTACAGTAACAACAAATCAATGAATTGTCATAAAAATTGTCTAAAAAAAGGCTTTGGAGTAGTAGTAGTTCATTATTTGGCAAGTAATACTTTCGCAAATTCTGAAAAATAGAAAAGAAAAATTATTGATATTGGATACATGACTGTATTATTTACATTCCAGTTTAATATACATGTCTTGGAAATAAAAATCAGAAACTTTATTTTTTAAATTTTTCGGAAACTGACTTTACATTTGAATCCTTTGTGGAGGTAGATTTTCATAGTGTGGATTAATTTAGATAGACATTTGTGAAAAAGACAATAAATGGAAAAGTTTTCTTCTGATTTCAGTAATCTATTGTCACTGTCTACCTGTTTCAACCTAAGGAGTTTGAAAGAACAACCACAGAATGGTTGACAACTACAGTTAGGGTGCTTTTGATTTTTACCTTGATAGTTGATATGTCCATCACCACTGATGTCAGCCTCTCGAATCATATCATTCACTTCCTCCTCGTGTAATTTCTCACCGAGATTTAACATGACATGTCTGAGTTCTGCTGCACTTATATAACCATTTCCTTCCTTATCAAACACTCGAAAAGCGTCAACGATCTCTTCCACTGTGCTCACATTGTTGACGTGTCTGGTGAACATGGCTACAAACTCGCTGTACACAATCTTCCCAGTACCTGTCAACACAGCACAAATACTGCCTCTCTGAGATAAGTCCACTTCACTTATAATTTATAAGTACCTACTTTGCGTTTTTGAGCTACTTGTGTTTATCATACAAAATAAATTGACCTTCCTCACGATCGTTTGACGGCAGATTTTATTCATTATGTTAGTAAGTATCAAACCAGAGCACTTAAACATAGAAAAATAACCTTTTGAAAGAGATGGTATTCTCTTAAGTTTTTGTTTTGTTCTGCCTGAAAATAATCCTTAAAACCTGTGACTTTGATTTTCAATGATACCAGTTTTAATGAAGAAAAATGAAAACTGCCTAGGTTGAAGGTCAACATCAGTTCTCAAACAGCTTTATACTTTGTAGTACAATGTTTTACTAACAATATTCTTAGGTCCATAAAGTTGGAGTACCAGGCAATGTGACTGGTAATATTCAGCTGTAATGTTTCACTACCAGGGCACCAGGATTCAAACCGTGGACCTACGATTATTATACTGTCACTCAAACCAACTGAGCTACCTGGTCGATGCAAGTACCCTGTCCCAGTCACAAGAATTCTCTAGTGTTTTACCTGAAGTAGGACAAGGAGCCCTAACATAACAGTAGTTTATGTCCACAACACCTACCATCCGTGTCTGCTTCCCTGGCCATCTGTCTAACCTCCACCTCAGAGGGATTGAGCCCAAGGGATCTGACGAGGGAGCCCAGATCCTTGGTGGCCACCCGGCCATTCCCATCCATGTCAAACAGACTGAAAGCCTCCTTTACCTCTGAAACAGGTACACCAAAAGGGGAGATAATTTCAGGAGAATTTAATATGGGGGTAAAAATGTTCTATGCTAGCTCGACAAAGCTTTGTCAAGCTCATCAGTAAATATTTCCTGGATCCTGATTGTAGTACTAAAAGTCAAATCAAATCTATAGAGATCATGGGCAGTCTCTAAATAATGTAAAGTGTTGATAGAGAACTCTGGGATTCCTGTATTCATGAAACCTTTCTCGTGCTCAAATCTAATTTCTTGTTCTGGTGGTAAATTATCAAAAATTGACATTTTGTTAATGAATGCAGGACTTTTGGAGAGACTTAAAGCCAAACCAGTTTTCAGTGTTTAAGTGTACTTTTTGACCACGTCACATGATTTAAGTGAGTTATGAGAAAGTTTGATCAAAGAATCGATGTTTGAGCATGAGAAGGGTTTCATAAATACACTCCCTTGCCTGCAGTAATGTCGAACAAATTTCTCTTTTTATAATTACTATTACATTATTAATGCAATAGGACGTCTTACCTCGTAATTGTGAGTCTGACAGCTTTTCTCCCTGAAACCAAAATTCATCTCGTTTAATTTCAATATTTAGATAAAACCTGTTTCTCAAAGTAATGAGCATCTTTTTTAGGTGAGACACATGCCTAATTGCCTCATTTATGTAATGAACTTGTAAGTGTGAGTGGATGACCAGTGTCGACTGCACCGTCATCTTCCTGGCATATTAGTGATGTACACACAGTCACACACAGGAGTTACAGCCACTTTCACTCACATATTCCAATGACATGCAAATATTAACATATAGATCGACTAATGACAATTGTTCAACAATTTATTTTAACAGTGAACAGATTACAACATTTGACACGATACATGGAGGCAAAGCGACATCTAATTTCGGTAGACTAATTTGCATGAAAAATATTTGAATTATTGACAATCCTTTCAAAACTATATTTTGGGATGGTAGGTTAATGTAAATACATATAGGCATGTACTTACCATTTTAAACTAACTGCAGTAAATGAAACCTGCAATAAAACAGAAACATAACAGTATACATGTAGTATTGAATCTGTTTACATGTACATTTATATATGATCTTTATTTATTTTACAACAATTATGAAACAATTCATTTCAACTTATATAAATCACTCTTGTTGGCCTGGATGTTAGCACACACAGAGTCTTAATGTGGGAGGAAATCAGAGAACCTGAAGAAAACCCCACATGGTCTGGCAGGTGACCCCATACCTTTTCAGGTCCGATCCTGGAATCAAACTTGGCCGCCTTGTTGAAAGGCAAGAGCGCTATCCACTGCACCACCGGGGTCCCACACATGAATATTAGAGTGGTATAGATATATGGAAACAGTATAGGCTTCATAAGTGATCAGTACACATGTAGTATAGAATCAGTATAAATGTAGTTTGGACTCAGTATACATGTAGTATGGAGCAGTTTAAATGCACTATTGATCAGTTTGTATGTAGTATAGAATCAGTATACATGCAGTATGGAGCAGTTAGCTTGTAGCATGGAATCAATAAACATTTAGTATGGACTCAGTATACATGTAGTATGGAGAAGTTTAAATGCACTATGATCAGTTTGCATGTAGTATAGAATCAGTATACATGTAGTATTTACATGTATCTGTGTTTTCAATTTGTCGCCACATTTCTAAGAAATTACGTGACCAAATAAAATGTGATACCAAGTGACACCTGATGACTGTATCCTTGTGATACTTGATGACCTGATACAATGAGATATCTAGTAACTGGATACAGTGTGATATCTAGTAACTGGATACAGTGATATATCTAGTAACTGGATACAGTGAGATATCTAGTGACTGGATACAGTGATACCTGGTGACTGGTTACAGTGATACCATATGCCCAGATACAGTGTGATACCTGGTGACTGGATAGAGTGTTATCTGGTGACTGGTTACAGTGAGACCATATGACCAGATACAGTGTGAAACCTGGTGACTGGATACAGTGATAGCGTATGACCAGATACAGTGTGATACCTGGTGACTGGATAGAGTGATATCTGGTGACTGGTTACAGTGATACCATATGACCAGATACAGTGTGATACCTGGTGACTGGTTACAGTGTGATCACTGGTGATTGGATACTTGTTTGTTTGATTTTGTTTAACGTCCTATTAACAGCTAAGGTCATTTAAGGACGGCAATGTGATTGGATACAGTGTCATACATAGTAACTTGATACAGTGTGAAACCTGGTGATTGGATACAGTGTGATACCTGGTGATTGGATACAATGTCATACATAGTAACTTGATACAGTGATACCATATGACCATATACAGTGTGATACCTGGTGACTGGAAACAGTGATACCTGGCTACTGGTTACAGTGTGATCACTGGTGATTGGATACAGTGTGATACCTGGTTACTGGATACAGTGTGAGACCTTGTGATTGGATACAGTGTGATACAAAGTAACTGGATACAGTAATACCATATGACCAGATACAGTGTGATACCTGGTGACTGGATACAGTGATACCTGGCTACTGGTTACAGTGTGATCACTGGTGATTGGATACAGTGTCATACATAGTAACTTGATACAGTGTGATACCTTGTGATTGGATACAGTGTGATACAAAGTAACTGGATACAGTAATACCATATGACCAGATACAGTGTGAAACCTGGTGACTGGATACAGTGATAGCATATGACCAGATACAGTGTGATACCATATGACCAGATACAGTGTGATACCTGGTCACTGGATACAGTGATAACTGGTCACTGGATACAGTGTGGTGACTGGATACATTGTGATATCTAGTTACTGGATACAGTGATATATCTAGTAACTGGATACAGTGATATATCTAGTAACTGGATACAGTGTGATATCTAGTAACTGGATACAGTGATACCATATGACAAGATACAGTGTGATACCTGGTGACTGGATACAGTGATATATCTAGTAACTGGATACAGTGATACCATATGACAAGATACAGTGTGATACCTGGTTACTGGTTACAGTGTGATACATAGTAACTGGATACAGTGATACCATATGACAAGATACAGTGTGGTACCTGGTGACTGGATACAGTGATACCTGGTGACTGGATACAGTGATACCTAGTTACTGGATACAGTGATACCTGGTTACTGGATACAGTGTGACATCTAGCGACCAGATACAGTGACCAAATACCTGGTGACCCCAAACAACGTTATGCCTAGTGACCAGATACAGTGACCAAATACCTGGTGACCCCAAACAACGTTATGCCTAGTGACCAGATACAGTGACCAAATACCTGGTGACCCCAAACAACGTTATGCCTAGTGACCAGATACAGTGACCAAATACCTGGTGACCCCAAACAACGTTATGCCTAGTGACCAGATACAGTGACCAAATACCTGGTGACCCCAAACAACGTTATGCCTAGTGACCAGATACAGTGTGACATCTAGTGACCAGGTACAGTATGATACCTGGTGACCCCATACAACGTGATACCTAGCGACCAGATACAGTGTGACATTTAGTGACTGGATACAGTGATACCTAGTTACAGTGTGATACCTGGTGATAAGTTTCAGTGTGATACTTGCTGACCAGATATAGTATGATATCTGGTTAACAGATTTAGTGTGATACTTATTGACCTCATACTAGAACCCGTAACTAATTATAAAGGTACTGCTTTTATGTTCGCGAAAATATCACTGCGGCCAGTAATCAAGCCTGCGAAGAATGACGCTTCTGTCTCTGTGACCGCAACGAACATATCAATCAACAAGCATACAATCTCTGAAGCGCTATATGAAATCAAAGATTATGATTTGATATTCCGACCAGGAGATAGAAATAAAGTTTTGTGTGTTCCTAGGACCGCGTATACTATACAAAAAGATAAAAGATCTCGAACGATTTTGAGGATTTTTTTTTATTCATTCTCAACCAAATTATTTATACCAGAAGAAAATCGGAGGAAAACACCAGAAGTTTTGTTTTTATCGTCAATTATGAAATATAAATTTCATCATGAATATGTGATAAATATAGCGCATACATCATGTGATACACATAAAACAACAATATACATCGAACTGGCAATATACCCCCAACTGGACACTCTACCCCTACCGGACAATCTACCCCGACCGGACACTCTACCCCTACCGGACAATCTACCCCGACCGGACAAAAACATTGTAAAATTTACTGTCACTTACCAGATCTTTGTTCGGCTATAAGAGAGACAAAACTTGATAAGTCTCTGTATGGATATATATATAAGATGTAGACGATACGATGACGTTTGTGGAGAACGCCGTGGATGCGTTAGGGGTTCGTAGTCCAGTTTCCTATCACCTGTCCCCACGTCTGTTTGGACGGGTTATCATCATCTTTATCTATTACTGACTACAACCTGTCGTCACACACACGGAAACAACTTGTACTATAGGCCTACTCATTATATTATCAAATTAATTAATCCACTTACCGTCAAATCTATTTCCGTCCGGATTGGAATAACATTACCATATATGTTCCTGATTCATATGATCTATTGCACAAAATACAGGCTTTCAACACCTTTTCCCACATAACACTTATAAAGCGTTGTTGTACTCGTGGAGCTGTACTTTGTGTCGTGAATTCATGGATTGGTACGGATTTCCCGTTTCAGCGACCAGATAGGGAAACACCACTTTTCACATTGTACATGTAAAAGTGATTTTTTTTTAATCGCCTGCAACCGCACGATCTTACTGAGTAAGACTCCTTTATTTGACTAGATAGTCAGTGATGTTCAAATGATCTCTGTAGAAGGTAGAATTTTCACTCCCATAGTCAATGATTTCGGACCTTACAGAGAGAGGGGAATGATATATAGTGGTGATTAGTAATATACCATATAGTCTGTTAATTTATACAAGTCTGGATACTTGAGGTTCCATGATTGCACGGGGTGACCTTTAGTCCGACTTATGAGCCGACACCAGTCCGAGTAATATTTTAGACACATTGCATTCGATATAACCATGCACAGTGATACACGATTTATGAACGGCCCACGTGCTAGTAGCTCGGAGGGAGATCGGACATCCCAGCCAGCATCCGTATTGTTTATTGATGAGGAGATATTGGTAATGGTCTTACATCTCCCGTTATATCACTATCGGTTACCTAACCTCACACAAAACTACAACTCGCAAAATTAGTTTCAACACTTGATATGGTAGGTTTTACCTCTACATAATTCGCCCCTCAATCAATTTTTGTGGCTCGTTTCACCCAGTGTCACACGTCAGTGAACTTTATATCGACTAGTTGATATAACCGAACACCACAAGACCTATTGCGCGGACGATAATCGCCATACACAGAACAAAATCCTTCAACAACCGAGTTGCAGGAACTTTCTGTTCTGTTTTTATTTTAAGAATGTTCGGTTAAAGTCGCATTAGTCTAGCGGTTGTTTGCTTGTTTTTTTAGCTCAGCTTAGCTCAAATATAGACGATTTTCGTGAATGATAGGTCCATCTCAAAGTGTCATCACACTGAAATGTCATAACCTTGGCACACCAACAGCATGATGCTACATCCGGTCACTGAAATGTCATAACACGAGCACACCAACAGCGTGACACTCCACCTGGTCACTGAAATTTGCATAACCTGGACACGCCAGCAGTAAGCAGTATGACGCTCCATCCGGTCACTGAAATGTGCATAACCTGGGAACGCCAGCAGCATGACGCTCCATTCGGTCACTGAAATGTCATAACTTTGGCACACCAGTAACATGACGCTCCATCCAGTACATATAAGGTCACTGTAATGTCATAACTACAACTACCTTTAAAATCGGTAGCCAATTTATTGTCACAAAAGGCAGGCTGGTGATGACACTGAGGGACTCCAACGTCACAAAAATTAATTAGACAGAGATGCAGACAGCACCTGGGAGGGAGTGATCAGCGAACACTGCAAGGAGAGACACAGAAGGTGCATTGGACTTGAAGTTTATGAGACGAAGGGCGGTTTCTCCCCCTGCGTTGGAGAACTTAATGGGCTGGTTTCTCTCATTTTTCAGTAGTGGAAGACGGCGAACACTCAACAAGGATGACAAATTGTCCGGAAGAAATCAGAAGGATTGAGGAGGGAAAGAGAAATATGTTGAACTCGACCGGGTAGTATATCTGATCGGATATCTTTTTCATCATCACCTATCAACCTGTATCAGGTGGGAACAGACGTAGGATCCTCGCCGCAACTAAGTGTAGCTGTGGGGGCGGGTTGGGTTAGGAATAGCCACATGTCCTGTCAGGTTGCAAAGAAGAAGACATAACAATACGTCTTGTAGCCCTACAAGCAGATATCCTTGTGGTGTAGAAGGAAAGAACTAGTGTAGGGACGAGATAGTCCGAGATTTAAGTTGTGGTAACGGGGAAGAAAGGCAGGAAAACCTCGAAATGCCGCATCCATTTTGAATCGGTCAAGAATTTTAGAGATAAAGTTTAACCTGAATAGGAAGCTTGTTTTTTTAAGCAACTAATAGTTAACATGGAAATATTATCAAAGCAATCCAGACACCTCACGCGATAGCCCACGAGAGGATGAAAACTAATTGATAAGCTGATGGAAAAGTGTGGGAGAAGAGGGAAGACTATATGACCGAAGAGGTTAGTTATAGAGGGTTTACACGCGGTCGGTGTGGAGACATTGCAGACCTCAGAATTCGTTGGGAAAGTCAGAGACAAAGCCATCAGATAATTTGGAGAAGCTGCCGAGAAAGCATCATGCTTTGCAGTTGCTATGGTTTCGACGAGAACAACAATATAGAAGAGTAGTGGTGTGGTCACCACTACTGACCCTCCCGCCGGAGTATATTGTGATTGACGTTCAGAATATCTGGAGAGGGATTACCATCACCTAATGATGCCTGCTGTTACCCACTGCATGATTCGTAAGGGATGACTAATGTGATCCCCTACCGAATTGGGGATTTACTTTTTTGTTTTCTACTTGGGACGCAAAAGCGACCAAAATAAATCGGCTGCACCCATTGCATTATTTGGGATATTTCTATTTCTCTCTAATTCTATTTACCTTTTATTTCCGGCCGTTTATTTCCTGGTGCATTGCTTATCAATACCTCACTTTTGGCTTTAGTGTTGAGCGTTCACCAAGGTGAGGAAGGCAGGATTGCTGGAATAATAATACAAATTGATAACTGGAGTTTCTTATCTACCGTTGTATATAATTATAATTACTTTAGTAAAATCAAAGAAAGCCTCTTTTTCAACAAGATTATTGTAGAGAGACAAATAGATTCTTGCCCAAAATGTATTTTATTCTAATTTATTAATTTTATTTTTCATTTATTCATTTTATCCACTATACATTCAAATAAACCAACTGGTAGACAGCTTATGAAAAAAAAAATAGCAACAAAAAAAGGGAATACCATCCCATAAACAAGTACAGTATATAAATCGAGTGTTATTTAAGTATATAGAAATACATTTAAATGTCATATTTTATGCAATATGGGGACATGCATATGCAGAAAACCATTTCATTTTGATGAGCCGTCATTAAACATATATACATACGAAATGTTAATATGGAGGCCAACAACTTAAGAGTATTTACATTTTTTAGCTGTTTTATGTGAATGTCGTCGTCGGCTAGCTCACGACGAGTGGCACTTGACACAGGCCCAATTTTTCCCACACTTGTTTTTGCGAGGTCTATTATAGTCTGTCCCTATAATTAAGCCGTTTTTGAAACACTGCCATCAACACATGTCCAAAAATCTCAAAAATTAAAACGTTCTTTTAGAATTTCGATAAAGCCTGAGGCTATAATAAACAAACAAACAAAACCCAAACAAATAATGTTTTTAAATTTTTTTTATTCACCTTTTTATATTTTTACAAACCTAGTCCATACACAACGACAAAAAAATAGCATAGATTTTTTTTATATATATTTCTTATGTTGATGAAAATTTAAAAAAAAATCTTAAAGTCCAAAAAAGTTTTCCGATATATTTTTGCTTTTTGTAAGTAAACTGACAAAAATCTGATATTGCAAATATTTTTTTAGCGACTTTATAATCTGTTTTGTAATTTATGTACTTTTGTCTAACTGAATAGGTCCCATAATGGCTACAACTGAAAAAGAAAACGGAGTCAAGCATTTGACTGAAAACAAGCGCTGATAGATTGATAATTCTCCCCTCAGGAACCCCATTGTCGTCATAGCCATTTCTCTTTGAGAGCCTCATTAAAATTTTCATCCAATGAAATTTCAGCCTAGACGACTTTGCGTAGCTGTTGTTTATTGCGATGGCGGCTGTTTTGATATGAGAACAAGTTCGGGCTCATCATTTTATTATAATATCGTGTATTTTATGCTACTGCAGAATCCATGGTAAAATAATTCCAACAATTTAATACATGAACCCAGTTAGCCTCAACAAGGGCTTTTGTCATGTCCTACATCTCCTGTATAGAAGCAAATCGTAATTCAATTATTCATCACTGGTGGTCGATATCAAAACAAAGGTGTTTGCAATTTGACACCTACACTCAACATAGTTTAGTCAAAGTCTGTCGCTGATTTCTGGGCAGGCCTTTATTTTTTGGTAATTAAGGCATTTCGATTCCATTTTGTCCATTAATTATTTACGATATGAAACAATTTGGACGTTGTGTCGCCCGTTTGTGGCAAATTGCCTCCAAACTTGAACGTGATTGAACATGTCAAAGAGCTCCTTACTGGTAGAGGATTCCTATGAACGACGTGACCTAGAAACACCGGGTTAACGGATTTCTGTTTTACTTCACTAAAATATTCAGGAAATGTAGCCAAAATAGTATCAAAATGTGACGTTTTGTGATTAGATATAGGATTACTATTACTGATTTTGAATTGGTGAGGAATGAGGAAATGTTCACAAGAAAATTGAGGCTTAGCCTAGTGTAGGTAAGTAATTTCTCTAAAATCTGTAAACAATTTAATAACGATGTATGACAGGATTAATATGTATTAAGAGGATCAATACCGACTATCAGATGGTATTTAATTATGCCAAATGATCATGTCTTCTTAGTTCTAATAGTGTGCATTTATACATATGTATGTGTCAAATGGTAGAAGTCGGAATGACTTGATGAACAATTTAATGTTTATGGTGGGCTGTCATTGAAGTTTGCAAAATGAACATGCATGTCTGATCTTGGTATTGGTGTTAAAATCTCTGAAAAATTGAAATGGACATATTAATGATACATATTTAGATGATCATCATCTTCACATGTAGGTTCTACATATATAACAATACAAGTTCTTAATTTTTGATATGATGTCATTAGAATGAGTAAATATAAGTGAAAATGGAATGGGGGGGCTGGGGGGTACTGATATGCTTTTTAAAGTGTCTGCAAGTTGTACGTGTGGCAAAACAATAATTAGATGCTCAGCAAAAAATTGTTATTACAAACCGATATACAGTTTTTCAGTACTAATGTTATACCAAAAAGCAGTATGTATTGGTGCTGAGTGTTACCATGAAGCTCACAATAATTCATATCGATAAGAACCTGGAGTGTATATATACATGTAATATATTTATGTTGGAGAGGTTTTATTTTATTTTACATCAAAATAATAAAGCAATGGCTTCAAGACTAAAAATAAATAAAAGCTCCCATTTGGCATTGAATAGTACAAAGAATAAGGAGCAACAAGAACTATACAGGTGCAAAAGAAAAGAACACAATATGGGAGGAGTTGGCGTTGATGAACATATGTGATGGACCCTGTTGACATTTACTGACTTATTTACTATAGCTTTAAAAACATTTGTTGTCAACTTTTACAATGCCAAAAAATTTGTAGGAGACCGGGAAGTGTAAAATTTTAATGATCATTCAATAGATCAATTGTCACCAATTGCCATGTTGGTACATTAAAAAGAGCTTGATTAAAATAACTATTCCAAGTCAAAGTTTTTAGATAGCACAAAATGCCTGTTTTAGTATGGATGATAACTGTATTGATGGAATGCTTTTATTTTCATAAAAAAATAACACGTATTTTATAACAATTACCTACATCTGGTCAGGTTTAATTTTGAATCAAATCTGAAAATCAATACGGCTGCCTGCAGTGGTTGTCATGGATTTGTTAAAAAAAATGCACATTTTCTGTGACAGTGCAATAAAACTTGAAGGAATATACGTACTGTGATTTTTCGTGAAACTTTCTACACATGCCTATAATATAAATGACCCTCTCAAGTTAGATTTTAACTCAAATCTAAAAATCAACACAGTGTGACCAGTGAGGGCAGGTTACACATTCTCTCATGTGGGATCCTATTTTATACTGTATATTAACTTTGTCTGCTTATATTTATACAGGGTGAAGAACTTCAAACTTAAAAATGGATGACAGAGTTCATCAATTAACAGACAACTTACAGGTGAGCCCCCCCCCCCCCCCCCACCCACCCATTCAATGCAATAGTAAGATTTTGTTATGCTGATATCACTTTCTAGTTAGTCAAGCATGCATGGTGGTGCAGTAGAATTTTTGAAATTCAGTTTATTTCTGATAGACTTGCAAATTGATGTAAAAGAAACTTTCCCCTCAGTTGCAATCCAAACAGCGATGTGAGAAAAATAGCAAGTACGAGTATGTTGTATCAGGATGATACAGTCCGATACAATCCTGATTATTTATAGCTGCATCCTTTTATCATGTAGAGAGTTTGCTTCCCTTCTTTTCCTTTATGAAATGTTTCCATGTGTGTACCAATTACATGTGTAATGCTGATTTCCTCAAGTGGTGCTTATAAATTACAGATTTAGATTTATTTAAGATGTAAGTACCAATCACCAGTCACCAATGTGTATCTGGTACCAAATCCTTTGGTTTATCAATAAAATTTGTTGAAATGAGTGTATATGACCAAAACAAAAACAAAATGAGAACTATCAATCAATCAAAGCGTATTTGGTCATTGTCTAAGGTGATACAGGTCATCAACCAAATTGTTGCAGGCCAATTAAACTGGTGCAGAATGTTATATTTTTTTAATATTAAGGGGATTTACAGGACCATAGCAGTTTATGGCCTTGCGGAGAACAGCTACATTGTAGGTGGTGCTATTCAAGGGCAGGTACCCAAATATATCATCCTTTAAGCTTATAGGCCAGGGACCAGAATTTCACTTGGCCTGACAATAAGATAAATTGTTTTAAATTGCTTCCAATATCAGGACATCTTGTTGATATTGATTCAATTGTCAGAAAAATATTGCTGACTTGATTTAACAATATGGCCAACTAAAAGCTTTGAAACAACAAACAGACCAGCCAGCCTTTGTCCTTGGTTTTGATAGTCTGGCAATGGTTAGTTCCATTAGTAAGAACAGCTTGCTAACTTGACAAGCAGGGTATACGTAAATTGTCATTTGATCAATCTTTTTGTTTGTTGGCTCAAAACTTCAAAACTCTAATGCTGTGTATACCTATAGCTCTCCACACAGATTTCCTAATGCCATTAACTGTATATACAACAAGATCTAAGTCTATCAAATATGTACTGGTGAATCCATTGATGAGAACATGCTTCTTTTTGGGTGTGAAATGTGTTTTTCTTGAAAAAACCCATTGATATTACACAGATTTTTATAGTTCCTTGATAAATTCACACTTAAGTGTGTAAATGATAAGTACTGTTTTGTACAGTAGCACTACTACATATAGGATGTTATCAATGAGTAAAAAACAACACTAGGTGTCACATACACTTTGTACATAGTTGTAAAATACACAGTACATGAACAAAAATATATAGTTGTCATAGACAATGTATAAAATACACAGTTGTCATACACTGTATAAAATACACAGTTGTCATACACTGTATAAAATACACAGTTGTCATACACTGTATAAAATACATAGTTGTCATACACTGTATAAAATACATAGTTGTCATACACTGTATAAAATACACAGTTGTCATACACTCTAGAAAATACACAGTTGTCATACACTGTATAAAATACATAGTTGTCATACACTGTATAACTATGCAGTTGTCATCACTAACAATACATACTTGATATACTTTATACAGTGTGTAAAAATATGTAATTGTTATATGCAATGTATAAAATTGTAATTGTCAAACAATGTATGAAAAAAATTGTTGTAACCTCAAAAAAAAGACATTGTCATTATACTAAAACTACAATTTCACCTGCTAGTAGCCTCATTTGAAAATGCTGGAATCTAGCTTTGCTAACATATAGTTGATGTATGTTTTTACACAGTATAAAAAAGAAGTAGACACTACTTTCTTACCAAAAAACCTGTATGTAGACTGAACAGTCATAAAAGTTAGATATAAAAACTAGAGTACATCAATAAATCAATTTAGAAAAACTTGATTAAGTGTTTGGTTGTGACTCATAGTTAACTGCCTACCCCAAATAACATTGATAAACGGTGCTTCTTTATGTTTGCTGTATACATGCACTTTTATAGAGTATTGTCAGGATCGTTCTGATTCAGACAGAGCCAACATATTTTCCTATTAGCCATATCAATTGATTATAAATTTGGTATTTAGCTTTCTTCTATTATAGATCTTAAATCAGAATTATAATTAAATTATAAATGTACATATGTCCAAATAGGTAATGTGTTGTTGGTTAACAGTACCTCAGCAGGAAGAGGATCATTATAATTTCATTCTTGTTGATAGACATGTCTGAGAAATGTGAATTTAAGGTTTGTGCTTTTAGGATAATTGATGAATGAAACCTAATTTTATATGTCTATCACTTTGAATAATAGTGTGAAATACCATTATGTTTTTTACTTTTTTAATTTGGAAGGAAGTTGTTAATAGTGAAGTCTATATATATATATGTACATATAAAACTGACATTTAAAGTGAATGTATTAGGACATGAAAATGGAATTTAAAGTTAAACAGGCTTATCATTCACCTCTCCAGTCTTTTGTAGGAACCGGAGATGTAAGTCGATTTACCTGTGCGTGAAAGTTATCGAACGGTTAGGTCAATAAGATAGTTGTGTGCCGTGTACCCAAAGTATTTAACTATTCCTTCCAACACCTTCCCTAAATCATTATCAATGAATGTTTTTGTATCCAATATAGTAAATTCACTCGGGGAGAAAGATTGTTTGAGAATTCAAGCAAATAGTTTTACCTGATTTAATTTATTTAGGCAACAAAGGCTAATGTGTACATGCATGGTAATACAGATTATGAAAATATATAAACTTTTTTTTCTTTTTGCTTGAGTTATATCCTAAGAAACCACTTGTTAACAATCAAAACTTAAGTGACACTCAAGATTTCTGACCGTCCAAAACCATAGGGTCACATTTAAATTGATTACCAGTACATTCACAATCAGAGATTGTTAAAAATGATTCTTTAAAAATGCACTGGTACACCAGTATATGATTTAAACAATCTCATCTATGGGAAGGTTTTGGTGACCATGGCAATGCTTTTCTCATCAGTCTTTTACAGACAGACAGGACAGATTATAAAAAGGTTGTATTATATCTCAGCTAGGTTGGTGCAGTATCACATAGAAGTCCAGTAGGACAGGGGCAGGTAGAGCTTTTGTGTGGCGTAATCAAATATTTATACCGTTAAATCCCACTTATCCTGGTAGGTGCTGTTATAGCATTTTAAGTTGTAAATTAGCATTAATATATTCCTGTCAGTCTACCTGTTAACTTGTGAGATAACACTGTAACACACGAGATCCTATTGGCAAGTTGTCTGGCAGTCTAGCTATCACCTGTTGGTGAAAGTAGATATTTAACATTTATTGGGAGGAACAGTTAACAACACTGTGATTGGTGTCGTAACTTAGATTTCTGATATATACAGAATTACTGTAAAGAACCTGAGAGGTTTTAAAAGGAGAATTGGCCATTTTGGCAGTTGTGAAATCATTTGATATGCTGTGATCGATTTTTATCTACGTGTATGTAAACAGTTGTTAGGTTACTGGCTAAGTGAGGAAGTACACTTTTAAGGAGGTGTTATAATTTCCTACAATACCACCACACATATATACTTGATACAGAATTAGTATTACCATAAAATAATTTTAGCAACACAATTCCCACAGGTGAAATAAATTTGAAATTCATTTGATTGCTTTATATGTAAAACATGTACTACTTAATAGAAAACTTTGATGTACCTGTATACTATGCCCTCTGAATTTATCCCCGCACATTCGAGATACTCTTGTCGAGAATTTGGCGATTTTGGATGACTTGATTGAATAAGTGAATTTGATCTAAACCAAATTTCGTATATCACATTTTAACGTTTTTATTCATTTGTAGGGTACGACTCGGAACCTGCGGTCGTTGGATCGTATGCTTGGTACCTACAGAGATGTAGGTCGGGAACAGAGAGGCGCCGTAGACAGGGTAGGTGTCCTAGTTAGTACTCAATGCTGAGTTTAGTCATTGGAAATGACTTTCATTTACAAAATATATACATCATAAAAAGACGTGATAAGGGAAATATTGAAAAATTAACATTTGTCATTTCTGTTTGAAATTTATTGTGTAGGTTCATACAATTTACGCAGTTATAAATGACACATTTAGAACGCTATGGACATATCAGAAGTTCAACGTTAAGATACATTATATTACTACGTTGATGTAAAAACGACAATTTTTGTACCTAATCTATTTAATCTATGGCAGAATACTTTGAGTACATGTTGTCGTGTGGTACATTCATGCATTATTAATTAGCTAATTACATAAATGTGTTACCTGTTCTGTCATCTGGTCACTGACAGGTGTGTCCAGGCATGATGTTTTAACAGTAATACTGATCTACTATTGACATCAAAGGAGCTGTAATATTCAAGCTGATACTTGTAGCTTTCATGTTCTGTTACAGTTACATGTTCTGTACATTTTCAACATCAAATCATTATCTACATCCATGAAAGCTTGTTATTATCTACTAGTATTTATGCGGGAAAACCCTTAATAAGATTTGTCTTCCTTAAACCATGATCCAAAGAAGTGCAGTGTTATAAAATGTGTCTTGAATTACAGTATTAATGATTGTTATACCAGTATATGAAAACGTGTAAAAAATTATTGCCCATCACATTAATGTCAGATAACATGTTCTGCATCAGTAAAATACAATTTCAAAAATGAAGATGACATCAGAGCTGACTTGAATATTAATTAATTGATGGTTTTCCAGTTTTTTCCTATTTCCATAATCATTACTTCCTTTAAGAAATAAGTGTATTTTGTAATATTTTGATGAAATATGGGAAAAAATTGATAGCCATAATAAAAAAAATGAAAAGTTTTTCAAACAGTAGATTTAAATAAATTTTTACTATTCAATATTAATACAGTAACGAAGGTATATGAAGGAAAGAGTACTATAGTTGACAGTCAGTAGTATATATATATAGTGTTTGTGGTAATGTGACTGGTGTTTGTGGTAATGTGACCGGTGTTTGTGGTAATGTGACCGGTGTTTGTGGTAATGTGATCGGTGTTTGTGGTAATGTGACCGGTGTTTGTGGTAATGTGACCGGTGTTTGTGGTAATGTGACCGGTGTTTGTCTCCACAGTTACGTGATGACTTAAGGACAACACAGGATGAACTCCAGCGAGAGAGGGTGAGGAGCCCGCTACACCACCGGGATTATGGGGTACGTCATGTCAGTCACAGTACCACGGTGGCTATTAACACACACACAGGGGAATGTAAGGGTACCTCAGTGTTTGTACAAATATATGTAGTCCTAAATTGTGTTATTCTGGTAGAGGGAGCCACTGCATGTCATCTTAACCCTAAGTTACAAGTTATATTACAAGTTCACAAAAAAACCCGGAATAAATTCAGGAAGGTTTAACAATGAGAAATTGTAGAAATAAAGCATAAAGTTTTGTACAAGAAGTAGTAAACCAAGCAAGGTAATTATATTGTGAGAGGTTAATGATATAAAATACCAGGGATTCCTACTACTACTTTGTCATTATAGGCCATACTGTATTGTTGTAATGGTGTTAGATTCTGTGAAATTATTCATGTTTTAAATGTAATTAAATACACTCTACATGAGTGTCTGATGATCGGCTACTGACCTAATAACAGGTCAGATTTACATTTACTTGTGTAGGATGTAAAGAGAATTGGAATACAATACACACTTCATATCTTTCAAGAAATTTGTCCTAAACATAGAAACACATGGATTTGATATGTACATTGTATGTCAATAAATACGGAAAAATGATGTTCTTACAGTATAGGTTATTATATATAGTCAAGGAAATCAAGTTAGTCTAAATATAGAGAGTTAAGTAGGGATTAAACGTTACATCTCAAACAGAAGTAGGATGATTTAAGTGAGCAAAGCAGTTGTCACTTATTTTCTCCAAGTATTGTCAAACATATCAGTGCTATGTTATAAATAAGTCACACATGCTCGGCTGTCTTTATAAATATTTAAATCGCCGGTAATTAGCTTGTAATGCTGTGATTAGGTATAGTAGCTGGACAACAAGTTAAGGCTTGACCTGTGACATGGCTACCTGTGCTAGCCTCCAATATCATTTACTGACTTTCTCCTAACCCGTGTGGTCATCGATTCTAAACATGGTTATCTCTAACTCACAATCACATTTGGAAAAAGCAATAAACTGCATGGAACTCTGGAATATATAACAGATCAATGGAAAGTTCTGACCAGGTAAATAGAGAGGAGATAATAGAAATCTCTGATCTATTATATGTGTGTGTGTACTCGGTATATATATTAGTCTGTGAAAGCTAAAATTGTATGAACTGGCCATGTTTGTAAAACTATCAATAACTTACTTATTTATTTGATTACATTCATTATTTATTTACATAGTAGCATATGAAGCCTGATTTTCTATATATGTATATGTAAAATTCACTATAAAATTGCTTTAAATGAAATATTACGTGATATTGTATTTTACTCTACGCACACTTACACTTATCCATAGCTTAAGTATTTAGTGTAGACTACTTGCAGTAGCTAACACATGTTTATAGAGATAGTATTGAGTCTATTTACACCAATACCTGTTTATATATAGCATATAGTCCACACTCCACACACCTGTATATATGTATAAATGGTGATATGTTAAGATGTGTATATATATTATTTAGTCTACATTTTCTATGTCAGAAAAACATCCAAAGTCCTTGTGATGGTTGAATATTAAAAAAATGACAAGAGTTTCTTAGAACCTTAGTATATTTTCTATATATATCTATAATGTACTTAAAGTGAGGTTATCATTTCATATATATAGTCAAGTCAATCTAACAGAAGAGTGTTCAGCAGATAGCCATAATGAAGGAAGTATAATGTGTTATCATGATAAGTAAATTTTAAGGGAAAAAAAATACTTATGAAAAATAATTTGGAATTTATTGTAACATTCAATATCATTCAAGCATATCTTAAAAGTATCAATTTACAAATTCCGCATTTTTGGTATGTTCAGATGAAAGAGGTTTTGCTTTGAAATTATTTACTATCAGATGATTTTTACGCTTAATCTTTAACAATGTATTCACTTGAGCATTTCTAACATACTCCATTTCTTTTTCCAAATATTTTATTTCGGCATTTAACGCAAGTACACAGATTGTAATCAATTTAAGATGTCACAATTTATAGTCGTCATCAAATTGTGTGTACGTTGTTTATGTCACAATTTATAGACGTCTGCAAATTGTGTGTACGTTGTTTATGTCACAATTTATAGTCGTCATCAAATTGTGTGTACATTGTTTATGTCACAATTTATAGACGTCTGCAAATTGTGTGTACATTGTTTATGTCACAATTTATAGACGTCTGCAAATTGTGTGTACATTGTTTATGTCACAATTTATAGACGTCTGCAAATGGTGTGTACATTGTTTATGTCACAATTTATAGTCGTCATCAAATTGTGTGTATGTTGTTTATGTCACAATTTATAGACTTCTGCAAATTGTGTGTATGTTGTTTATGTCACAATTTATAGACGTCTGCAAATTGTGTGTACGTGGTTTATGTCACAATTTATAGTCGTCATCACATTGTGTGTATGTTGTTTATGTCACAATTTATAGTCATCATCAAATTGTGTGTACGTTGTTTATTTCACAATTTATAGTCGTCATCACATTGTGTGTACGTTGTTTATGTCACAATTTATAGACGTCTTCACATTGTGTGTACGTTGTTTATGACACCATTATTTTTTTTTAATTTTAAGTACCAGGTATGTGGACTTTATTTATGACAACATGATTCCTATGAATTCAAATTGCAAGAAAAGCCCCGGGATAGGCGAAAGTTCCAGTGGGATATAGTCTCCAGTGTTTTGTTTTGATTTTATAAATGTATATTAATAGTACTAGTCTACCTGCATACACATATCTATAAATAGTGTTTAGTCTTTGTTCATCTGTAATTTACAGTACTATAAGCTATTCCAGCTATCAATGTATAGTCACATCAAATAGCTATAGCTGTGAATACTCTCAGATTGATTCACCAGATTTATTTTACTACCTTAAATCATGTAAACAACTCTGTATGTACCTGGTATAGACACAACTTAGGGACAATTTTTGGAATTTAAACCATTGAAATAAAGATATAGTCTCATATATAAGGTAAAATATGTACCAGTGAAGGAATATTAAGATGCTAGCTTCAAAAATTATCAAAATTAAACTGCAAACAAAATACAAATTGACTACAGAGTAGAAATTTTAACTACAGAAGACATGTGAATGTTTTAATGATGGGCAAAATGACAAGTCTGTTGTATAGACATGTATGTCAGTTAACCATCTAGACAGTACCTTTTATTAAACTCCAGCTATATTATAGAGGAGCCCAATAAAAGCTTATAATAGTATTGGTTAATGTCTGTGTGGAGTGGAATAGCCTCGCTGGACAATTATACGCATTAGTGGAGGATTTTCCGACAGTCCGAAACCGACAGTAACATATCAATGGAAACTTTACACACCTGAATGACCAGGATTTTGATTAGTAACTTATAATTCTATGCAGTTTCCATTTCAATTACACAGTATTGGTGACTGAGAATCTGTAGGTATACTTCTGTACCATTCACAGACTAGCAGATTTACCTCACCAGATTACAGGAATAGGACTAGGTACATGTATTTACATCTCACACATATTCAATGGACTTTTTCATAAGTGAATGCCACACATACAAATGGCATTGAAAACATTTTATTTTGAGGTGAAAAATTTCAGGATATATTGGCAAATTTTATTTAAGTCTCTAAAAGGCTACCATTAATGTATGGCAATTTTATTTTTCAGAGTGATAGCGAGTATGAAATATCACCGATGGCAAATAGACGACGGCGAAAGCGCCGGTCGACTGTAAGATTTGCAGATGATATGAACAGAGAGTTACATGGACTACACAGATCTTTTCGAGATTTATCTAACGACCATTTTGATCTTGAGACCAGCCTCAACAGGGAAACAGAGAGACGGGACAGGTAGGCTCAGTCAGATGTCAAGTATACCATTATATATATCCAGTCAAAATATGTATACCCGATCACCAAGATATATTCCAACTAAAAATACATAGCAATGTTAAAAATTTATACACAGTCAAAATGTACAGCTGATTTCATTGTTTATGTAAACCCAGTCAAAATATGTGATACATGTACAATGAAATCTGTCCCAGCAACAAGGTGTTTTCAGCAAATCCCTATCTGATGTGACCCTGGTTATTTCTCCCAACAACTAGTTACCTGGCCTTTTCTGTAAAATAACCTTTATTAGCATTTTTTATTTAGCTAACCTTGGTCCTTTGGTCTAGCTTATCTTGGTCTTTTGGTCCAAAAAGTTGGTCTTAACTTTTAAAAAAGATCCCCACCCCATAGCCATATATACAATTGCTATGCACAAGGTGACAGATACAAAAATGATATTAGAATTGACCGTTGGGTCTGGCCACACCCCTAGGGACTTATTCCTTGGTAAGAACTTTGAAACTGTTGAGATCCCCACACTTTTCCTATATACTATTGCTGGGATTAAAGAGACAAATACAGTCATGGTGTTAGAATTGACCCAGGCATCCGGCCACACCTTAAGGAACTTAGTCCCTGGGTCATAACATGGAAACCTGTCAGATCCCCACCCTATTATAATACCTGGTATATACAACAGCTGAGCATGAAGATTTGGATATGCATATGCTGCCAGGATTGGCCCAGGGGAATGGTCCTATCCCTAGGATCTTATATTATTTGCCATATTACTTTCATTAAGAACATTTTGCCATGATTGCCTAAATATCCAGTTGAGCAATACAGGCCCTTTGGGCCTCTTGTAATGTTGATGGCTTCATATCAAAATAGAGACATAGTAAACAGTACAGTGATTGATGTAAAACTTAGGAGTAGATAATTTTATAACAGCAAAGCCCTCAGCAGGTACTTGTTGTACCATAAGTCAGCCTATCTATTCTAGCTGATTTACTTTACAGAAACGACGGGGAGTCTAAGAGGACGATGAGGGAGATATCGGACAACTTGAAACGTCTGCCTCACTCTGACCCTGTGGCCATGCGTGTAGAGGAGAGACTCGCAGCCATACAGAACGAGCTGCGGTCAGAAAGACAGTCGCTAAACAGATATGACGAACTGGTCAACCTCTCCACAGACCTTCGTCAGGTAGGTCCAAGATAAAAAATAATGATAAGAAGTAGATATTTTGTACATATCTAAGCCTGTGATACAAGTAAAGTATTTATAAGCCCACTGACCTATAGAGCTTGGGCCAAATCTAGGATTTGTGTTATAAAACAACTGGGAGTCAAAAAAATCTTCCTCCAAGATGCAAGATTAGTTCCAGATAGTTGGTACACACTTGTACAGCTCTGTTGACTGTAACAATCAGTGTTAATTTTATTTTTCATGGTAAAAACAATAGTAGGACCAAGTATCAGATTGTCAGGAGCCTAACCCACCACCAACTCTACTGTATAGATTACCTTCATAATCATTTAATTGATAATGTTTTATATTTGTATATAACGTGATTCATGTGTGAAAGAAAATTCTGCAGTTAGTGTTTTGTTTTAATTCATTTTTTTGGTAATTTAGCACATAGACAGAACTCAAACCCACTCAGTAAGTAAAATCAATAGATAGTTGTAAGTATACTAGATGTATTTTTGCATTAGCATACAAGATTGCTGCATGCTGTGGTTTATTTTAGTCCATTAAGATATAAATACAATACAAAACAAAGATGTGATCCATTGAGGTGTAAATACAATACAAAACAAAAATGTGGTTAATTGAGGTGTAAATACAATACAAAACAAAGATGTGATCTATTGAGGTGTAAATACAATACAAAGCAAAGATGTGATCCAATTAGGTGTAAATACAATACAAAACAGAGATGTGGTTATTTGAGGTGTAAATACAATACAAAACAAAGATGTGATCTATTGAGGTGTAAATACAATACAAAGCAATGATGTGATCCAATTCGGTGTAAATACAATACAGAGCAAAGATGTGATCCATTGAGGTGTAAATACAATACAAAACAGAGATAAGACCCATTGAGGTGTAAATACAATACAAAACAGAGATGAGACCCATTGAGGGGTAAATACAATACAAAACAGAGATGTGGTTAATTGAGGTGGAAATACAATACAAAACAGAGATGTGGTTAATTGAGGTGTAAATACAATACAAAACAAAGATGTGACCAATTGAGGTGTAAATACAATACAAAACAGAGATGTGACCCATTGAGGTGTAAATACAATACAAAACAGAGATGTGATCCATTGAGGTGTAAATACAATATAAAATAGAGATGTGATCCATTGAGGTGTAAATACAATCCAAAGCAAGATGTGATACATTGAGGTGTAAATACAATACAAAACAGAGATGAGACCCATTGAGGTGTAAATACAATGCAAAACAGAGATGTGGTTAATTGAGGTGTAAATACAATTCCAAACAGATGTGGTTAATTGAGGTGTAAATACAATACAAAACAAAGATGTGATTAGTTGAGGTGTAAATACAATACCAAACAAAGATGTGATCCATAGAGGTGTAAATACAATACAAAACAGAGATGTGAGCCATTGAGGTGTAAATACAATATAAAATAGAGATGTGATCCATTGAGGTGTAAATACAATACAAATCAGAGATGTGATCCATTGAGGTGTAAATACAATACAAATCAGAGATGTGATCCATTGAGGTGTAAATACAATACAAATCAGAGATGTGATCCATTGAGGTGTAAATACAATACAAAGCAAGATGTGATACATTGAGGTGTAAATACAATACAAAACAAAGATGTGATTAATTGAGGTGTAAATACAATACCAAACAAAGATGTGATCCATAGAGGTGTAAATACAATACAAAACAGAGATGTGATCCATTGAGGTGTAAATACAATACAATACCAAACAAAGATGTGATCCACAGAGGTGTAAATACAATACAAAACAGAGATGCGATCCATTGAGGTGTAAATACAATACAAAACAGAGATGTGATCCAATTAGGTGTAAATACAATACAAACAAAGATGTGATACATTGAGGTGTAAATACAATACAAAACAGAGATGTGATTAATTGAGGTGTAAATACAATACAAAAACAAAGATGTGATCCAATTAGGTGTAAATACTAAAAAAAAACGATGTGAGTAATTGAGGTGTAAATAAATACCATACAAAACAGAGATGAGGTTTATGAAGATTCGAATACAATACATAACAAGGGTAGAAGTCGGTGATGGGTATGCATACTTAAGGAGTAAATTGATTTAATTGGAAGATTTTAGGAATGTGTGCATGTGAATATACCTGGTATATAGAAATAAAACAAAACTCCAAAGACTTATTATCGCGAGTTCTTACAACCATCTTGGGGCTCTTCAGGCAGTTTGAATTTATTTGAAATGTGACATCATAAATAAAGTACACATAATAGGGACATCTATAAATTGTGTCGTCTTAAAATGATGACAATTAATTTACTTACGTTAACTGCGTCAATGAAATATAAGGAAAAAGAAACGGAGCATATAAGTATAATTTCTGGTCAATCCCAAAATACATTTTAAACGTTCAATTTCAAGGTCACACACATCATTCAATGAAAGAGGTAAAAATCGGTCACATCCAAAATAATTTGTGGAAATAAAATATCCAACACATACAGAATACCATGCATAAATAAATATCCAACGTACATATCGTATACTGTTTATACCAGGTAAGGCATGTCATTTACTAACAGGTTTTTTGTTTTTTTCCCTTTTTGAACTCTTTATCTTTATATTAGACCTGCAGATTTTCACTCTAACACAAGTAATAATATGCTGAGGAATAGGAAATAATTTCATCGTTTAGGAACTCAGATATTACAGGTTCTTTGTATGATAAGATTGGAACATTGTTTTTATGTGCATCTTTTGTTAACCATGCAGAGTATTTTTTGCCTTATGTTCATGCATAACTATTTGCTTTGAGTGCAGTACTAGTAGTATGGTTTATTCTAAATCATACAACATCAAATCCAATATTTGCTATACCTCAATTGAACCATGGTAAAACATTTGTAGTTATGCAACAACAGTTTGACCAGTCATATATTTGGTGTCAGATTCCAGTATTACTATAATAGAAGTTCCTTGACCCTAGAGATAAGTTCTGATTTTGGTTACAGGCACTGAACACACATCAGCATTTACTGACGCAGCCCCAGCGACCAGCCATGGACGACCGACTGCAGGCTCAGTATATACAGGCTGAGTCACAGAAAAACAGGGTAAGATCTGGATCAGAGTGTGTACAGTTGAACCTTCCTGTCATCTCTCTAGTTTTACCATAATACTATATAAGGGGAAATTTTTGTCCAGTCAAATTTTACCCCTTGACAATAAAATCCAATTTTGTCCAATACTAAATTTGCCTATCACATTCCCTTGATAATAAAATCCACTTTTGTCCAATACTAAATTTGCCTATCACATTCCCTTGACAATAAAATCCATTTTTGCCCAATATTTAATTTGCCTATCACATTCCCTTGATAATAAAATGTATTTTCGCTGAATTATTAAATTTGCCTATCAAATTCCCTTGACAATAAAATCCGTTTTCGCCGAATTATTAAATTTGCCTATCACATTCCCTTGATAATAAAATCCATTTTTGCCCAATATTTAATTTGCCTACCACATTCCCTTGACAATAAAATCCATTTTTGCCGAATTATTAAATTTGCCTACCACATTCCCTTGACAATAAAATCCATTTTCGCCAAATATTAAATTTGCCCTTCACATTTGATGTATACAGTAACAGTTACTCCTCTCATGGTTTGTGACTCTGAGCTCACATTTAATACAATACCGTTTAAATGCAAAACAAAAAATCTATTGAAATGAACATGCTTTCAACTTCCTGCCTTGTTAATTTTTGCAGAGGGGAGATTATTCTGTAATATGTAATAATTTGTTTCTGCATTAATTATTATAACAAAGTGACATTTTTCTCACCCAGATTGAGTCAGAATTAGACGCTGTTAAGAGGAAGCTGGACCAGACAGCAGGTGGCAAGGCAGCTCTAGAACAGCAGGTTGGTGACTTGCGGGCACAGCTGAACCGAATGGAACAGGATCGTGCTCGAATGAAGAACCACCTGGAGGAGAGCCGCTATGAGGAGGAAGTCCGGGACCGTCGCAAAAAACAGTCCTGTAAGTCTGAGACCTGGAGGTCATATTCAATACTTATGATTAATTTTGTTTACTTGTTTTATACAAACTTTATGTACTTTATTGCAAGAACTTCAGTTTGTTTTTCACTCAGCTTGTATATATTATGTAATGTATAAATAACTGTTTGTGTGATAATCAATTCCGGATCATTTCATAATGCAAATTAACATGTAATATCACACAAAATACAAATAAAGTGCAGTAACTACAGGATCTGGGTCAGGTTGTACAACACCAGAATAGCATCATAAGTTCTTATTGCAAATTTTCAAAATGAACTTAGAGAAATATGTGAAATATTCCATTAAATTATCTGTAAGACAATCAGACATTGAACAACTGAGCCTTGATCAGAGTCGACAGCTGCAAACTTTCTTGGAATGGTAGTTGAAATGAAATCCCTTATATACTACAGTGGAAGAGGACCGTGACCGAGTGCGTAGGTCCCTGGAGAAGGAGGTAGTGGACCTACGCGGACAGCTATCCAGGTCGATGGGTGCTCATGGTGAGGTTGATGAGTTACGTAGAGGGATTGATCGCAGTGAGCGGCAACGAGCCCAACTCTCGGACCACATAGAGGTAGAATTTCTTTGTTATCTAACTTTATAACTGTATAGAGGTAGGATTTCAATAGCCATCCAGATTCTAAGAGATGATTCGTTTCTTTACTTTAAAGTTTTAAGATCCTATTTAGAGAAGCAATGAGTGATGCTCTAGTATGGATAACCTCTTTCTGTAGCCTGTTCTTTTCTCCAAAAGATTTAAATAAATATTTTGATATCTGTGAATATGGAAGCTTTTTTGTGGTTATAGTTGATTTTCAGTATGCAATACATACATTACAAAATTATATACGTTTTTATCCTAAATTCTCTTCCAAACACAGATTAATGCCCATGTTTTTTATCAGGAGTGTTGCAAATTTTCTGTAAAGTTTATTTTACATTTAATAGAATAATTATTCATATATGGTATTAATTATATATTGCTGGGTGTGTAATTTCAATACCTCTCTTTCAGACAATAACAAGAGACCTGGAGAACAGAGAGAAACAGACAGCCAAGCTTATCACGCAGCTGAAGGAGACTTCAGATAAGTTTGAGGAAGCAGACCGCCACAAGAGCCAGCTGATGGCCCAGTATGAGGACACACTAGGGCGTCTAAAAGAGTGCAGTAAAGAGCTTGAGAAAACTGTGACTGAGCTGCGGGGTACACAGGGTACTTTGTCCGAGGCAGAGAGAAAGAGAGATGAGTTCAAGGGTCGTGCACAGGAAACCGTCAGACAGTATGTCATCAAAAAATTATCTTTATAAGTGTCAGACAGTATGTCATCACAAAGTTATCTATAAGTGTCCAACAGTATGTCATCACAAAGTTATCTTTATATGTGTCAGACTGTATGTCATCACAAAGTTACCTTTATAAGTGTCAGACAGTATGTCATCACAAAGTTATCTTTATATGTGTCAGACTGTATGTCATCACAAAGTTACCCTTATAAGTGACAGACAGAATGTCATCACAAAGTTACCTTTATAAGTGTCAGACAGTATGTCATCAAAAAATCATCTTTATATGTGTCAGTGTGTCCTAAATTTATCTATATATGGATCAAACAATATATCATCTCAAATCTGTATAAGTCTCTGATGGTATGTCATTACCAATGTTTGTGTCAGGCAGTGTATCATCAGAATCTATCTTTTGCAATTGTCATACAGTTTAGATTTCTTTCTGTGTAATAAAACCTGTTAAATCTAGATTTTTTTGTTCTTTCCAGAACAGACTTGCTAATGCTATCAAATGAAAAAAAAAATCTTTTTTTTTTCGTTTCTTGGGAAAATGAATGTAAATGTTAGTACTGCAAATCAATGTTCAACTTGTTTGACTTGCATAACATAACTGGTTGACCACCAAAAAAAGTAATAACATAACGGACTGTAAATGTAAAATCCTAGCAGGAATTACCCATTATGTATGTTATAGAGTTACAGTCCTCTAGACAAGGGTTGTTCTCTAGGTAAAAAGGTGCCTCTTTTATGACAGATTAAAACGCGATCTATTCTTGTAGATGGAAGATGAAGACAAAACAGCTTGAGAGAGAGGTTGACCGTCACAAACACGGAACCAACACGTTGATGCAGAGGAATGAACAGCTGGTGAAAGAGTTAGAGGGCATGAGGCACCAACTACACCACCAGGGAGTGCAGATGGACAACCTCAAACGTGAGCTGGGTGACGCCTTGGTGAGTAACTCGACACCCTATCTCTAATGATTTACACTGTAAATAATTGTCATGATTCACACTGTGTTTGTGTATTGAAGTGAATTGATTTGTGTATTGAAATCCATACCTGTGTAAGTGAAATGTGTTGTTTAAACAGGCGGTGAGAGCAGCCCAGGATGAACAGATCCGTCTGAAGGATGTGGAGATCAATGAACTAAAGTCTGTGCGTATGGACCTGGACCATGAACTCCGAGACTCTCGTTCTGTCTGTGATAGAGTAAGTCTAACAACAGTCACATATTTCTCTGTAACAAATAAAAGGACATATATTTAAATATAAATCATGTTAACAAATTGGAACAATTGTTTTCAATGATGAGAGATATCAATAAAAACACTTCTGAGGAAACCATATCAAAATGACATTAATACCTGTTGTAGATGGAGAATGAACTAAATGCAGCCCAGACACGTGTATCAACTCTATCTGAGGAGAAGAACAGACTGGAGGATAAACTGTCCTCTGTTGAAGCAGCACACCTTCTGTCACAGGACCAAGCTAATCAACTACAGGTAAGTCTACCCCAGGACCAAGCTAATCAACTACAGGTAAGTCTACCCCAGGACCAAGCCAATCAACTACAGGTAAGTCTACACCAGGGGAGACAGCCATATACAATTAGGTCTCCCCAAGGGCAAAAAGTAGGTCAACCATGGATTGCATTAAGAAAGAGATAATAAGTATATTGATGATATACTTTTAAGAGGATGACTATAAGTACAGCTATACATATAGAAATACGTCAGTAATACTGTCGATGTAGTTTTGTCTCTATAACCATTTGGAGGGAGACAACTCTGCAGAAACACTGCGGTAATGTTGTGGCTACAGCTTTGTGTCTAAAGGAAACCATTGGTAGGGAGAAAACTGATCAAATTAGCTCAGTTATCAGCTGAGTGTGCTAATACTGATAACCAAAGGTGGAGACTGAGAGCCTGAAACCACATTAGAGAAGGGAGATAATTCTGTCTCTTGAGAGAGAAAAAAATATTGGTGCACACTTACATGTAACATGTCATTAGGAGAACGATATGTAAATTCAGGGAGCAGGTGATGATATGTACCAGGAAAATAAGTTAGGAGTATATCTTTTCATTCACACCTTAAGTACAACTGGAACATGTGACCATTAGATTTTGAAAATTGTTATTTTCTGTTTTGTTTAGAGGTATTCTAATATATATTTTTCTTTGCTTGAAGTTCTTTTATTTTTTCTGCTTTCAGCAAGAACTTAAAGAATTAAGCTCGGTGAAGGCAGAGTTTGCCTCTCAGTTGTCCCTGGCCAATGGTAAAATCCATGTAAGTATTTCACCAATCTTTATAAAGAATACCTGGTATACCTGTAATTAGATAGAATTCAGGTGCCAGCTAAAGAACCACATGTACGACACCAACCTGTTCAGTTCACCAGTCATCCATGTATATTTGAATATGCAGGTTCTATTGAATTCAATCATATTGTGTGAGAATAGTGAATAATGCAGTTCGTTAAACCTTTCCCCAATTCTCCCCACACTTTGACCGTTTGGATAGTCCAAAATGTGACAAGTAGACAAGTTCAAAGCCGACACAATATGTTGACTGACAGTGCAGTGTTGAGCCACCACCAAGCTAAAACCAAGCTAATTTTAAAAAGAAGATTATACTTTTCACTCTGTTATAACGGTTACCAAATGCTCTTGGTATTGATAAATAGAAGAAAAAGCTAGATTAATCCCTGACCACAGAAAACCTTGAATGACAGTGTGGAGTTGAATCAATGTGAGAAATGTTGACCAGCAGTGCAGTGTGGAATCGCTATGGAAAATTGAACTCAGTAAAAACTTTTCTTTATTTAACAACAATTATGAAACAAAGCTATTTCAACTTATATTAATCACTCTTGTTGGCTCAGATGTTGGGCATGGGGGGGGGGGGGGGGGGGGGGGGGGGGGGGGGGGGGGGGTCTTAATGTGGTCGTGCAGGTGATCCCATACCTTTTCATGTCTGTTTTGGGATTCGAACCCTGGTCGCCTTGGTGAAAGGCGAGTGCGTTATCTACTGCCCCACCCATCCACCCTAATGTTAGAAACGTATCCCAAGTAATTGGAACCTTTCTCTAATAGAAACCTTGTTCCTTCGGTTTACTCTGTAGGTTGCTCTTTGTATGTACTTTTAGGACCTGAGACACAACTTTGTTGAGCTACAACACCGAGAGAAGGCGGCTAGAGAGGAGTTGAAAATCTACCAGAGACAACTGGCAGAGGTATGACGTTGCCTGTAATGTATGATCAGTAATACAGTGGAACCCGCTTATTATGATATTCTATTTGCCAGAGAGAAATATCATAAGAACTGATATATCATAAGAACCGATCAAGCTGTTTTCGATCGCTTTTATGCTGTCTGAACCGGAAGTGATATATTCTGTATTAATCAGACGTAGATTGATGTGGAAACATGGAAAAATATAGATACAAAATGATAACGTAATAATTGAAATAATTTGTTAATTGTTATTTATATCAGCGTGTTGTTAAAATTCTAGAAGATTTCTTTTTGCTTTCAAAATGATCAGTATGTAAATTCTACTTTCACTTTCAAATAACTTCGTGCATATTCCTGAGAACTATCTTTATACTACATCCTAGCTAACGATATCGTAATGTTATAGTCAATAGGATGAAAGAAGTGATATAAATAGTCATAATTTACCTATATTGTAACGAGAAGTTGCGTTACATTTTGTCCCAAAAAATTTATTTTGCCGTGCTATGTCAATTACGATCACGTGACAATCACATGCCTCGCAAGTCGTGGGGTGAAATCAACTTGCAAAAAAATAATAACAATTAAAAACACAAAATATTCCCTTTTTAACAATAATTAAATATTGTAAATCGTAAATTGTAAATAAAGCAGCCGTTGTTAGTTGTTTACAACAATAACGCTAATTTGAATCGATATCTGGCACCATGCTGTCAGTGCGGTTTGTCCCGATTTTGACACTTTTTCAACGGAGATATGGGGAAATCAACTTCTAATGCAATATAGAAACTATTGCTTAAGTGATTAAAAACATATGTCTTCCTTCTGAAGTGATATTTTCATTGAAATCGGCAGAAATCGGCATGATTTTCTCACAACCGTGAATATTTGTGAAAGGCATGCTCGTTTTCTTATCAGAATTTGTGTTGTAAAATGTCGGTAAGCTTAGGCCTAATCATTTCAATTTGATACACAGTCCTACAGTGTATTTTAGATAGCAATTAACTGCACCACATCTTTTGTTAAGACTTAAATGTATGACCAGCAAGCGATGGTCCATCTATTGTTTGCCGCTGACTGGGGTGAAGTGAGGTGTGACAAATTTACCTGGAGTGGACAGGTGATCACCTCGGGCGATGTCCAGTTAGCCGAATCTATTCCGTCTTTGCGTATTGCAGAGTTATCTTCTCTCACAAACAAGTGACGTAACAATCAATACCTGCTCCCAAGATAACTCTGCAATACGCAAAGATGGAATTGTTTAATTGTCTAGGTGTTTCACATGGACAACTTACCTGAGTTTTTACCTTATAAAATCCATTCAGGGCAGAAAAAAGTATCATAATAAGTGGGGTCCTACCTAGGATAAAATTGAAGTTGAACAAAATCCACACAAGTAATTGACCTACTGAGCTCTGAATGGTCAACACTTTTTCACACAATAACAAAATCAAATATAACGGAATTCTTATGAAACATTTCAGGAACGAGAATCGCACCACAATACAGTTGAAAATCTCAAACAAGAACTTAATGAGGTCAAGGTAAGTACTTTGTTCTGCAAATGAACAATAAAACAAATTGTACTTTGTTAATTTAATTACTTCTCTATAAAATAAAAACTTTGATATAACAAATAAGAAGGAACTGTCATATTTCTTAAACAGAAAAAAATGGAATTAAACACATCACCCTTTGGTGGCCATTACTGTGTTGTTGCCTTACACCAGAACAGGATGATGAGGATGTATTTTGTAGGTGCGGGAAGCTCATGTGATGCAGGACATACAGAGAAAGATGAAGAGAGGACACGCAGAGTATGAGGCAATTCAATTTGCACAAGTGACGTGTTCCATTCAGGGCAGAAAAAAGTATCATAATAAGTAGGCTCTTAAGGTTTGTTGTCGATAGCAATTAGCTTGTCAAGTATGAAGCAACCATACAGGCTCTTAAGGTAAGTGGTCAATAGCAATTAGCTTGTCAAGTATGGCAACCATACAGGCTCTTAAGGTAGGTGGTCATTAGTGATTAGCTTGTCAAGTATGAGGCAACCATACAGGCTCTTAAGGTTTGTTGTCGATAGCAATTAGCTTGTCAAGTATGAAGCAACCATACAGGCTCTTAAGGTAAGTGGTCAATAACATGCCAAGAATGAAGCAACCATACAGGCTCTTAAGGTAAGTGGTTAATAACATGTCAAGTATGAGGCAACCATACAGGCTCTTAAGGTAAGTGGTCAATAACATGTCAAGTATGGCAACCATACAGGCTCTTAAGGTAAGTGGTCAATAGTAATTAGCTTGTCAAGTATGAGGGATTAGCTTGTCAAGTATGAGGCAACCATACAGGCTCTTAAGGTAAGTGGTCAATAGTGATTAGCTTGTCAAGTATGAGGCAACCATACAGGCTCTTAAGATTTGTTGTCAATAGCAATTAGCTTATCGAGTGTGGCAACCATACAGGCTCTTAAAGTAAGTGGTCAATAGTGATTAGTTTGTCAAGTATGAGGCAACCATACAGGCTCTCAAGGTAAGTGGTCAATAACATGTCAAGTATGAGGCAACAATACAGGCTCTTAAGGTTTGTTGTCAATAGCAAATAGCTTGTCGAGTGTGGCAACCATACAGGCTCTTAAAGTAAGTGGTCAATAGAGATTAGCTTGTCAAGTATGAGGCAACCATACAGGCTCTTAAGATTTGTTGTCAATAGCAATTAGCTTATCGAGGGTGGCAACCATACAGGCTCTTAAAGTAAGTGGTCAATAGAGATTAGCTTGTCAAGTATGAGGCAACCATACAGGCTCTTAAGATTTGTTGTCAATAGCAATTAGCTTATCGAGTGTGGCAACCATACAGGCTCTTAAAGTAAGTGGTCAATAGAGATTAGCTTGTCAAGTATGAGGCAACCATACAGGCTCTTAAGGTAAGTTGTCAATAGCAATTAGCTTGTTGAGTGTGGCAACCATAAGGCTCTTAAGGTTTGTTGTCAATAGTGATTAGCATGTCAAGTATGAGGCAACCATACAGGCTCTTAAGGTAAGAGGGCAATAGCAATTAGCTTGTCTGGGGGTGGCAACCATACAGGCTCTTAAAGTAAGTGGTCAATAGTGATTAGCTTGTCAAGTACGAGGCAACCATACAGGCTCTTAATGTTTGATATCAATAGTGACTAGCTTGTCAAGTATTAGGCAACCATACAGGCTCTTAAGGTAAGAGGGCAATAGCAATTAGCTTGTCTGGGGGTGGCAACCATACAGGCTCTTAATGTTTGTTGTCAATAGTGATTAGCATGTCAAGTATGAGTCAACCATACATGCTCTTAAGGTTTGTTGTCAATAGTGAATAGCTTGTCAAGTATGAGGCAACCATCCAGGCTCTTAAGGTTTGTTGTCAATAGCAAGTCACCTTGCCACGTATGAGGCAACCATAAAGGCTCTTTAGGTTTGTTGTCAATAGTGATTAGCTAGTCAAGTATGAGGCAACCATACAGGCTCCTAAGGTTTGTTGTCAATAGTGATTAGCATGTCAAGTATGAGTCAACCATACATGCTCTTAAGGTTTGTTGTCAATAGTGAATAGCTTGTCAAGTATGAGGCAACCACACAGGCTCTTAACATACAGGCTCTTAAGGTAAGTGGTCAATAGTGATTACTTAAGGTAAGTGGTCAATAGCAATTAGCTTGTCAATTTTGAGGCAACCATACAGGCTCTTAAGGTAAGTTGTCAAGAGCAATTAGCTTGTTGAGTGTGGAAACCATAAGGCTCTTAAGGTTTGTTGTCAATAGTGAATAGCTTGTCAAGTATGAGGCAACCACACAGGCTCTTAACATACAGGCTCTTAAGGTAAGTGGTCAATAGTGATTAGCTTGTCAAGTATGAGGCAACCACACAGGCTCTTAACATACAGGCTCTTAAGGTAAGTGGTCAATAGTGATTACTTAAGGTAAGTGGTCAATAGCAATTAGCTTGTCTGGGGGTGGCAACCATACAGGCTCTTAAGGTAAGTGGTCAATAGTGATTAGCTTGTCAAGTGTGGCATCCATACAGGCTCTCAAGGTTTGTGGTCAGTTGTGTGCTGAATATGATGCAAACATAGTTGTTTTTAATGTTCTGTATTACTTAATATTTTGTACGATGGAAATTGATTTCTGAAAATGTCTATAATTAGAAGGAAAAAAACGTTTTTTTAGGCAGCAAAATGTAAAGGAAAAATTATTTCATACTGAAAATAATTGATGTCAATGTATTAGGACCAAGAATTATTGGATAAAAAATGGTCAATGTCAGTTTTGATGCCCTAAAAACTCTATATATAAGTAACCAAGGTGACTTTTTCAACCCAGATGGAATTAGGAGAAGAGAAATCCTCCTCCAAAATATCTAAACGTAATGAAGAGAAGATGCGTCAGGATGTGGAGAGACTCACACACGAAGTAGAGAGGTATCCTCCGTCACAGAACATTACCTTTTTGGCGCTTTCTTAATTCTGTTTTCTGAGAAAATGGGGGTATTTGTTTTGGTTTGTTTATCTGTCATGCTTAGTTTCTCAACAACTGCCCTAAAAATGGTAAATTTTTAACCAACTTTGGTATACACCTACATAAAAGCAAAATTTCAGGCAAAGTTTGATTGCAATTGTGAAGCCTGTTTACCCATAATTAATGAGGCTTCTCTATTCTTATTAGTAAATGGTTTCCTTGTAAATCACTGGCCTAAATCTGTATACATGATGGTAGTCTCAGGCTAGTGCAAACATTAATGTGATTTTTGAACATTTATACAAAACCAGGAAGGCTTCTCTATTTAGATTGATTGATTGTTTTTTGTTCAATAACTGCCCTGAAGAATAGTAAGATCTCAATCAAATTTAGCATGAAAATCTGTATTGATCAAATTTGAGACACAAATAGATATTGGCAACTCTTACACTAAATATGTGTACTACATATACAAACCTCAACAACAGATAGTTACCACGTGATTCTGAAAGGGATTTAAATTCTTCTGCTTGTTTTATTAACTCATTCATTCCTGAAGACACATTTGAACCCTTCCAATTCAAAGGTCGGAATAGTTCATTAAAAATTTCAGGGGTGAATGAGTTAATCTATAAAACTATATTTTATCATTTGAGTATACTCATTTCTACAGAACTTTTAGACTGAATTGATCTTGTTAATCTCATGGATAGTTCTAATTTTTATAACTTTATTTGAAGATCTGAAGAGGAGAGCTCCAACCTCTTAAGGAGACTTGAGCATGCTCATCAAGAATTTCAGACCCAGGTAGGCTGGTTAAACGTGTTCTATAATAATCATGATGTTTATATAAGTTTGACAAACTCCTAATACTGGTGTTCGTGTTTCCCTGAGTGCTTTATCAAAGACTTCCCTCATGTAACCATCCATACATCTGTGTGAATTGTTGTCTAACTGCTCCGTGTACGTTTTAATATCTCACAAGCATGTCATCTGTGTTGTCAATGCCGATCGTCACAGAAATATACACTTTATGTCGTCAGCTTTCAATGATGATAGTGTGGTCAGTTTTCTGTAATTCTGGTGAATAGATCAAGTCGTTTCTATCTGAAATGTTGAACTCGATGGAATATGACCATTTCACTCGTGTTCATATGATGTTACTGTCCCTCAGCAGTATCTGTCTTCAGTGTTAATGATAGCATCAGAAATTAATGGGTTTTTCATTAATTCAGAATAGAAGTTGATGTTATTAGGGACTAGCATAAAACTTTCAAGTGCTTTTAAAGAATCTTGGTATTTTTCCGTCTCTGTCCACATTTACATTCTTGAGAAAATCTCAGAATCCAGATATTTAAAAAAAAATCCCATTATGATTCGCTATTAAATATAGATATGCAATAGGGGTTCCTAGGGTCATGTTTAGATACATGTTCACTGTTACTATCCAAAATGGTTGCTGTAGCTTGTGCTTGGCTGTAATTGGGGAAGACATGGCGAGATCCTTGTTGATTGTCAGTGTGTTATTTTTTGCCCCTGTTAAATTATTGTTTTGTGCGTCCTTGAACAAGGGAAAAAAAGAGGCTAAAAAATATGTGTGTGTTTAAAGTTTCTTACCTATCCTATAATTTGTTGTCCTGTGTGCCAACTTTCAAAGATTTTATTAGGTTTTTTGGAAGGTTAGAAATGTCTAGAAAATTACTTATCATGGTTTGTCATCAAACTGATATATTTTCCCTGTTGAAAACAAGCATAATTTAATTTAAAGTGTTATAATAATGGTAGTAAGCAAATATACCCGGTAATCATTATTCTGAAGTTAAATTAACGAAACAATGTCAGAATATACCGGTAGTTAAAAAATATTTAAAAATGAAAAAACCTTCCAACCTATTTACCCTTCCCAATTTTCAACTTGAAATCCTAAGCACACATGTTAAATTTTCTAGGCCTTTTTTTATAAAAAAAAAACTGGGATGCCAAAGGGTGAAAAGTACTGAAAAAATACTGTTTATCAAGTAGTTAAAAGCTTGATGCAAATTTCACTGATTTGTTTGGAATCAAATTTCCCCATTTGAACTTTTTGTGTTTTCATCCGTATGCTAATGCTGAAAACAAAGTGCATTATGTTTTCCAGCATGTTATTACAAGTTTTTATCATCTTTTGAGGATTTCATCATCCCAAAAATAAAGTGAAAATTAAATCATCACATAATTACTTGATGTATGGTATTTCATTAACAGGTGATTTAGTATGCTTAATAAACGCAACAGTTGTCGACATAAGAAAGTTATGTTAATCTAACCAACATTTGTTATTTTTGTATTTTCGTATTTTAGAGATATGGATACTGTTTACATGTATGTACTAACTGACTTTACCATGTGATGAAGTATAAAAGACTGATATTTGTAAATGTTATACCTGAACAGTCCGGTCATGGGGAATATTTCAATTAGCAAGCATGTTATTTTAGTACACCTTTAAATATAAAGTGAAACCTATTAAACAAATCAGTTCCAAAGTATTTTTTTATATTGCAATAACTAACATACTTCAGGGAAAGAATGAAAGTCTTCTTCAAGAATGAATGGGATTGTCTGATTCCACAATAACACATACAAACTATAGAATTCAGATGAGTTGTTTTAGAATACACGGGATTTTGATTTGAATCCGTTATTTCACTACATCATTATAAAAGATAGCGTGAACTATGTGAGATATTCCCCTACGATCCTCTAATGTGTATGAATATGAAGCCTTAGATTCCACTACCTCCAACCATGTCAGATTTGTCGGTAATGATAATCTTAATTCAAACTCTTAGAATGTGTACATCACTCAATGAGAGTCTGTGTAGTTGAGAATGTTTGGATTGTCAGTGCTGTGAGTCCCAGTCCGAGTCGAGCATGGTTGGTGGGTTGTGGATGGTATGAATTGTTGCCTAACCTTGTGACCTGTAACTTGTAGCTTGCTGCCAAGGTCAGCGGGAAGCGTAAACCTGCGTGTTCACGTTTGATGAAACAGCTGAGTGTAAAACACTTTGGCGTCCCTGTTGTATGTGTTTGATAGATACGACAGCTAATCCTGTGTGGTGGCTTGGTAGTGTGTGGGTTATGTGGCTTTGGTGTTCAGTAATATCACACCCTTGTTTACTTTACTGACTTAACTACACATTTCTGTAGTGTCATTTTCAGTGTGGCAGTCACATGGATGACAAATGTAGGATGTACTTGGCTAAAACTATTGAACATAATTGCAAAAGGAAACAATGATTTATCGACAATCATTGAACTAGTGATCAGATAAGCACATCAGTAATTGAGGAAGATAAAGTTGGATCCTGTGGTACCCTTAAATTCTCATGTGATAAAGTATAAATTTTAAATGAGGTTTTTGATAATAGGAAGTATTAACAATTCTATTATACATTTATCAGTGTAAACAATATCTTCTCAGTACATGATTGTGTACTACATACTGTAGTACCTCAATCACATAGAAAAGCTGGTTCACAGCTATCCATAGACGTGAACCTTCTATGACCTGTAGAATACATTGTATTAGGTAGTTATGCGGTTTTTGGATCCACCGAATTGTCACTGCCGTAGATCAAATATCTTGGTATTTATATATACATTGTATTATTTTGCACTTGAAAAAATCTCAATGTATTAAGATTCATTTTATTTTGGGAGAATTAGTATTTTCAGGAATATGTGATATTCATATAAAAAAAAATTCACATGACATATGCTGATTTAATTACCAGAGGTCAGATAATTGTCCTAAAAGACATATTAGTAATTGTAACTGTTCACACATAAAATTAGAGCACAGTTTATCACATTTATAATATACTATATGACGGAAATAAGCTTTATTGAAGTTTAGTAAGAAAGTTTTTTCTGTGTGGCTAAAAGACCAGTCATGTTAGGTAGTGTACAAGATTGGCATTTCTAGTTACTTATAGCACCAAAGGCTTAACTGAATCTTACAAGATTTTGTAGATACACAAGTGTTGAATTATAACATTCGGTTTTGCTAGTTGGATTACAAGGATTTTGATTTTTGCACTGTAAAGATATTGTATGTTCTATATACAATGTAAAAATTGTTGGTACAAAAACGTTATCTACATCACTCACGGTAGTTTCACATACAACAGCACCTAGTAAAAATATATATATATTTTTTTTTATCTCTGATGAGTCATAGGATATATTTCAAACAGACATTCATGAATGTATCAGTTACTCAAAATCTTTCATATCTATGATCCAAATTTTAATTACATATCAGTGTTTTATTAATTATTTAATACTGTTCAATAATTTTGTATCTAAAGAGGTCTAGGTCAAGTATGTGACTGTTTACAGAGTAGATAAATAGCAACTTCTTTGATTATTTTAATGACCCGATATATAAGGGACTACACAATTTAATGCAAAACTAGAAATAACTTTGACTTCCCAATTTAATGCAAAACTAGAAATAACTGTGACTTCCCAATTTAATGCAAAACTAGAAATAACTTTGATTTGTTTGAGAAGTACCCTGGTATAAAGACTCTGTTTGTTCATTTCAGACTCAAATGGCAGAGAGTGATATGTCAAGGTAAGTCATCATTGTTGTCACGTTTCTGTAGTAATCTAGTGTTGAGTATGAAGTGTGAACAGTTTAGAATCATGATTGTGCTTTGAACTACTTTAATTCCTTTCATAAATCGTGTAGGCTATATGGTTTTTACATCTGAAAATGCTTTTTGGAGCCAAAAGCCACAATTTGGTCAAGCTGCCGATGATAGTATCTTTCCTTTCACAGAAATGTGTAAAAATGCAGGCTATAATGTGTTATTTGTCCTCTGTTAATGGTACAAATAAGTATGAAATGTCAGCAATTAAATGAAAGAATATGATACAATTTTATCTATTTTTAAATTATCAATTAAGAATTTAACTGTTTACTAAGGATACCTATACACAAAAGCAGTTACCTTTGTGGGGCATAGCTGTGATTGTACATGTCATTTAACATATTATTTAATTTGCAAGATGTATACAGAAGTGTTTGTCATGTCTGTAGGGTAAAGAAATATGAAGATGAACTATTTGCTCTGAAGAGTGAGCTGAAGAAGTCTAGGACTGACCATGATGTAAGTTGCCACTTTAAATAGGAACAGATTTCTTTCTTTCGCATTTATTGTTTTTATATACTTTCTGTTTGAAATATTGTCGTATTCAAATCACAATCTGCAAAGAAGGTAAGGCAAATATCCAAATGAACTCCTCATTGATATCTATAAGTCTTCTTCAAGTATTATGTAGAAATAGTTTATTAAATTCTATGTGCTGAATAAGGACATATTACCAGGGTATCTGGATCTGGTAATCCAAGATGGTTGCCATGGCTGCCGATTGGCTGCTACTTTTTGGACTATAACTCCTGTCTTATGGGTCTGATTCTATTTATATTTGGTGGTAACTGGTATTTGATGTATTACATGGCTTATAAACAATATTCCAATATCGAAAATAATTACTTCTGCTTCGCCATAATACAGAATATAAAAGGTTAAGCATATGGAAGAATCCCTGCTGACCTTTCAGCATTCTAGTCTGTTTTATTCAAATACAAACATTGACACTTTATACACTCCAGCTGTTTCATTGCCTTGATTTATACTGTTGTAGGGCCTCAAATATGATACTGTTGCTGTTAATAATCTTGATTTGTACTGTTGAAGGGCCTCAAGTATGATACACCAAGCTGTTAATTACTTTGATTTGTACTGTTGTAGGGTCTCAAATATGATACAGTTGCTGTTAATTTCCTTGATTTGTACTGTTGTAGGGCCTCAAGTATGATACACCAAGCTGTTAATCACCTTGATTTGTACTGTTGTAGGGCCTCAAATATGATACAGTTGCTGTTAATTACCTTGATTTGTACCGTTGTAAGACCTCAAGTATGATACACCAAGCTGTTACTTACTTTGATTTGTACTGTTGTAGGGTCTCAAATATGATACAGTTGCTGTTAATTACCTTGATTTGTACTGTTGTAGGGCCTCGTATATGAAATGGTGACAGAGGTTGACACACTGATGGAGCTAGTCGCTACAGGTTCCATGGAGAAACGTCAGACAGTGACTGCTGTGAAGGGAGCTCCTAATGGTCCAAGTGCCACCGTAGTTGATATCAAAAGTAAGATGAAATGGCTGCGTCGAGAGATAAGGGACAGGATCAAGTATGAACAGAAGTTACGCAAAGACCTGCGAGAGGCTTTAACCTGTAACGACCATGACCGCCAGTTCCTTCTTGCAGAACTTGCCAAAAGAGAAGATGTCCTTGATGAATTGTCCAGTGCCAAGCAAGGTATAAGTCTTTTCCACTGTGGACTCTAAGATAATCCCTGTAGTAAGATTGGTCTTGTGTAGGGACAACTCTTCGTAGAATTGGTTTTATCACACTCATTGAGATGGCACAGCTTCAAATATCATCGGTGGCTTATCATTGGTGTTTAATGTTATCATCTGTTCATGCCTCAAGTCTCTGTACCTAGGATCATCCTCAGCTACCATAAATTTATAACTGTACAACTTAGTTTGAAAATCGAAATATCGTTACTTGAGCACCTGGTACACACTCCATTTACTCGTAGGAAACCTCAATGTTATTTATTACATGTGTAACCAATTTCAGTTAACAATATTATAAGGGCACAGCTTGTTAAGTGATATTTCATAATCACAAGAAAAAAAATTATGATGTAAAAGAAAATTCATATGCATTGAAAGATATCTTTAAAATGGATTAATACTGCATTTCTATGGTTCACCCTTTCATATGTGGACCTGATGATGAGTGTTATATGTTAAACATGTTACTGCCCACTTTACAGGGAGGATCCTACAAATGCCATACCTTGGCAAGCTGTTACCTGGTACTATTCTTTGTAGTGTGCAGTTTCACTCTGTTGTCTTTGCATTAAATTTCTTTGAAATTCATGTTAAAGAAATTGGGGTAAAATGTTATCCATTTAAATTAACCCATTGTTCTGTGAGAGGTGACACAATGGTATATCACAAGTCTGTTACACAAGTTTGTTCTGTCAGTACTTTTTATACCCATGATTGTAACATCAATTTCGGGAGTTATGATTTTTAACATTTATTAAGTTTTTGTAAAAAAAAACCAAAAAAACATTGTGATACAAGTCTCCATACAATTTAATACATATCAATCAAGAAAGTAATTTTTTAAGCTTCAGAAGCTGAAAAAATAAAGTGAAGTCCAATGAACATTTCTGTAGTCCAGGAAGATTTTTTTTTTTACAGTTTTAGATAGAATTCATTTCTATACTGTGTAAAACACAATCTAGAGTTTAAAGACATTTAACAAACTTTGTAACAGTCTGAAGTATGACCATTTAGGTAGTCCTTAACAACCTTAATACCAGGTGCTGCGGTGTATCCGTGTTGTGAGGCATGGTGGTCCCAGACTGACAAGACACACCTACATGACAGCGTTATAGCATCATACCCTACATCAGTCCATGCATGTTTTGTGTGTCACACAGCCCTGACAAAGCCATACCCTCTTACCCTCCATCAGTCCATGCATGTTTTGTGTGCCACACAGCCCAGACAAAGCCATACCATCTTACTCTTCATCAGTCCATGCATGTTTTGTGTGCCACACAGCCCAAACAAAGCCATACCACTTTACCCTCCATCAGTCCATGCATGTTTTGTGTGTCACATAGCCCTGACAAAGCCATACCAAAGCCATACCGTTTTACTTTCCATCAGTCCATGCATGTTTTGTGTGTCACACAGCCCAGACAAAGCCATACCATCTTATCTACCATCAGTCCATGCATGTTTTGTGTGCCACACAGCCCAGACAAAGCCATACCCTCTTACCCACCATCAGTCCATGTATGTTTTGTGTGTCACACAGCCCAGACAAAGCCATACTGTTTTACCAACCATCAGTCCATGCATGTTGTGTGTGTAACACAGCCCTGACAAAGTCATACCAAAGCCATACCATTTTACTCTCCATCAGTCCATGCATATTGTGTGTTACACAGCCCAGGCAAAGCCATACTGTTTTACCAACCATCAGTCCATGCATGTTGTGTGTGTCACACAGCCCAGACAAAGCCATACTGTTTTAGCAACCATCAGTCCATGCATGTTGTGTGTGTCACACAGCCCAGACAAAGCCATACTGTTTTACCAACCATCAGTCCATGCATGTTGTGTGTGTAACACAGCCCTGACAAAGTCATACCAAAGCCATACCATTTTACTCACCATCAGTCCATGCATATTGTGTGTCACACAGCCCAGGCAAAGCCATACTGTTTTACCAACCATCAGTCCATGCATGTTGTGTGTGTCACACAGCCCAGACAAAGCCATACCCTCTTACCCACCATCAGCCCATGCATGTTTTGTGTGACACACAGCCCAGACAAAACCATACTGTTTTACCAACCATTAGTCCATGCATGTTGCGTGTGTCACACAGCCCAGACAAAGCCATACTGTTTTACCAACCATCAGTCCATGCATGTTGTGTGTGTCACACAGCCCAGACAAAGCCATACCATTTTACCCACCATCAGTCCATGTATGTTTTGAACACCACACAGCCCTAACAAAGCCATACCCTCTTACCCACCATCAGGGCATGTATGTTTTGTACACCACACAGCCCAGACAAAGCCATACCATTTTACCCACCATCAGTCCATGCATGTTTTGTACACCACACAGCCCTGACAAAGCCATACCATCTTACCCACCATCAGTCCATGTATGTTTTGTGTGCCACACAGCCCAGACAAAGCCATACCCTCTTACCCACCATCAGTCCATGTATGTTTTGTGTGCCACACAGCCCTAACAAAGCCAGACCCTCTTACCCACCATCAGTCCATGTATGTTTTGTGTGCCACACAGCCCTAACAAAGCCAGACCCTCTTACCCACCATCAGTCCATGTATGTTTTGTGTGCCACACAGCCCAGACAAAGTCATACCCTCTTACCCTCCATCAGTCCATGCATGTTTTGTACACCACACAGCCCAGACAAAGCCATACCATTTTACTCTCCATCAGTCCATGTTTGTTTTGTGTGCCACACAGCCCTGACAAAGCCATACCATTTTACCCTCCATCAGTCCATGCATGTTTAGTGTGCCACACAGCCCTGACAAAGCCATACCATCTTATCCACCATCAGACCATGTTTGTTTTGTGTGTCACACAGCCCTGACAAAGCCATACCCTCTTACCCACCATCAGCCCATGTATGTTTTGTGTGCCACACAGCCCAGACAAAGTCATACCCTCTTACCCACCATCAGTCCATGCATTTTTTGTGTGTCACACAGCCCAGACAAAGCCATACCATTTTACCCACCATCAGTCCATGCATGTTTTGTGTGTCACACAGCCCAGGCAAAGCCATACTGTTTTACCAACCATCAGTCCATGCATGTTGTGTGTGTCACACAGCCCAGACAAAGCCATACTGTTTTACCAACCATCAGTCCATGCATGTTGTGTGTGTCACACAGCCCAGACAAAGCCATACTGTTTTAGCAACCATCAGTCCATGCATGTTTTGTGTGGCACACAGCCCAGACAAAGCAATACCCTCTTACCCACCATTAGTCCATGTATGTTTTGTACACCCCACAGCCCTGACAAAGCCATCCCCTCTTACCCGCCATCAGTCCATGTATGTTTTGTGTGTCACACAGCCCTAACAAAGCCATCCCATCTTACCCACCATCAGTGCATGTATGTTTTGTACACCACACGGCGCTAACAAAGCCATACCATCTTCCCCACCATCAGGGCATGTATGTTTTGTACACCCCACAGCCCTGACAAAGCCATCCCCTCTTACCCGCCATCAGTCCATGTATGTTTTGTGTGCTACACAGCCCAGACAAAGCCAGACCATCTTATCCACCATCAGACCATGTTTGTTTTGTGTGTCACACAGCCCTGCCAAACTCATACCAAAGCCATACCATTTTACCCTCCATCAGTCCATGTATGTTTTGTGTGCTACACAGCCCAGACAAAGCCGTACCATCTTACTCTTCATCAGTCCATGCATGTTTTGGGTGTCACACAGCCCAGACAATGGCATGCCCTCTTACCCACCATCAGCCCATGCTTGTTTTGTGTGCCACACAGCACTGACAAAGCCAGACCATCTTTCCCACCATCAGCCCATGTATGTTTTGTACACCACACAGCCCTAACAAAGCCATCCCATCTTACCCACCATCAGTGCATGTATGTTTTGTACACCACACGGCCCTAACAAAGCCAGACCCTCTTACCCACCATCAGGCCATGTATGTTTTGTACACCCCACAGCCCTGACAAAGCCATTCCCTCTTACCCACCATCAGCCCATGTATGTTTTGTACACCCCACAGCCCTGACAAAGCCATCCCCTCTTACCCCCCACCAGTCCATGTATGTTTTGTGTGCTACACAGCCCAGACAAAGCCATACTATTTTACCCTCCATCAGTACATGCATGTTGTGTGTGTCACACAGTCCAGACAAAGCCATACCATTTTATCCTCCATCAGCCCATGCATGTTTTGTGTGACACACAGCCCAGACAAAACCATACCGTTTTACCAACCATCAGTCTATGCATGTTGTGTGTGTCACACAGTCCTGACAAAGCCAGACCATCTTACCCACCATCAGCCCATGTATGTTTTGTACACCACACAGCCCAGACAAAGCCATACCATCTTACCCACCATCAGCCCATGTATGTTTTGTGTGCCACACAGCCCAGACAAAGCCATACCATCTTACCCACCATCAGGGCATGTCTGTTTTGTGCACCACAAAGCCCTGACAAAGCCAGACCATCTTACCCACCATCAGGGCATGTCTGTTTTGTGCACCACAAAGCCCTGACAAAGCCAGACCATCTTACCAACCATCAGGGCATGTATGTTTTGTACACCACACAGCCCTAACAAAGCCATACCATTTCCCCTCAGTTGAGGATGTTTCTCCAACCATCATTGAACACAAATTTAGTCACAGATCCATTTATTATTTTTGCACTGGTCAAAAAGTATTTTCGTAAACATTCTCAGAATTATCATTGCCATTGTCATTTTAGGAAAATATTGAGAAAGGAATTCAAGTTTTCTGTATTTCATTTACCATAACTGTTTATACTGGATGTGCTTTTTGTTTATTTGCTAGTTTTGACAATAAGTGTTGTTAAGATGCCTATTTTAATGAGCCCTTAATGACAAAGGCTATATTTTGTTGTCTGGTGCCGGTACATTGGGTAGTGGGTTATGGGTATACATTGGTGAAAGGGAGTTACACCAGGAGCTTCAATGCACAGCTTACAGCAATGGTTTACAGCTTACTCATTGCTTACAGGAGTTAACTTTTTTCCAGTACGAAGTCATCTTCAAGATAAAATATATTAAAAAGTCTTTTAGATCTGATTACATTGTGTATGATATGAAACACAGATATTGTATGTAATGTCTTGGTGAAATTTTGTTTCAATGATTCTTATACAGGATGCAAAGTTTTGAACATCTTATGATAATTTCCTTTCTGTAATATATTTCAATAATTTTCATTACAAAGTATATTGGTGAACCAGTAAATTGTCAGATTAATACAAGTCACCAAATATATTTAAGCAATGGATAAAGAATGATTAGAAGAGAGCAAAAGAAAGCTAGCTTAGAGAAATGACTTTGAAACAGGATTTTATAATTTTAAAGGCATTTTAATGTCAAAGTGTGGACAACAGCAGAATCTTGCGTATAGGTGAACTTCTTCAAGCATTGTGTTTATATGTTTTGGCTCAAAGTTGAGCCGTCATCAGATTCTTGTTTTGATGACGTTAAGCCGAAACATGTAAACACTCTGCTGGAAAAAATTCATACATAAACAAGATTCTGCTGTGTTGTCTTTGTGTCGTCTGAATTAGCAGGACTCTGAATACAATGTGTACTACAAGTATCCATGTCGGTAATCATCTGAATTGTACAGGATTTTCAACTTAACCCTTTCACCACTGTAGACCATAATGGACTCATCCAGATCAATACATCATTGCATGGTAGAGTCTACTAAAGTTACATAGGGGTGAAAGGGTTAAAGAGAAGTTGCGTCTCCAACCCCTTTGAGTTGTATGCGCTGTATGTAAGAGATTGTGTTTAAGGTATGAAGTACTATGTACCAGTGTGTTTCTCTGGTCCACATTTCTAGTGCTTTTCTATTGCTTACATTGTACTTTCATAGCATTTGTTGATAATATCCATTTAAACGCATGAGGTATTTCCCCCACTACATACCCTACAAATCTGGCTGTGCAGCCTGTTTTCAGGCCATGCAATACAAGGTTCCATGTTTCAATCTGTGATACTACAAGATGTTGTATTTCCCAAGTAGCCAAACAGACTCCTCTTTGGCTGGATCTCATGGGTTGATATACATTGGTCTAATCAATGAATTGAAACCAGAATGGATGCCAAACATTTTAGCGCCATTTTAACTTATGGAAACATGACGTAAACATGATGTCATTATTATATCTTCAACTTCATTTCCTCCGTCATTGTTGTTTGGATCAAATTTTTCAGAAGAAAATTAGATATTAATAAGAGAGTAATTATGAGCATTGCTTTTTCGGACAATATTGATTGCTTTTAAAGAACAGTTGTAGGTATGTAGTTTAAGCAATACCACACTTGTGTATTCCTCTGGCATCTCAGATTGCACTCATCTATTGTATGAATATACAAACATATATATTTCATTCGCGGTAAAGCACTTGTGAAATACACATATATCCATTTATGCAATTCATGTACACTTGTGCAGTCTGCGACGTCGGATAAACACACATGTAGTATTGCCTATATATGGTCTGCTAATCATGCCTTGTTTATTTACCCGTCATTGTTGTTTCAGAGCTGGCCTACAGAGATCTGGATAACGTGCAAGCCGTAGAGAAATTACAGGTACAAAATGGCTTCTCTTTCATTGTACAGTTTACAATAAACTCACTTAAAAATATATATTGGTATGTTTATCCCTTTTACTGTCCTTTGTTCTACAAATATTTGAAGTCCAATAAGATAGGGGAAAACTTTGTGAAATACAGTGATACTGGGGGAAAAAAATTATCAAAATTATAGCAAACTCACAAGAGCCACAATTTGATTCCAGTAAAACGTTACTCCAGCCAAGTACTTCAGGTTTAGTTAAGGCATACCACCCATATAATCTATTTGATAATGTCACTTCATTTGCTTAGAAATAAAAGGCAGGAAATCCAGTTTCGGATAGAAGTGAGTTATCTTGGAGTCCTGGGGTTGGGTAGTTTTGACTAGAAAAACCTTAACAAGAACTATATCAAATATCAGTAAAAATCATGCCAGTATATTGTACTGTGTTATTTTTTTTATTTTTTTTTTCTCTAAATTTAGGAACACATCCTTGATTTGACAGATGAATTAGAATTGAGGAAAATACGAGAGGAAGAGATCATACGAGCCCAGGAATCTGACAAACAACACATCATTGAAGATTTACACGAACTCAGGGTAAGACATCACTGAAGATTTCCATGAACTCAGAGTAACATTGACTTAATTTGATGTCCTTAATGACAGCAGTTTATCTCAAATGTTGGTGTACATGATTTCTTAGGAGTTAATAGACAGAGTTGTATGCCAGATTAAAGTTTGAAGGTCAGATACATTTAGTCCAGACATTGATTAAATGTTAAATAAATTTACAAAATTATCACTATAACAGCTTTCTGAATTTGGTTCTTTTTGCGAGAGTACACTAACACACTCTACTTGTATTTTGTACTGTTGTTGTTCTAAAGATGTGTTTTCCTTTGTAGACTGTACAAGAGGAGAAGGCTAGGATAGAGGATCGATATCTGCGTCTGTCTGAGACAATGAGAGCCCTACAAGATGAGATAAAATCTGCAAACATAGGGGGAAACAAGGTAAGAGAAACATTGTTTCCAAACCTATCATGAACTACCATTCTATGTTTTTATTAATAAATGCACGAGTAAAGTAAAAAAAATATTTTCAAAATAAAAGTTTATTTTTAATTTCAAACATTTGGAAGACGAGACATTTTCCTCAACTTACCTGTTTAATGTGATTTATAGGTGACAGAGTTTGAGCGTGAGAGGAATGTTGGAAATCTGCGAAAGTCTACAACGCCAAGGAAGAAGAACCAGAGAGTCCGGATACATGAGAGTTCGAAGCGTCCAATCACTCCCCCGTCAAAGCTAAAGAAGGGCCAAACTCCTCCCATGTCATTGTCCGAGGAAGAATTCAAAAGACGTTATATGTCTGAAAAAGACTGCTAGCATTATTAAACTTAATACTATATCTCCTCAAACAATGTATTCTGTGAAACAGGACTGACCAGGGTTTTATAGAAATTGAACTGTTGATTACTTTGTGGGCCAGAAGTACCGGTAATCACCAAGTACCTCCACAAACAGCTTATGGTCAAAGATAGATTACTTTGCCTTTGAGGACTTCAGGCCCACATGATTAAAAATAATTTCTTTCTAATGTTGGTATTGGGGCTTGTTAAGGTGTTCTATTATGTCTTGTACAGATGTGTTTGATGCCCTGTACAGATGCGTTTGATGCCCTGTACAGATGTGTTTGATGCCCGGTACAGATGTGTTTGATGCCCTGTACAGATGTGTTTTAAGCCCTGTACAGATGGGTTTGGTGCCCTGTACAGATGTGTTTGATGCCCTGTACAGATTTGTTTGATGCCCTGTACAGATGTGTTTGATGCCCTGTACAGATATGTTTGATGCCCTGTTAGGTGTTGCTTGATGACCTGTACATGTGTTGTGTGATGCCCTGTTAGGTATTGTTTGATGCCTTGTATATGTGTTGTGTGATGCCTTGTACAGGTGTTGTATGATGCCTCGTACAGGTATGAGGTCGTGTACAGGTGTTGTGTGATGCCTTGTACAGGTATGATGTCGTGTACAGATGTTGAGTGATGCCCTGTACAGGTGTTGTTTGATGCCCTGTACAGGTCTTGTGTGATGCCTTGTACAGGTGTTGTATGATGCCTCGTACAGATGTGTGATGCCTTGTTGTATGATGCCTTGTACAGGTGTTGTGTGATGCCTTGTACAGGTATGATGTCATGTACAGGTGTTGTGTGATGCCCTGTACAGGTATGATGTCATGTACATGTGTTGTATGATACCTTGTACAGGTATGATGTCATGTAAGATGTTGTGTGATGCCTTTTTCAGGTACGATGTCATGTACAGGTGTTGTGTGATGCCTCGTACAGGTATGATGTCGTGTTCAGGTGTTGTGTGATGCCTTGTACAGGTATGATGTTGTGTACAGGTGTTGTGTGATGCCCTGTACAGGTATGGTGTCATGTACAGGTGTTGTGTGATGCCTTGTACAGGTATGATGTGTACAGATGTTGAGTGATGCCTTGTACAGGTATGATGTGTACAGATGTTGTGTGATGCCCTGTACAGGTATGGTGTCATGTACAGGTGTTGTGTGATGCCCTGTACAGGTATGATGTGTACAGATGTTGAGTGATGCCCTGTACAGGTGTTGTGTGATGCCTTGTATAGGTATGATGTCGTGTACAGGTGTTGTGTGATGCCTTGTACAGGTATGATGTCATGAACAGGTGTTGTGTGATGCCTTGTACAGGTATGATGTTGTGTACAGATGTTGAGTGATGCCCTGTACAGGTGTTGTGTGATGCCCTGTACAGGAGTTACATTTGATACACAGATTCTGTAGTACTGTGGGGCAGTGTACAGTCTTCTCACATACTCTATATTACCACATTCCCAAGAAATGTTAAGATCTTTCATTATCATTTCTAAGATGTTAAGATCTTCTACATCATTCTCAAGATGTGTTTATATCCTACATGACATTCCTGAGATATGTTAAGATCTTACACAATATTCTACGGAGATGTCAAGATATTATATAACATTCCAGAGAAATGTCAAGATCTCATATACCAGGCAATTTTCCAGAGAGATGTTAAGATCTGAATCAAAAAAATTCAACAGGAGATGTATTTTCACATTAACTGATAAGTGACTAATTCAGTTACTACTACTGTTACAAATTAGGTAATATATGATATTAATATGACAGAATTCCTACTTAACATTTGCTTTTATGAGAAAATGCTTTGGCTAGTTATTTCACACTACCATGAAACATTCTATTTGTTGCTTCATATTTCACTAAAACTAGAAAGAAAGATGAAGACAAACCAATGAAAGCCAAACACATGTAAGTAGTGTAGTAGCTGTATGATAAACTGTAATCTTAGCCAGGTCGCCAGTAGAGAAACCTTAGCCACGTCACTTTCACTTGAAGAAAAACTTTAAGCCAGGCCCTCTGTAGGCCTGTATAGATAGCTGTGTGTAAATGTCCGTTATATGCCATATATACATGAAATGTAGATACGTTAACTATTTATTTTAGTGCTGATTTGAATGGGTGAAATATGTGAATGTTTGTTGATTGTGATTATTTGTTAGTGTCCTCAAGGTGAAAGATCAGTTTCACTTTGACATCAGATGAAATATACTACATTTCTGTACATTCTAAGACATTGGAATTCTTCTAGCACAAATTCACTAAATTGTTGCCATTATACAGGGCTATTAGTTGACCCTTCTAAAGTCAAATCACTATGTCCTTGAAATTTGAAAAGTCAAAACCTGTTAAATAGACACATGCTTCAGAACCCACGAGTCAAAACTCATTTCGGGAAATCAAAAACATACTCTCAAGGGTCTACCAAAAGCCTTAAATCATATATAAAAGTGGAAAACTTTTGTATTTTATCAGTAAAATCTAACACTTCCTCATACCCACCTCTACAATATCTGGTATTGGTTAGTGGTTGGGTGAATATTGCAAGTTAACCCTTTCACCACTGTAGACCATAATGGACTCACCCTGATAAATGTATGGTAGAGTCTACTTAAGTTACCTAGGGGTGAAAGAGTTGATAAACATGGTTTTTACTTATCCCTTAATGTTCTTTTAAAGGAATAAGTGAGCAAGGAACAAGGATGTAAGATCTGTTATTAAAACAGTGGAGCATTTAACGTTTTGCAAGTTGGTTATGTAATGCCAATGTTGTTTTGTATTTATTTTCACGAATTACTGGGTAGTTGTAGGTGTTTATGTATAGGATCTGAGTGATCACAAAGTATTGTGAACTGGAGTGCCTATTACATATATTTGTAATACAAACTGATTTATATGACGGGACCTGTGATATGTATATGAAATTTGTTGTGCAAAAATCTTTAAAGGTGTATATTGTCTCATTGTTGGCAATATTTTAAGAACCGTTCCAGTATTTTTGGTTAAATGCACATCTTGTTTACTTTTATGTCTTATAATTACAAACAAGCGCTTCTAACATTCTGTATTTACAATATTTCCTTTTTAAAATTTTAGAATAATCACCAGAGATTTATGTAAGAACAAGATGATTTGTACTTTGTTCAAAATGAACGGAATCTCTTAGAAGTGTATTTTATAACTCTTTACTTTCCTCTGTGATGATGAATTCTACACATCAATGATCTAAGTTACTTTGCATTCCTCTACAAATCTTTATTGTGAATTTCTACATTGTATATTAAATCAAATTTTATACACAAATACATAAATAAAACCTATATATTGTACTTCTTGTTTATTGTGTCTTACTTTTAATAGAGAAAAATAAATAACAGAAAATAAGGAATATCAACATCTGTTCTGATTGCTGCTTGCTGAGACATGTAAACCCAAATTAAACTACAGAATCTAGATGTCGATACTCCATATTTTGTTTCTATTCTTTGTATATGACAACCGACATTACTGTCTTATGTTAATAATATGAAAACCTTATTAAAACCCTATCTTGATCTACACTCCGTTCAGTAAAATATACTCTGCTTTGTCAAATTTTTTTTTTTAATTTGGCAGCCAAAGTTCTTAATGTACTAGAGTGTCGTTTATGGGATGGAGAGTATATCAAGTTATGGCATTTATCGGATTGTTACTTTAATTTCTTTGTTTATGTATGTTCTTTATCTAAGCCTTTAAACTTCAGAGATGGTGTATAAGGAAGATGACATTTGGACAAACTTTTCAGCACTTGTAAGGGAAGGGGGGGGGGGGGGGGGGGGGGGAGAAGAAAATTTTAGAGAAAGAGTTTCTGGAGATTTCTTAAAACAATTTGGCAACTGTAGTAAAGTGAGACTTTCTGTTGGATATTAATTTATCATCTAAAAACAAGTCTACATGATAATTTAAATATACAGTTTATGTATGACATAATTCTGAAGGTTAACAGCTTTTGCTGAAATTTGACTCCTTGTTGGGGCCCATTGATAGCCCACAATTTGACTTTTTACTCTAACTCCACAGACATACTGAAAACAAAGCATGAGGCTGGAGTATTCATATTTGTGATGGATGGTTTTCAAAAGTATTCACTAGTGTGTTTGTATCAATGGAAATGACTATGGTTCCACAGACTAGGGCCCAAGCTTGAACAAAACTTTAGTCTACACCTACATAGAGCTACTAACAGAGCTGATCAGAGATAATTTGAGTGAATGTGAAAACCTACTGATAACATGGATGGAGGTATAGAACAGCTCAGAAAAGGTATGAAATACATTCCATTTTATGCTCCTGTAATGAAATGAAACTTCACCTAAGTTGTCAATACTTACATACCTTTACTGAATTTGTCAATACTTATTCCGTCTTTGCGTATTGCAGAGTTATCTTCCCTTGGGAGCAGGTATTGATTGTTACATCATTGGTTTGTGTGAGAAAATTACGTCGTTTTTTCAAAACTTGATGACATTACTCTGACAAACAAGTGACGTAACAATCAATACCTGCTCCCAACAGAAGATAACCCTGCAATACGCAAAGACGGAATATACCTTTACTGAATTTGTGTATCAGGATCCCGGGTCACAAGATCAAGGTCCTTGTTAATGTAAATAGAATGACTTGTGCCACAAATTAAGAAATGCAGTTATGGTCCTTGAGGTCTTTAGCTGCATCTAATTTCTCAACTTTCAATTGTAGGAATGAAATGCATCTACTAGTCTATAAATAGCCAATAAAACAGAAGGCACATCAACATGAAGCAGCAGTAACAAACTAACAAAGTACTGGAGGATATACAGCATTTTATTCAGATTTTCAAATAACAATTATAAATACTGCAAAACTAACAAAAAACACTACATGTGAAAATGTAGATGCACAAACATGAAGTAAATATCTCGCTATACACCATGTGACACAATGGATGTGATATATTCACATCATTATCACATATAATGGGAGAGTCCAAGAGGTTTAGAATACCACAACATAATCACTACAAATTTAGACTTCAGCTTATATTGTTTCATGATCCCTGGATTAATGACATTGCACCAGGTTAAGGGATAAACATGTAGCAATCAGAAGAAAGTTTCTATAGAGCTGACTGATATAAACATGCATCCTCATCAGCATGGATATTCATGATTGATATCATTGGCATCTCCATCCCAGCATGGATGATGACATCGATATATATCCACATCAGCACAGTTAATGATGTCAACATATCCACATCAACACAGTTAATTATGTCAATACAGAGGCATGGTTAATGATGTCAACATATCCACATCATTACAGTTAATGATGTCAACATATCCACATCAACACAGTTAATGATGTCAACATATCCACATCAGCACAGTTAATGATGTCAATACAGAGGCATGGTTAATGATGTCAACATATCCACATCATTACAGTTAATGATGTCAACATATCCACATCAGCACAGTTAATGATGTCAACATATCCACATCAACACAGTTAATGACATCAATACAGAAGCATGGTTAATGATGTCGACATATCCTATACACACCAGTGTGCTTCATGATGTTGACATACCATATCTACACCAGTGTGATTTATGATGTCGACATACCATATCTACACCTGTGTGATTTATGATGTTGACATACCATATCTACAACAGTGTGATTTATGATGTTGACATACCGTATCTACACCAGTGTGGTTAATGATGTCGACATACCATATCTACACCACTGTGATTTATGATTTTGACATACCATATCTACACCAGTGTGATATATGATGTTAACATACCATATCTACACCAGTGTGATTTATGATGTTAACATGCCATATCTACACTAGTGTGATTTGTGATGTTGACATACCATATCTATACCAGTGTCATTTATGATGTTGACATACCATATCTACAACAGTGAGATTTATGATGTTGACATACCATATCTACAACAGTGTGATTTGTGATGTTGACATACCATATCTACACCAGTGTGATTTATGATGTTGACATGCCATATCTACACTAGTATGATTTGTGATGTTGACATACCATATCTACACCTGTGTGATTTATGATGTCGACATACCATATCTACACCTGTGTGATTTATGATGTCGACATACCATATCTACAACAGTGTGATTTATGATGTTGACATACCATATCTACACCAGTGTGATTTATGATGTTGACATGCCATATCTACACTAGTATGATTTGTGATGTTGACATACCATATCTACACCTGTGTGATTTATGATGTCGACATACCATATCTACACCTGTGTGATTTATGATGTCGACATACCATATCTACAACAGTGTGATTTATGATGTTGACATACCATATCTACACCAGTGTGATTTATGATGTTGACATGCCATATCTACACTAGTATGATTTGTGATGTTGACATACCATATCTACACCTGTGTGATTTATGATGTCGACATACCATATCTACACCTGTGTGATTTATGATGTCGACATACCATATCTACAACAGTGTGATTTGTGATGTTGACATACCATATCTACACCAGTGTGATTTATGATGTTGACATGCCATATCTACACTAGTATGATTTGTGATGTTGACATACCATATCTACACCTGTGTGATTTATGATGTCGACATACCATATCTACACCTGTGTGATTTATGATGTCGACATACCATATCTACAACAGTGAGATTTGTGATGTTGACATACCATATCTACAACAGTGTGATTTGTGATGTTGACATACCATATCTACACCAGTGTGATTTATGATGTTGACATGCCATATCTACACTAGTATGATTTGTGATGTTGACATACCATATCTACACCTGTGTGATTTATGATGTCGACATACCATATCTACACCTGTGTGATTTATGATGTCGACATACCATATCTACAACAGTGTGATTTGTGATGTTGACATACCATATCTACACCAGTGTGATTTGTGATGTTGACATACCATATCTACACCAGTGTGATTTGTGATGTTGACATACCATATCTACTCCTGTGTGATTTATGATGTCGACATATCATATCTACACCTGCTGATTAATGATGTTGACATACCATATCTACTCTTGTGTGATTTATGATGTCGACATATCATATCTACACCAGTGTGATTTATGATGTCGACATACCATATCTACACCAGTGTGATTTGTGATGTTGACATACCATATCCACACCAAATTGGTTAATGTTGTCAACAATTCCATGCCAGCGTGGTTAATGACAATTCCATACTAGCGTGGTTAATTAAGGATTGACCTTCATTTTGACAGCGTATACAGTAGTTTGAACACAGTTGGCAACAAACATATTCTATGGTGCGCGTTAGCTACCGTATACGCCATCAAAATAAAGGTCAATCCTTATTTTTACATTTATAAACATGTTTAAATGCTATATTATGCAGAAAAAAGTCGAAGCAGGTTGCCACAATGGTAACTACGGTAGCTGTGGTTGCTAGAACAATATAGTTCCGGTGAATCTACATTGACATATGAGTAAATTTAGAAAATATGCAGTGAACAACACTAATTTTTTTCATGGTTTTTAAATTTTAAATTTACCAATGTGAGAAGCCCTTCAATCTTTTCTTTTCATTTACAACGGTCGTCATGTATGTATATTGACACACTGCTCATGGAGTGACACGGTCAGGACGAAGCCGCCATTGTTGATGTTACCGCCAAAGAAATTTGAATGTGCATCCATGGAGTAAGAAGTTTTCAGCATTCTTTTGTTGTATAATTAGACATAATGGATCCCTAATTTGTTCTATGTATCTAGATGGTGAATGATCCAAGCATTGGTTGTCATTGGACTGTTCTCTCGCTGAAGCGTGAACAGCGCCATATTTGAAACAAGTATCAATCCGCCGAGCCTTTTTTCACTGCGTATACACTAATTTATATGCAGTCAGAGTTTACTAAGCTGAAGAAGGAAAAACATTTGCACACCAGCGTGGTTAATGACATTTGCACACCAGCGTGGTTAATGACATTTCCAGAACAGCATGGCTAATGACATTTCCACACCAGCGTGGTTAATGACATTTCCACACCAGCGTGGTTAATAACATTTCAACACCAGCGTGGTTAATGACATTTGCACACCAGCATGGTTAGTGACATACCCACACCAGCGTGGTTAATGACATATCCACACCAGCGTGGTTAATGACATTTCCACACCAGTGGGGTTCATGACATATCCACACCAGCATGGTTAATGACATATCCACAACAGCGTGGTTAATGACATTTCCACACCAGCGTGGTTAATGACATTTGCACACCAGCGTGGTTAGTGACATTTGCACACCAGCGTGGTAGTGACATACCCACACCAGCGTGGTTAATGACATTTCCACACCAGTGGGGTTCATGACATTTCCACACCAGCGTGGCTTATGACATTTCCACACCAGCGTGGTTCATGACATATCCACACCAGCGTGGTTAATGACATTTGCACACTAGCGTGGCTAATGACATTTTCACACCAGTGTGGTTAGTGACATACCCACACCAGCGTGGTAAATGACATTTGCACACTAGCGTGGCTAATAACATTTGCACACCAGCGTGGTTAATGACATTTCCACACCAGCGTGGTTAATGACATACCCACACCAGCGTGGTAAATGACATTTGCACACTAGTGTGGCTAATGACATTTGCACACCAACATGGTTAATCACATTTGCACACCAGCGTGGTTAATGACATACCCACACCAGCGTGGTTAATGACATTTGCACACCAGTGTGGTTAATGACATTTCCACACCAGCGTGGTTAATGACATTTCCACACCAGCATGGTTAATGACATTTCCACACCAGCGTGGTTAATGACATTTTATAATGATAGAAATAAACCCAAGTGTAGTATTTTTAACATAGAAATAATATTCAACAAAAGAAGGGCATCATATAATTATTCACATTGTCTATGTTTCTAATTCCACAGATCCCACGTAAAGACTTTAAGTTCACTCGAGCCTTACACAATGCAAAATAATCCTTTTGTTTTCCACGACACATTCACCAGGTCACAGCTTCACAGCAAATGAGGCCCCACACGAGCATCCTTGTTCAGCCCGGGGATTATTGATAATACGAAAAGCTGACCTTATAAGTTCTTCATGAAAATCAATTGTACATCCCTTCAAAAAGTCCAGAGAATCTGTATCCACAACAACTTTAGCCCCATCCTTTTCAAACAAACTGAAATAGAAGAACAAAGAAAAATCATCCTGAGGTTACTGAATCCATGGGGCAATCATGATATTACTTTAGTATTGTTTTCAATGAATTTTATATACATAAAAATCAACACTATATGTGACATTGGGTATTTTAGAAACCATCACTATAGGTTCAGGGTCACAAAATGACAAAGGTTAAAAAATAATCAAGGTTTTTTTTGTAAAGTCTGGATCTGAATTTTAAATACTGATAAAACAAAGTCAGAAGGCTCATATAGATATACCCCCTAGCCATAAGGAAATAGAGTACAAGAGATAGTCTGTAATCAGTAGACTTGTTTGTGTACACAAGCTTTCCACTTCAAAAGTTGTCAAGTGTGATCTTTGTCCATGACTTTTGACCTTTACATGTAACCTTCATAATGATTGATGACCACCAAAACCAGATCAGGTGTAGAACTCAATGTTACCATACTATGTTTTAACTATTAATTAAATTTGTTGAGTTAGTGATCGAGACATCTTGCACACAAGCTTTTCACTTAAAAAGTGGTTAAGTAGGACTTTTGACTGTAACCTTTTACCTCTAAACCTTGACCAATGACCACCAAAATCTAATCAGGTGTAGAACTATGTGTATGAACCATTACTAGAATGTTTGCCATTGGGTAATTTTGAATTATCATTTCAAGCTCAAATTTATATAATATATATATGTAAAAACAATATACAATGTGCCAACACACATGTACCATCACCAGGTGATCATATAACCAAGGGTTACGTTCACCATGGCTAGGGGGTCAAGAAACCATAATACTTCAGTATTCTCTACAAAATCATGTTGTTTGGAGTTAATTACCAAAACTATTGAAAAGTCGAAAAAAATAATATAAACATAATCACCAAGTTCTAATTTTTCATTAATTTTCTGACCTCCCACGACAAAACCACAAGATGAGCAAACTTCATATTTTATGGCATGCGTGGATATTACAAAACAGCAACTCTGATCTGTGATTATCATGAAAATATACTTTCAAATTTCAGGATGATAACATATACTTCAGAATGAACTTTAATGAAAAGACAAGTATATATCAAAACTTACTGATCGTCTTCATTTACAGTTGCATCCAGGTCGAATTTGTACTGAAATCCTGAACATCCACCACTCTCTACAATCACTCGTAGACAGCCATTTTCATCCAATTGCTTTAATTGCTAAAATTAAAATAACAAAACATACAAATTTGTTTACAAATAAATAAAATCAATTGTATTCAAATAAGGGTTATTCACCAAAAACAAAAACTCGTCACCTATTGAGGAATCAGATTTCAGAAGGCACCATTGAATGTATAATATGTTGTCCATGCAATGTAGCAAATTCTACATAAATAAAACTGCCTTCAAACATCACACTTTGATAAGAAAATGTTGTTTTATCTTCCCTTCTTTCGAAGGACTTTTTATTTTCTGTCCATAGATGTGTCTCATTATGGCATCCTCTGTCAAGGAAGTCCATCAGTTAACTTTTCCTTGCCATCAATGTAAACTTGAAAATTGGATACAAATATTTCATATAAAAGTAGCTCAAACAGGTTAGTGTTTCAGAATTTAGATGCATTTTTGGCAGATTAATGGACCCTTGATAAAGTTTGTATCAAAGTTTCCAGCACAAGGTACTTACTATTTTACCCGTGATCAACTTGTTTTACTTATTTATCTTGGGAGGATGGAATGTTGGAAAATAAAACAGCCTTTATAGGGTGTAGTGTCCAACTAAATACAGGATTATAATCCTAGCTTGGTTCATTTTTGATACCATTTTTTTTCCAGTGCATATTTTCCTTGCTAATTCATGGACATTCACCAAACTTGTGTTACATATAGATCTTGGTAAGGCAACGTGTTGCAAAATAGTGTTATGTTGTGTCTTGTGTCCCTCTTTATACAGAGTCACGACCCTCTGTTCACTTAAAAAAAAGTTGTTTTGTTGGGCAAAGGGAGTCAATCGCTGAACAAAGAGTTTTTTAAATAGAGGTTTTTTAAGTGAAATCTGCAGCTTGTGGTCTTATACTGTTAACCAGTGAAATGAAGTATGGTATGTTTCCCCATTTCTACCATCCTAGATATATTGTTTCTGACTCTGTAATTCTTTTGTTTTATTTACAATAGCCCTAAAGTTATAACAAATAGTTTTGTAACAGCAGTTTAATGTTTGGTTTAATATGATTATAGATAGTGTTATCTCATTTACATACAAATGTAATACCAACAACAGGATTCCACAAAAATCTTGAAGGACATCTTTTCTACTCTCTTCACTTTCTATCCCTCCTACAGCTTATTTTATATTATTTCACTATACCTAGTCTAGATAGAACACTTATTAAGATGCAAGTAAGAGATTGAAAATAAATTTGACAAGAAGATTATCTTTTGAAAAGTACATCAGTTTAAAACAAATGTGGCAGACTGGGACCAGATCCTGGTACACAGGGTTTACTTTAGCAGAATGGACCAAATGAAACTTGATGTCTTCAACATTATCTCATGGAGTGCTGGTCATGGGCCAAGGTCTTTATAAAAAAAAGCCAATGCAATTCTTCCATCATCTCAAAAAAGGTACCTGAACTAGCACAAGGCCCAGCAATCTAAGATTACTCATTTTAAAACATAATGCAATAATGGTTTTGTCTTCCCTCTTCCAGTTACAACTCTGTACCTTCACACAGCTGTCACTGAGCTGTACTGTGTCAGGCAATCCTTCTTCCTGGGTTTGTGTTGACAGATATCTCTGTACGCCGGCTTTCCTTCCTTGTGACCAAGTCTTGTTCCTAAAATACATGATACTACTAGTGCTTCATTTTTGACTTAAAATGCATGCATCTACTATCAGACTGTTTCTTGCAAGTTAATCTAATTTCTGTTAATATCATATAAACGCCTTCAAGTTTACTGATCAGGAAATGCAATTGAATTATAATTTAGTTTAACTAGGCCTAGAATGGTACAATATATTAATGCATTTCCCTACTATGTTATTTCGGATGTTATTTACCCACCAAAGATTTTCGGTGCTGTTGAACTTGAACAGACGAATTATGACGCAATTAGATAAACAACAAAGCTAACGAGAGGTATCCGGGTATTATATTACTTATATTGGGACACATTATTAGTGTAAGTACTCGTGTAATTGTTCGTCAAGAATCAACTCACCTAGTGCCTACAGTGCATAGTTTTGTAGCATTTATGACCTCGGACAAAACCCAAAATCGTCTGCAGGCAGCCATTACTGCATTTTATCTTGGTTATGGGGACGTTTGATTTTGCGGTTTGCATTCAAACGTTGCGGTGATTGGAGAATTCATACTCGGGCAGTCTCTTTTTCACTCTTTGCTCTTGGAAAAGTGTTTGGCTCAGGGACGAGAAAAAAGAGTGAAAAGGAACCAAAAGGGAAAAGAGAAATCCAAAAGATTTGAATGTATCTTATTTCAACAAGTCTTAATCTAAGTCCGTGATCTAATCCGTCGCCGAGTCGTCGCCGAAAAAAAGAGATATTTTTTACTGATTGAAACTTCTAGCTTGAAAATATTTCGCTAAGTACGACACAGAAGAAAGTAAAACCATGCAGTTTCCCGCGTTCATCAATTATTATTGCCAACGTCGCGCGCTTGTTTTGTATTTAAGTACCAAATTTTCAGGGGATAAAGTCTAGCGGACATACATATGTTGCTTTATTTATCAAACCTTTTTACATTACATTATTAAAAACATCGCTACGTTACATCATAAACATTTGATCTATATAACATACATTTATTCACAAACATTCAATTACTTACATCATAAACAACACTTTTTACTTACACTACTCAATGCCTTTGAAATAATTTTATTAAAATCATTCACTTCAAACATTTTACTTACATTATATAACCGTTCACATTTTCCTGATATCACACACTTAAAACTTTATACTTACATCATATACTACCAACATTTTACTTACATCATATACTTACTAACATCATAAACTTTAAACATTGCACTTACATCATAAACTACAAACAGTTTACTTACATCGCAAACTGGAAACATTAACTTACATCACAAACTGGAAACATTTACTTACATCATAAACTACTAAGAGTTTACTTACATCATAAACTACTAAGAGTTTACTTAGATCATAAACTACCAACATTTTACTTACATCACAAACTGGAAACATTTACTTACATCATAAACTACTTAACGTTTACTTACATCATAAACTACCAACATTTTACTTACATCATAAACTACAAACATTAAACTTTCATCATAAACTACAAACATTTAACTTACATCATAAATTACTAAGAGTTTACTTACATCATAAACTACCAACATTTACTTACATCATAAATGACAAAGAGTTTACTTACATCATAAACTACCAACATTATATAACCGTTCACATTTTCCTGATATCACACACTTCAAACTTTATACTTACATCATATACTACCAACATTTTACTTACATCATATACTTACTAACATCATAAACTTTAAACATTGCACTTACATCATAAACTACAAACATTTTACTTACATCATAAACTACCAACATTTAACTTACATCACAAACTACCAACATTTTACTTACATCATAAACTACCAACATTTAACTTACATCATAAACTTCCAACATTTACTTACATCAAAAATTACAAAGAGTTTACTACATCATAAACTAGCAACATTTTACTTACATCATAAACTACCAACATTTACTTACATCAAAAATTACAAAGAGTTTACTTACATCATAAACTAGCAACATTTTACTTACATCATAAACTACAAACAGTTTACTTACATCATGAATTACTAAGAGTTAACTTACATCATAAACAACCAACATTTTACTTACATCATACACTACCAACATTTTACTTACATCATAAATTACAAACCATTATACGTTATATACAAGAAAGTGTGATGGCTTGGTATATTTCGGTTTGTATTATCAAGAATTATGATAACAATTCGTAATAATAGTAAACAAGTTGAGGAACAGGCAATAGTATATTATGTAACAACTCATATGTCCTGATGTTATTTATACTAAAAGAAGAGACTCTGGTGGCGGTGTCATTTTTATGTTTATCCATTTATACTCATTTATTTGCATCCCGTACGAATACATCATGAAACTTACGTACAATGTACTAATCATTATATATACCTAAACAAACATTCTTAAGGTCAGGACAGCTAACTCTTCATTATGTATAAAGAACATGTCTCATGCATATTACGATTAGACGAAAATAAAATGGGACTCGCGCACTGGATTGAGATTTGCTCATGAGTCGAAACATTGGCAAGGGAAAAAATAAGGAAATACACTACAAGATATATGATACAAGACACTTTATTTAACGTCGCATACAAGTAAACAAGGAACATTAGCTCGTGAGATAATAACAATAACACATTATATTACAAGTAAAGGGAGATAATCACATATATTAATAAAAAGCAGTAATAGAAAAAGAAAGTATCATATTACAGGTTTTTTAGTGACTGGGAGTCTCCTACCTACAAAGGCCCCCGGGATATGACCCTTCAGAAACAATTAATATATAAAATTAGTGTTAATATATGAAAAGCAGTAAATGTAATCACAGGTAAGTAGTATTAAGAATAAGTAATTAAAGACATATAGTTGATAGTGAATGAATACTTGCATATCACACAAGAATTGCTTAGGACTATGAAGTGGAATATACATAAAATGCTAATATAGGAAAGAATAAAAATTGACAGAATATACACTAATATAGTTAGGGGATAGTACGTCGTTTTGAGTGGTTATACTGGCGATTAGAACATGAAATTTGGGTTTGAACTCGAGACCGATGATGGAGAGTTTAAACCAAATTTCATGTTCTAATCGCCAGTATAGCCACTCAAAACAACGTACTATCCCCTAATTCTAACACGATTCGTTTGCAACGTGTGTTTTGACACGATTGTTCATGATTCTATCGCAGATTAGAACATGGTCCGTATCCAATTAAAAACACGCGTTGCAAACGAATCGTGTTAGAATGTGAATTAAAACATGATTCCAAAATTAATTAACAAAATTTATCAAGTTTAAAAAAAATTATATTTTAGAATAATAATTATATGGCATTGAAATAAAAATAAGATGCTGCAATAGTATAGAATAGAACTAAAACATATACGGGATGGAATAAAATAATAATAGTATCACACAATCCAAAATGTCAGGTGGCAGAGGTAACCAGGGCACAGTATGAAGTATCACTCTTTGTAGATATTGCAAAGGCAGATGCGGGGCCATCCCAGGAATGGACCAGCCTCCTGAATTCTTTGAAGTTTTCAACTTTTTGGAAGTCATTTGGGAGACTGGTCAACACCCGGGCGGCCACAAAAGCAAACGATTTATGTCCATACTTCACAGTGTTGACCCTGCAGTATTTTCTTTCCTGAAGTCACAATTAGACATCTTAATATTTACAAGGTTATGAATATATTCTGGAAACATTTTGTTCACAATTTTAAACATCTCACAACCCATATCATTCAGACGCCTTACATGAAGCCTGTCGCTGTTGGTAATACTGAGTAAGTGTCTGAAGGATGAGTTGTGATCATTATTTATAAACCTTAAAGCTTTTTCTTGTATCTTTTCTAGCTTTCTGACACTCTTCATGGAACAAGAGTGCCAGACTTAAGGACTGTAGTAAAAATTTGAAACAATAAAAGAAATATAAATTACAAATCTACCTTGTTTGGTTAAAAAAACCTCCCAATTCGCTTTAAAATGGACAATTGCCTTGAGGCTTTCCTACAAATTTCAGGAAGTTGAACAACACTGTCAGGAACAATATCTGTTTCGCCAATCCTAAAAGACTGTATAGCACCTACCGAACGTTTCCCTATACAAATGGCCTGGAATTTATCAGGGTTGCTTTCATCTGGTTTAATTTACACCAGTCTATTACATTTTGACAGTCATTTTCAATAGTTTGTGTGAAAACATCTGGGTCTTTATTTGATTCACTGGCAGTGTTGTCGTCTGCATAATTACATAATTTACAGGATGTCACATATAAAAACATATCATTTACAAATACACTGTACATTGAAAAGCAAGGGTCCTAAAATAGAACCCTGGGGTACCCCCTTCAGCACTTCCAGCCAGTCACCGCATTTGAAGCCAATTTTTACCTGCTGCTTCCTGCTGCTCAGGTAGCTGGGCACCAGATTAAATGGAAATATAACGTAATTTTATGACGCAAACAGGTTACAAAATGTGTTGTGGAACCGTACCGGTAATCATAATTGTAATCCGAGTTCTAACAAGTTAAGCTACATGTTTTAACCATAAAAAAATGTGATTATGTGAAAATGGTTCAATTAGAGAAGAATCAGAACTAATTCAATTATAATATGTATGATACGCTTACTCTTTAAATCGAAAAGAGGTGACGAGCTAGGTCAATAATGTATCTCGGGAGGACAAATACATTAATTACATTTAATACTGTTTATACACTTGATGATATCTACAACAGTAGATTGAATTGTTTAAAATTATATAAGAGAAGTAACTAACTTTTATGTAACGAATATCAAGGAAATTACTTCTGCTAACTTCTACAACACGAAAGGAACTACTAACACAGACCACGAACTTAAAAAGCAAGGTCTATCTAATTGCTAGCAAAGATATATATATATGCCTATATATGTGTCTCTGCTATCATTATGATGGTTTTTCTTACCGTCCACATAATTCAACTGTGAATAAATTAAAATTAGTCTTGTATCAAAACACCCTTCTCGACCTCGGTACAGTTGTTCAAAAGATGATTAGCTTAATCATTGTTTAACGACATTTTTCAATCTCTAATAATTTGGTCAATACACAAAGTAAAGCCTTTACGCTTTTCTATAGTTGATATAGTAGTCGACACCAATACTATATCAACTATAGAAAAGCGTGTAATTCACTCTGATGTAATATTAGCTTTCTGGAAAATTTTAAACCAGTGAATGGTTATTTTTTTAAAAGATACTCCAAAAACAAAATCTGCGCTAATCACTGATTAAGCTAATCACCGTTTGAACAACAGGGCTCTGGTCACGCAATGTTCTCATGTAGTCTTGAAATATATCCTTCTATTCCAAATAGCTCTAAAACACGTCGTCTATTTATATCTATGGAATTCTAAAATCTACTCGACTAGTCCCAAAACATACACGTCTGTACACCCAAATCA